GGTCACTTTGCTTATTTAAATATTTAATTATTCATTTATTTTTTTTATTTTCCTACTGTAGCATTTTAAGTTTGTAAATATTAGGTTAAATAATATATAGGGGTAAAACAAGTTTTACAAATCAGAATTTGTAATTGTATAAACTTAAAATTTTTTTTTACAAATTCTGATTTTTAAAAAAAGACTTAACATGAGTTCCCTCTGTTGTTTTTAATCAGATTTGTAATTGTAAATAGAATCAGAATTTTAATCAGAATTTGTAGTTGTAAAAATTTAAAAATTCTGGTTTATTTTTCTGCACATAATTTTACAAATTCTGATTTTTTTAAATACAACTTTCTTCAGTATTTCTGTCCCATTTCAAGTGCGCGCCTCCTTTCTAGCTTATTAATCAGAATTTGTAGTTGTAAACTTAAAATTTTTTTACAAATTCTGGTTTAGTATATATTGTAATTTCTTTGGACAAGTTCCTTTCTTTGAAATTTATTTTTATTCCTCTTTCTTTAACAATAAACGATTTTTCGTCCGGATAGGGTTGGGGTTTTCGGGACCGACTTTCTCAGTCATTTTCGGGCCTCATTTTTTCGGGCCGGACAGGTCGAGTCATTTTGCCGGGCCAGAATTAGTGTCCCAGTTTGATCTTTCGAACCGAACCGGATCCCTATCCAACTTTTGGATATTCTGATAAAATTAAAAAATCCTTCCTAACGTTCCTAGACTATTTCTAAATTATTCAAACAATTTTATATTTTTTTTTCCTCAACTTTTTTTTTATTTTTCCATTTACTCCAAAAAATATATTCTTCACTTTTCCCGTCGGTCATTTTAATATTTTAACAAAAAATAGGTGGTGAATATTGTGGAACGGTCATTCTTTGACCATAAAAGAAGCTTTTTTCTGTCCCTATTTTTCCATTTAATATAAATTTGCATTTTTTCCTTTTTACGGTCAAAAATATGTCAACAACCAAGAAGCCGACAGAAGACATTTAAAAAAATAAATTTTTAAAATTATATACATATTTTTTAAGTGGACATACTTTTTATTTAATCGACTTGTTTGATTTTTTATATCCGGAATAGCGCTGATTATTGGGCGTTCTTGTGGCTGATTATTGGGCATTTCATAATCTTGTCTCGGGTGTTTTCTGTTACTCTTAGCATTTGGAGCCAGGTACACCCCAAGGTATCGTAAGGCCAATATATTTCGTAGCTTTAACTTTGTTAAAAATTGCCAAATCTTGGACGCCTTGGTATGGTTTGATGCTCTAGACGACCTGAATCGAACCATACCGGGGCGTCCAAGATTCGACAATTTTTGACGAAGTTCTAGCTCTGCGATACCTTGGACTCACGATACCTTGGCCTGCTCCCCTTGGAGTCATACTCAGCACTAGTCTTGAATATTAAGCTTGTTTTCAAGTGTTTTTACTTGGTAATAATTACAAACTTTGACTGACCAACTTGGATTTTAATTTAAAAAAGTTGGTAAAATTGTAATCTTTGACTTTTAAAGTTTTATTTGATTATTCTTTTTTTCTAATTTTTAATTAATTCTGAAAACTTAAGTTTACGTTTTCTAATTTTAATATATTTATTTAATTCATTAATTTATTAATTTAATTCCTCCTTTTTTTTTAATAAATTTGTTCTCATCCAACTAATTTTTTTTAATATATTCGTTTTACTGTTCCTTCAATCCTTCCAGTAAAATGGGAAGAAAATTCTTTTTTAAACATTTATTACTGTATTAGCTGGATTTAAATGAAGGATTTTAGGAATTGAAGTTTAATTTATATTTAATTTATTTTTAATTTTATAAGCGATTACTTCCTTCTAATACTTAATTAATTTATTTAAAACTTTGTCGTAACAAGTTAAGCTTATTTTATTAAATATTAACATGTTTTATTAAGTTTGTAGTCGTATTCAAGTTTGTAAAACTTGATTTTTTAAACTCAAGTAATAAACTTGCTCAATTTATTCAAGTTTGATTTTTTAAACGCAAGTTTATAAACTTAAATAAACTTGCTCAAGTTTATAAACTTGGTTTGTACAAACTCAAGTTTATAAACTTGATTTTTTAAACGCAAGTTTATAAACTTAAATAAACTTTCTCAAGTTTATAAACTTAAACTTGCTCAAGCTTATAAATTTGATTTTTAAACTCAAGTTTATAAACTTAAATAAACTTGTTCAAGTTTATAAACTTGATTCTATAAACGCAAGTTTGTAAAACTTAAATAAACTTTTTCAACTTATTCAAGTTTTATTTCTCTCTTTAAAGTTTTACAATATGTAAAAGTTTTACAATTTTTTATTAATCCAAGTTTTACAAAATTACAAACTTGGAAACTTAATTGACCAACTTAAATATAATTAAAAAAGTTGGTAAACTTGCAAACTTGATTTTTAGGGTCTACTTGTTTATAATTCTTTTTTTCTTCTTTTGCAATTTATAAAGTTTACAACTTTGTTTTACAATCTCAATTTTATTTTCTTTTTACCCATTTAATTTAATTTTTTTAATATTCAGATATTCATTTAATTTTCTGAAATGGACCAATTTCATTCAAATTTACTTTTACTTCAATGCTCACGCCTTAAAACACCTCCACAGCCTTTTGACTGTGCTATTCGAGTGTTTGCATCTGATGAATTTGGATCTGAATCTAAAGGTGATTTTTTCTTTTAAAAATATTTTTTAAATAAAAAATTTTAATTTTTCTTGTTTTCCTTGTTTTTCTTTTAAAAAACGTGGAAAATAAAAAAGTAATTGTTTTAAAAAGGAAGAAAATTCATTTTAAATAGTCACACACAAATTTTTATAAAAATAAAAAGGAATTAAATTATTGTGAGCGTGTTCACATGTGTTTCACGTTCAATAACTCGAGTAAGGTTCTACATTTATTTTCAAGTTTGGTACCATTCGATAGAGAATTAAATAACCTATAAACTGACAAAATTTAAGAATTTTTGATTTTTGTATTAAAAAGTTACGGTCATAAAAGTAATAATTTTGACATAAATAGATCATTTTTGTGTGTTTTTTAATAACAACAGTTTTTTTGATTATCCAATAATTTTGTTTTTTATATCATTTTATAGCAAATTTAATTCTTTATCGAATTATACTAAATTGTTTCTGGAATAGTTTCTATAGTAGAGGGTTATAGCGGTTTAAATCATCTTTGTCTAGCTGTTCATTAAGTACTTAAGTTTATTTTTCGAAAACAACATTCTCTTTAATTATCCAAAAATTATGTTTTATCTGTCATTTTATAGCAAATTTAATTTTCTATTGAATGATACCAAATTTGTTCTGAATACTTTTTCTATCATAGAGTTATAGGTGTTTAAAGAAGCTATATCTAGATGTTCACCCTTAAGTTGTTAATTTATTTATTTTTTTTCAAAATTTTCTTCATATCCAAAAATTTTGCTTTATCTGTCATTTTATAGCAAATTTAATTCTCTATCGAATCATACCAAATTTGTTCTGGAACAATTTTTATAGCACAAAGTTATAGTGGTTTAAAGAAGCTCACCCTTAAGTTGTTAAGTTGTCTATTTATTTTTTTTCAAAATTTTCTTCAATTTTCCCCCCTTCTTTTTTACCTTTTCCGTCATTTCTTGTTTTTAAATTATTTTCTTGTCTGTTCACAACTTTCTTTTTAACAAATTTTGTGCAAAAAAAAAGGTCGCGCAGACGTAAAAAGGAGGGGAAATGAGTGGAGGTTAGCCTTACCTTTTTTGGCCTCTCTCGAAATTCAATGAGACGTTCGTTTAGGTAGCCCAAGGGGGTTCAAAACAACCTTTTCCTTCTTTCATTTTTCCCTTTTTTTTAATTTTTTGGTGTGCATTTTATTTTATTTTTATTTTTTTTTGTCGGTGGTAGAGAGAAAAAGAGGAGGGAGGGGGAGGGTTTTTGGGTGTTCACTAAACTAAAGAAAAATTTTTTTCCTCTCGAATCAACGTGTGTTTTCTCTTTTAATAGTAATTTACAGACTAAAGAGAATTCAGAAAAATTTGTTTTAAAAATATATTTTTTGGTACAATTTTTAAAATTTAAGTTTGAATTTAATTAAATTAAGTGTAGACTGATTTTTCTTTCAAGGTTTTTTACAGCTTTTAAATAAAAGAAAATATTCTGATATTTAAATAAAATTAAATCAGAATAAAGGAAAACAAGAAAAATTGTAAAAAATATTTTTTTATTTATAAAAGAAAATTCACAATTTTTAACTACCTAGTAATTAAGGAGAAACATTTCAAAAATTACCAGAAAAATTAGAAAACGCAAACTTAAGTTTTACAGTTGTAAAATAATTCAAGTTTAATTAAATAAAGTTTATTTAAACCAAGTTTATTTAATCCAAGTTTATTTAATCCAAGTTTAATTAGTCCAAATTTTTAATCAGGTTGCAATTGTGCTTTAATTTACAATTGTAATTCAAGCTTTAATAAACTTATAATAATCCAACTTTAATTAATTCAAGTTTATTATTAAACGAATTAATTAAACTTGGATTTTGATTTTACAATTGTAAAACTTAAGTTTGCGTTTTTCAAGTTTAATAATCCAAGTTTCAAGTTTAATTACTACAAATTTTAATCTAAGTTTTAATAAACTTTAAATAATTCAAGTTTGTAAACTTTACCTTCCATATTAAACTTAACTGTAAAAACTAAGTTTTTAATTAAGTTGTAATTGTAATTTAATTTTACAATTTTTGACTTATTTAATTTAATATTATTATTATTTAAATATTAATTGAATTTTTATTTCCTCCAAAAATTTTCAAAAAAATTTTCAAAATTTTTTTCCAATTTAGAACACCTAATATTTGTCCACAGTAATATAATATCAACCAAAAGTATTATTCTACGTTCACAACTGGATTCACAACCAACAATTGCGCTAGCGCGCTTTTTACTTTTGTTGCATGCTAGAGAAGAGGGGGCAATTCAGGGGCTAGCTACTAATGGGGCTTTAAATAATGAATTACGTGAAATTAAATTGGGTAGGTTAAGGAAATATTTAAAAATTTTAAAAATTTCCCTTAAAGATCTCTCAGCATTACAAAACGGTTTAGAAGCGTTTAAACAATTTATAAATTTTATTTACGGTGATCAATCCGCTGCTGCCATTGGTGGTAGTCTTTCTGATCAGGTAGTTAAATTTTAAATATAAAATTTAACTTGATGTTAGGCCGAATTTTATTCTGAGAGGTTTTAACTCAAAAGGCTAGATGATAATTGTGCTTGGATTGCCGGATCCAAGTAAATTCCCGTATATCCGGATCTGAAACCGAAATATATATTTAGGTAGTGAGGATTGTTCGGTGAATGAGTGGGTCTCTTGAATAATTAATTTGGTGAGGCAACACCAATGTATTGAATAATACGCCCATATTTTGAGATTTTAAGAGGGGCAAGAAGCCATTTTGCCTTTTTCATTAAGATTTAAAATTACAATTTTTTAAAAATTTATTTTCAGTTACTTCTTCTCTCCAAATTATTCGCAGTTCCAGATTTAGAAATGTCAATACGATCATCATCAATTTTAGACCTTCTTAAAGTAAATATAGGAGGACAATCATTAGAATCTCAATTACCTTGTAATACAACTCAGGGCAGTAGTGGAATAAATAATTCTAATAATGGTATTTCACTATCAGAACAACTAGCAAATATTGGGGGATTTGTAAATAATAATAATAATGCTTCGCCGTTTTCCTCCCTGCCTCTATATGCTGGTAAACTATAGAAACATATTTTTAATAAATTCTGATTTTAAAAAATGATTCTGATCTCTAGAAATTAATTCTGATTTAATTTTTGATTTTTAAGAATTAATTCTGTTTAAATTCTGATTTTCTTAAAAATAATTCTGATTAAAAATTCTTATTTTTAAAAAATATTTCTGATTAAAATTCTGATTTTTAAAAATTAATTCTGATTTAATTTCTGATTTTTAAGAATTAATTCTGATTAAAATTCTGATTTTTAAAATTAATTCTGATTTAATTTCTGATTTTTAAGAATTAATTCTGATTAAAAATTCTGATTTTTTAAAAATAATTCTGATCAAAATTCTGATTTTAAAAAATGATTCTGAATTAAATTCTGATTTTTAAGAATTTTGATAAAATTCCGATCTCTAAAACATAATTCTGATTTAATTTCTGATTTTTAAGAATTAATTCTGATTAAAAATTCTGATTTTTTAAAAATAATTCTGATCAAAATTCTGATTTTAAAAAATGATTCTGAATTAAATTCTGATTTTTAAGAATTTTGATAAAATTCCGATCTCTAAAACATAATTCTGATTTAATTTCTGATTTTTTAAAAATAATTCTGATTAAAAATTCTGATTTTTAAAACTAATTTTGAAATATTAGCAGCCTATTTACAAATGCAGCAGTCATTGTTATTTGCCAACCAATCTTCAAATAATACTACATTCCTTCAAAATCCACAACCAGCTTCAATAACACAACTTGAACAACCTAGGAAACCAAATTTTGCGACCATGTTTCGAGATAAACATCGGTAAATTATCTTTTACAATTATGATTATTTTTCACAAATTCTGATTTCTCTTATTTTACAATTTCTGTTTTTTTATTTTACAAATTCTGATTTTATTCTTATAAATTCTGATTTTTATTTTTCACAAATTCTGATTTTTATTTTTCACAAATTCTGATTCTTTTATACTTTTTACAATTCTGTTTTCTCTTAGTTGTGTATTTTACAAAATCTGATTTTTATTTTTTACAAATTCTGATTTTTATTTTTTACAAATTCTGATTTTTATTTTTTACAAATTCTGATTTTTATTTTTTACAAATTCTGACTTTTATTTTTTACAAATTCTGATTTTTATTTTTTACAAATTCTGACTTTTATTTTTTACAAATTCTGATTTTTTTTCTTGCAATTCTGTCTTCTCTTAGTTGTGTTTTACAAATTCTGATTTTTAATTTTTACAAATTCTGATTCTTTTACCTTTCACAATTCTGATTTTATTTTTGTTTTACAAATTCTGATTTTTAATACCTTATTTTATTTACAAATTCTGATTTAGTTCCTTCCCCTTCCCCTTTTATATAATTACTTTCATTCCTTTCTAGTAATTTTCCTCCTTATTTTTAATCCTCCCACAAACATTTTTATATACTTTTAAGAATTCATTCATTAATCCTTTGAAAGAGAAGGAATATTCTGATTTGCTTCTTAAATTAATCACTTTTTTGTTTCTTATCCGGTTTTTAATTTTTTTGGCTAATTTACAGTTAAATTATTTTTTGATATTAAGTACATTCTATAAATTTCCGGAATTTTTAGAATTCCATTTAGTACAAATTAAAGAAGAAAATATTTATAAATTTCCAAAAAAAATCAAAAAAAAATTTTAATTTCCAGGTCAGATTCAGACAACGATATTATTATTGGAGAGGATTTACAACAACATAATAATCAACAATTATTAGATTCACAAAATATGGCCCGACGTGAGAGCAATGCATCTTCAGGCTCCTCTTCTATTCATTCCTCTATTGGGAACGAAAATAATTCAGTTATTGCTATGGGTGAAAGTGGAAGTGGAGGGGAGTTGTTACTTCCACCGAATGATAAGGAAGGTGGGGGGAAGTTTACATATTTAAAATTACAAATTGTAATTATGTAAAATACAAACTGAAATAAGTTTTACAATTTGTAAAAATATTAAATTAGAAAAATTTTACAAATTGTAAAATAAGTTTTAAAACATTTTTACAAATTGTAAAATAAGTTTATTTTTGTAAAACTTGAATTTGAAAAACTTGAAAATTGTAAAGTGTAAAACTTTAATTGTAAAACTTTTTTTACAATTTGTAAAAATATTAAAACTTGAAAATCTAAGATTGGGAAAAGTTTAATTTAAGGTTTGTAAAACTTAAGTTTTTAAGTTTGCAATTCATTTAATAAACATTTCTACTCAATTCCAGGTTGGTGTCGAAATAAAAAATACATTCAAATTGTAAAGATGGGTTATCGCTGTCTTTTATGCAACAAAGTTTATGGTCGTTACAATTCTGTGGGTTTTTTCAAATTTCTAGAGAATTTTCTAGCTATAACCAACTTCTTTAAAAACATCATCTTTTCTTAGTTGAAAGTTTAAAGAGATATATTCGTCATTTTAATTACCAAATAAAGCATAAAATAGGGGGAAAGGGATTATAAAAGTAAGTTACTATAGTATACTAACTTGCTTTTATGGAAAGTCCAGTAAATATTTACTAAAAAAATAAATACAGTAAGATGATAAAAATACATCAAAAATTATTTATTAAAATAATTACAGGTTAGTTACCATGTTACAATTTATCATCGAAACCCCCCTATACGATGTGAGGAACAAGGATGTCAGTTTACAACCCGTGAAGCTCGTTATATACACTTTCATAAATATTATCGCCATCAAATTGCACTACCGGAATCTATCGATCTGGGTAATTAAAAATTACAAACTGTAATAATGTAAATTTATAAACTGAAATAAGTTTTACAATTTGTAAAAATATTAAATTATAAAAATTTTACAAATTGTAAAATGAGTGTTAAGCTTTAAAACTTTTTTTTTACAATTTGTAGTTCAAGTTTTAAACTTATTTTACAAGTTGTAGAATAAGTTTTAAAAAATTTTACAAATTGTAAAACAAGTTTTTTTGTAAAACTTGAATTTGTAAAAACTTGAAAATATAAAGTATTAAATATTAAAACTTTAATTTTAGACATTTTACAATTTGTAAAATTATTAAAACTTGAAAATCTAAGATTGAGAAAAAGTTTAATTTAAGTTTTGTAAAACTTAAGTTTTTAAGTTTTGTAAAACTTAAGTTTTTTACAATTTGTAAAAAAAGTTTTAAACTTTAAAGCATTTTTTACAATTTGTAGAGTAAGTTTTAAAACATTTTTACAAATTGTAAAATATTTAGAAACTTGATAATTTCAACTAAAATAAAGTGTTTTAAAAAATTAAATTGTAAAGATTTAATTGTAAAAAAATTTTTCAGCTTCACGTAAATGTCCTCTACTTGGTTGTAAACATGTTTCAAAAAGTCCAGCAATGTTAGAAAAACATATGCAACGACACGTTGCTGATTGTCTTAAAGAAGGGGGATCATCTTCTATTTATATTTGTAGAATGCCCGTAATTAATGGAAGTATTACAACAAAAGAAGATGAAAATATGGATAGCATGGAAAATAATGATCCAGAAATTAATAAAACTTTAAATATGGTTAAGTCTATGAAGGAAAGAAGGAATACTTATTCTGGTGGTTGTTCTGGTTCTTCTGGGGGAGGGCAATGCTTGTTTAAAGCAAATTCGAGAGAGGTGAATAATTTGAGTTTACAGACTTAAAACTTGGGATATTACAAATTGTAAAACATCAAGTTTTAAGACTTAAATTACAAATTGTAAATAATATATTGTAAAACTTAAAAAATTGTAAAACTTGAAATATTACAAATTGTAAAATATTAAATTACAAATTGTAAAATATTAAATTACAAATTGTAAAACTTGAAAAATTGTAAAAATTAAAACTTGGGATATTACAAATTGTAAAACTTGAATTTTCAAATTGTAAATAACTTACAACATCTAAAACCTTAAATTAAAAATTGTAAAAAATTAAATTACAAATTGTAACAAGTTTTTAAAAATTAAACTTGTAGCTTATGTACGCTCATTTGTTAACCTGCCACTCCGCTTCAAGCGCCAGTACCACAACACTTTCTGCCGATGCAGAAAAACGAGGTGTCGAAGAAGATGACGATGATGAAACACGTTCTTTAGCTGGAGGAAAAATGTCTGCATCAGCCCCGAGTACACCACCAACCTCTTCTTCACAACTTCTATCTCCTCTGCTTTCTCGTTTTCCATGCAATGAATGCAACTTTAGGTGAGGGTGGTTTTTTACTGATAACTTTTCTTTAAATGAAGATAAAAATTTAATTTTTACATCATTTGATAGAGGAGATTCTGGGCTACAAGATGACTATCTATTCATTTTTAAATTTTTAGTTTCCTTAAAGTTATGAATAAAAAAGTGAGGACAGATGATTAAAAATGGGAAAAAATTAATTTTGAAAATTTACTATAGGGCTCGAAATTTTTTTTTGAAATTTTCCCAATATTTTAAGTTAAAGCCCAATTTTTCCTCTACATTTTGATATATAGATCATTTTTCTATCATAAATTTAAAAAAAGTTATGTGGCAAAATCTAGAGCTACCTACCTCTAATTATTAGACAAAATCTCTTGATTAGACAGCCGAAAAAAATTTTCCTAACAAAAAAAATTTTTTTTTTTTTCAGAGGACGTACACTAACTTCATTAACAAATCATAAATTACAAAAACATTCAAATAACAATAAACAACAAATTAATGGAGCAACAACAACAAAACCACCCCATTTACCACCAACTAAATGTTCTTCTTTTGTGTTGCCATTTAATCCTTCTCTCTTTAATTGTGGAACTGGAGGAGGAATTTTTGGGGGAAGTGGAGGTGGTGGAGGGTTTTCAGTTCCTGGTTCTCCACTCTCTCCACAGGTAGAAATTTCCGAAAGAAATTTGAAAATTAATAATGGCTAGTCATGGTAGGGGATAAAATGGGTACAGCCCAAGTAGGCACACGGCCATACGGTGCAAAGCCATAATTTGCTTCAAAATTTCCTAATCTTACCAAATTTAGTATTAAACGATTCCTCTCATCGAGATGAAGAGATTGGTACCAAAATTGATAAGGGCTCGAAAATTTCCAGCAAGTTTGGCTTTGCGCCGTTATGGCCGCGCGCCTACTTGGGCGTGTCCCTAATCTATCCTATTAAGTAACAAAATATCAATTCATGTACATAATATTAAAACTAAAAAGACTCATAAGGGTCAGAATTTAAAAAAATGCTTAATGTCAGCTTAAAAATATATACAGTATTGTATTTTAGACTGGAAGCCTTGGACATGGCAGTAGCAGCATTTATCCAACAGGATTGCCACCCTCATTCTTTAACGCACCACCAACTACTTCATCAAAAGGTTTAGGAGGTTTAATAAACGATCAACAACAAACAAACAATGCCCATCAATTATTGGCACAATTATTAGCAGCACAAAAACTTGCTTCAGCAATACTTTCAGCTGCAGCAACAACTAACTCTTCTTCACCTCCTTCTTCAACTTCCCCAACAACTTCAAGCTCTTCTTCTCCACCAATTTCGACTGTTACTCAACAACAACAACAACAGTGAAGAAAAATATAATTTGTAAATAAACAAATTTTTTTGTATTTATACCCCAAAATATAATTAAATCTCAATATTTCTGGGCAGTCGGACCATACTATGAAAAATAACCACGTATATTAGGGGAGCCCTTCCATTTTTAATTTTTTCTTGGTTAGCCACTAGGTGAAGGTGTTAAGACACTGACCTCTGACGAGAAGGACCTCCGACAAAACTAACCTCTGACGAAACTACCGGACATGGTTAAGACTTTGGTGAGGTGAAGAGGGAGGTGAACAGCAAGGGCGTGTGCCGAAACTGATTTTAAGAAACGGAAAGGCAGACAACTACGATAACCAGTTCTCACTTGGGGGTTGTCTAAGCAATACCCTCAATTTAATATAACTTTAAGATACCCTCACAATTATTTTAGACCCAAGGGTCTATCTTGTAGTGAGGTTCGACTGTATTTACTTGTTTACTGTAAAAATCCAATTAGGCGTGTGAGAAATTTTAGGGCGCGCAGGTATAAACAGGGGAATATTTTTTCTACTTCCTAGTTTTATTTTTTTGTTCCAGTAAAAAGACTTTCCTCTCAAATATTTTTTAAAAATTAATTTTGCTTCAAATCCTATTTAAAAATTATTTTTAAGTCTTAGATTAATAACTCTCATTAAAGTTTACCCAACCAAAAATTAATTATTCAGTCATGTTTGGAGAGTTATGAAACTAAGATTTTTATTTCCTTTAAATTTTCTGGCATTTTGATATTATTTTTTATTTTCAGTTATTTTTCAGTTATTTTTATTATTGTTCCTTTCAATCCACTCTCCTTAACCAAACCGGAATCAATTTATTTTTCAAAAATTATTTTTTAAAGCAATCCCAGTCTTGCCAACAACTTTTGTTTTCTTCTACATACTTTAATGTTTTTCTGTTTAATTTCTATCAATAAATTTATTAAGAGACCCCCACCGCGAGTCCACTCCTTCGCAAAGCCACAACTTTGTTTTAAAATTCCTGAAACACCCGTAGCCAGGAGGAATTGCCTTGGCACTCCCTGAGCGGCGGTAAATGTCAGGTTGATGTCCTATCTGGGTGATACCATTTTTACAGACAGAAAGTAAATCAACCAGACATTTAACCTGAACGATCTCATATTTTTTCAATTCAGCCGACGAGATGTATCGAACCATCTCGAGTAGTGTGCGGCAAAATCGCATTCACGGGACCCAGGATTTTTTTCAAAATATTTTCGGGACGGGATCCCGCGGGATTATTCCCGTAAATCCCGCTCGTCGCTTAAAACACGGGATTTCGGGACAGGATCCCGTAAAAGCCCGTACAGGGGGTCCCGTCCTTGCCTCACACTAATATCATGACATCCAAGAAGTTGTGCACTGCGTCGGACCTGACTGGCGGTGGAATGACTCTGCCCCCAAATTTATTATTTATTCCCATTAAATATATAAAAGCATTTTTGTTTACTTCCGGTAAGCTTTATTTTATTAGTCTTTTCCTCTTCATTTTCTATTAAAAATGCTCGCAAATAAACTTTCTAAGAATACAAAAATTTTTTTTAAATTTTGTTTGGATGAATAAATGTATTTTATTGCAAAATTTTTTTAAAATTTTATTTTAAATTTCGACAAATGGATTTTTGATACAGGTAGTACCGAAAAATACTACCGGTCCGAGACTATACGTAAGTCTAACTAACGATGTGAGAAACCCGCGGTAGCTTCCCAAACAAGCTAAGGCATCCGGTCTGTTTTTTAGAATTTATTAGACATACAATCCGTTAAGTATTAAAGAGACTTTTTTTTACTTTTTAAACACAAATTAAATATACAATTTTAAAAAATAAAATAATAAAAATTTAATAAACACAATTAAAGAAATACAAAAAAAAAGTGAGAGTTTATAAAAAAATTTTTTTTTGGTTGTTTCTTGTTGTTGTTGCTATATTTTCTTTGATTTTCGATGATGAGAAATAAAAAAATGTTTGTTGAACATATTAAATTAAAACATTTAATTTTTGTTGTTGTCGTTAGGTTTTTTGTTTGCCTAAGGCAAAAAAAAAATAAATTTTTTCCAATAAATGTGATTAGGAATCAGTGTTCAGAGAACTTATCGTAAGCGTATATTGCAGACCTAGTCATGGATACTGATTTTGGTAGCCGTATCCGGATATTTACGGCGGATACAGGCGGATATCCGCAGGCATTTTGGTATTATCTGTATACATATCCGTATTTATGACCAGGTCTGGTATATTGTAGTGTTTCGCCGGAACCGCAAATTTGGTCGGAACCGGAACTGAAATTTTGACTGGATGCGGATCTAATTTTCTGGTTCCCGGAAACGGAACTGGAGGACCGGAACAGGAACGAAAAAATCCCGGAACTTCCGGCCTACCGGGACCGGAACTTCCGGCGAAACAGTATATTGCTTGAGGCCATATTCTGATTCAAATGCCTAAGGCAATTCTAAGTGCCTCAGGCAAATTTGATTAGTAAAATAATCTTTTCTAACCAAATCCAAAAAGTTTAGACCCAGAAGATTTTTGTTGTGTAGCTCTAGGCTTTGTTGGAGAGATTGCACCACTACTTGTTGTACTCCCACTTCCACTAGTTGGTATTGTAATATTTCCAGGAGTAATGCCTGGAGATGTTGGGGTACCCAAACTGCCACTACTGTCTTTTTTGCCGCTTCTAAAAAATATTTTCTAATTAAAATTGAAAAAATTAATTAATTTTTTACATATTCATTGAACCCATTGAATTGGCCAAGTAACGCTTTGGATCAACTAATGCAGCCAGGAATGTCTGCAAAAAAAGAATTTAAAATTTAATTCGATTTTTTTGAATTAGAAAATTTTAATTAATTAATTACAATTCCAAGTTTATTTTTTTAATCAGTATTATTCCTTTATTTATTTAAATACTGAAATTACAAATTGTAAAACTTGAAACTTTAAATTGTGATAAAAAAAAATAAACTTGAAATTGTAAACAATAATTAATTAAAGTTTATTTATAATTCTGGTAAAAAATAAAATTGTAATTATTAATTCAGAAAATAAATTCTGATTTAAACCCTAAATTCTGATTGTAAAATTCTAATGTTATTACAATCCAAGTTATAAAATTAACTGCAATAGGTTTGTAAAATATAAAATCAGAATATTGTAAAATACAACGTACAGACTTAAAATTCTGATTATTTAAATTCTGGTTCTCTTAAAAGTCTGACAGAAAAATTCTGATGTTAAATTCTGCCTAAAATTCTGATTTTAAAATACTAAATAAAATTCTGATCTTTAATTGAAAAAATTCTGATTTTTTTAAAATTCTGAAAGAAAATTCTGATGTCAACTTCTGACTCATATTCTGATTTTAATATAAATTCTGATTTTTTAAAATTCTGAATAAAATTCTGATTTTTTTAAATTCTGATCTTTTAAATTTCCACCTTTTGCTGGTCTAATTGTGTAGACAATTTAATTAGCCATTGTTCCTTATCTTCACTAGTAGCTGACTGCGCCACAAAAGTAGCTGGTTGATTAGGGTCGTTACTTTGTAAAACAAAACGTAAGGGTTCATCAACAACATTTTCTTCTAATACCATTTTATTTACCTTTAAACAAAAATTTTTTCTTTCAATTTCCCCCTTTTCCTTACCATTATTTGATTTTTAAAATTATACAGAGGATTTCCATATTCTTTTCTAGGAGGTATACATTCAGCAATAATTACAGACTGTTCAAATAAAAATACTCGACGCTCTTTTCCTTTGAAGGGTTGGTTTATATTTCCATCAGAAATTATTAGAGTGCCCTTAAAGTTTAAACTATATTTAAGAACTTTTACAATTTGTAAAAATAGGTTAAAACTTTTTTTACAATTTTTAAAATAGGCTGAAACTTTTTTTACAAGTTGTAAAATAGTTGCAACTTGTTTTACAATTTGTAAAAATAGATTCCAACATTTTTTTACAATAAAAAAATAAGCTGCAACTTGTTTCACAATTTGTAAAATTAGGTTCCAACATTTTTCACAAATTGTAAAATAGGTCAAAAAATTTTTACATTTGTAAAATAGGTTCCACCATTTTTTTACAATTTGTAAAAATAAGTTGCAACATGTTTTACAATTTGTAAAATAGGCTGAAACTTTTTTACATTTTGTAAACGCGGTTGCAACTTTATTTCCAATTTATAAAAGAATAAATTACAACTTTTTTGTAAACACTGTTGCAACTTTTACAATTTGTAAAATAGGTTCCAACATTTTTTTACAAATTGTAAAAATATGTGTAAAAACTTTTTACAATTTGTAAAAAATAGGTTCCGACATTTTTTACAATTTGTAAACACGGTTGCAACTTTTACAATTTGTAAGAATAGGCTCCAACTTTTTTACAAATTGTAAACAAGTTTTTTTGCAATTTGTAAACAAGATTACAACTTTAAAACTTATTACAAATTGTAAATATTAAATTTAAAAATTTTTTTCTTTATCCACCTGAAAAATTAAACGCCCCTGAGCTGTTAAATTGCCTTGAAAGCCTTGCAATCGTCCCACTTGCATCATATCATCACACGCTTTAGGCACAACCCTCATAACATCATGAGCACGTTCTAACACTTCTGCACGGTCATTAGCACGATGTGTGTATTTTAAAATATCACTGAGCATTAATTGGTATCTGCAAAAATGAGAATTAATTTTGTCTAGAATTTTTTTACAATTGTAATTTTAAAATTATGAATAGAACTTGTAAAGTTTGTAAAAATAGGTTGCAACATCTTTTTACAATTTGTAAAAAAGGTTAAAACTTTTTTACAAATTGTAAATACAGTTGCAACTTTTTTTACGAATTGTGAAAACGTGTTGCAACTTTATTTACAAATTGTAAAAAAGGTTGCAACATTTTACAATTTGTAAAAATATGTTGCAACATTTGTTACAATTTATAGGAAAAAAGGTTGCAACTTTAAAACTTATTACAATTTGTAAAAGTCATAATTAAAAAAGGTTGGATTTATAAAACAATCATTTTACAATTGTAAACTTTAAAGTTACAATTTAAAAAAATATAGAAAAGGTATATTTTCAAATTGCAACTTTAAAAAATCAGAATTTGTAAAAGTGTAAAAACATTTTTTTATAATAAATTAATCACAATTGCGAAAAAAGTAGCAAAAAATTCAGAATTTGTAAATTCAACGTTTGATTTTAAATAGGTATATTATTACAATTGTAAAAAATGTTTTTTACAATTTAGTTTTATTATAAACTACTTTGTAATCCGCTGGACAGGTTTAATAAGCAAATCATTAATAGACACTTTATGTCCAAGCCTGTCTTTTACATCAAACAGTAATTGTTCAAAATTGTCTTGACTGACCAAAAAATCTTTTTAAATTAAATTTATTTTTCAAAAATCTTTATTTTTTATTTTTACCAGATTTTGGTTTATTTTGACAATATTTAACGTAAAATGTGTGCAATCTCCTCTCCTTTAAATTTTAAAAAATTTAAAAATTATTTTAAAAATTCTCTCACATATTTAATAAAAGCATTTCCTGCTGCTTCATAATCTTGTAAACTTTTTTCAATTTCTTTACAAAAGACAGATCTATGAAAAATTAAATTAATTTTTTTATTCAAAAATGATACCAAGCCCACTTTGTTTGGAAGGTTAAAAGCAGAATTTTTTTATATTTTTTTCAGAAAAATCAGAATTATTTTCAGAAATTTTTCTGAAAAAAAAATCAAAATATTTTTTCAGAATTTTTTCAGAAAAAATCAGAATATTTTTCAGAATTTTTCAAAAAAAAATCATAATTTTTTTATAATTTTTTTCAGAAAAATCAGAACCTTTTCAGAATTTTTTCTGAAAAATCAGAATTATTTTCAGAAATTTTTCTGAAAAAATCAGAATATTTTTCAGAATTTTTTTCTGAATTTTTTTGATCGGCCTATTTTATTTTCTCGTACTCACCGTAAATATATATGAGTACAACCTTGGCATGAACTCTAAAATATTCCCGTACTTACTTATGAAAGTCCAATATTTGTTCAATATTTGCAAATATTATTTTAACTTTTTCTCGATCCTCATCACTCAATTCCATCTCTTTAAGTGTTCCAATATACCCATCAACTATGGAAGCTAAATCAACTACATAAGCACGTTCTGTTTCTACAAGTTCTTGAAGTACATAACTAGAGGGAGAAAATAAAAAAATGAATATGAATTATAATTAAAAAATCTGAATATTCGAAAATACAAAAAATCAGAATTTTCCCAAAAAATCAGAATTTTCCCAGAAAAACAGAATTTTTCGAAAAAATCAGAATTTTTCCAGAAAAACAGAATTTTTCGAAAAAATCAGAATTTTTCCAGAAAAATCATAATTTTTTCAAAAAATCAGAATTTTTCCATAAAATTAAGAAAAAAAAATTCAGAATTCTAAATCAGTTTTAAAAAATCAGAAATCAATTTAATATTTATTCTGATTTAAATTTTAATTTCAAAACTTAAGATATATTTTACCTTCTTTTCAATCTAGAACTCTCTTCCGGGGTCATTTGTGGGGGTGATGGAGCTGTATTGGTTGTCTCTTCTGTAGTTGCTTCTGTTATGTTATTTTCAGTCAACTTAAAAATTAAAAAAAAAATAAATAAAATTAATTTTTTTAATTATTATTCTGTAGGATTTAAATTTTTGAAAATTATTCATAAAAAATGAAAAAAAAAATTTTAAAGAAGGGAAAATTAAAAATTCATTTCACGTGTGTATTTAAAAAAACTTTTTTTTTAATTTTTTCCTTCTATTTTCCCCCAACCTTTAAAAAATAAAAAAAAATTTGAAAAAAAAAAATTCGAAAAAAAATAAAATAAAAAATAATTCATCCAATTTAAATCAAATAAAAAAAAGCGGAAGAAGAAACAGACATATAAACATAAATTAGTGTGTATAGTTTTTATTTTAACAAAAGTTTATGTGTTCCATTTTTAGAAATTTTTTAATTTATTTGAGACTAATTTAAGAGAAAAAAGTTGTGTTATAAAAACAATAAAAATAAAAAAAAATGAAATAAATAATCAGAATTAATTGAAAAAATCAGAAATAAAAGAAAACACAAGTTTGTAATTAAAAACAAATGTTTTTAATCGATAAACAACAGAAAAACAATCAGAATTTATTAACAACAAAACAAAATCAGAATTAATTTAAAACAAAAATACATTATTATTGAAAATCAGAATTTAGCAAATTAATTAAACAAAAAATCAAAATTTATTTTAAACATTCAGAAAATCACAAAATCAGAATTTATGTAAAACAAAACAGAATTATAAAATCAGAATTTATTAAAAACATAAATTAAACAATAAAAACCAGAATAAATTAATAAAAACACATCTGAATATTAATCAGAATTTAATATGAACAAGACGAACAAAAATCAGAATTTAATAAAAACAAAACAAAAACCAGAATCTAATAAAAAAATAAAAATCAGAATTTAATAAAAACACACAGAAAAAAGATAAAGCGACATTTAAACACGTGATAAAATCTGCTATTTTTATCACGATAGCCCCAGTTCCATCATAATTAGTCAATAAAATATATAAATAGTTTGGCCATATTAAATCAAAGGCTGTCGATTTTCATTTTTGATGGAAGGGATTAATAAAAAGAATTTTTTCAAAAAAGTGAAACGTTTAATTCAAATGTACTTACATAAATATAAAATAAATAAATAGATAAAGTGAGAAAATAAAAGATGAGAAAAAAGAGATTTAAAAAGAAATGAGGAGGAAAAAAACTTAATTTCCTCTCCAGAATTTTTATTTAAAAATATTTTTAACTTAAAAGTTTAATATAAATATTAGAAGATAAAGTACTTGAGAGTCAAAAAAATGTTTTAAAAATATTATTTTAAAAATTAAAAAATATTGAGAGACTTTTTTGGCACAAAAAAACTGTTTTTTATGCTTAAACATAAATTAAAAATTTATTTTGAAAGAGAAAAATAAAAAATAAAGTCTTGTTTTTAAAGTATGTAAATCCCTATTAAAAAAAAGACCAGAATTAAAAATATATTAATTAAAAAATATTCTGATTCTGATTATGAATTAAACAGGTATTCTGGTATATATTTAAAATAAACAAATAAACAGAATTAAAATTCAAACAAAAATTCTGATTTGTAAGTTTGTTAAAAACAAAACAAACAAAAATCAGAATTTATTAACAACATTCTGAAAAAAACATTTTGAATAATTCTGATTTATTTTATAATTATCTAATAATTCTGATTTTTAAAATTCTGATTTTTAATTAAAAAAATAAACTTGTTTGTAAAATATTCTGAAATTTTTATAGGTATTCAGAATGTTTTACAAACAGGTTTATTTATTTAAATTAAAAATCAGAATTTGTAATTGTAAAATAATCAGAATTTTTATAGGCGTTAATTTAATCAGAATTTTATTTATTTTTACAATCTTAAAAAATCAGAATTTAAAAAATATTCTGATTTATCCAAGACTCTATTGTTCAAGTTTTAACTTAATATTTTAAATAAAAAAGAGAAGTAAATTTAAAATAAAAAAAAAGATATAAAAAAAGAGGAAATAAAATAAATTGGCCCAATTTCCTCCTCTTTTTCTAGTAAATATTTTTTTTTAAAAAGTTGGATCAATTTTTCTCTTTTTTTTATTGTTGACTAGAAAAAGAGACTATCAGAAAAAATGTGTTATGCATTTAAATCAGAGTCCTCTAAAAGTTTATATTGAGGTTTGGGAGTAAAATGAAAATACTAAATTTAAAAATAAAATGAAAATAAGCGAAAGATCAAAGAATTTTAAACTGAAAAATATTTTTAAAAAATTCTAAAAAAAATCCCAAAATTTTAAAAATAGAAAAATTTTTTTAAAAAACCCTAAAAAAATTTTTTAAGAATATTTGGACAAAAATGAAAAAAATTAAAAAATTTTTTTCCTCCTCACCTCATTGTCATGTTCACCACCATTTTCTACTCCTCCACCACTACTTCCACCAATTTGATCCATTGGAGGCGGTAAATCTAATAAATCGTTGTTTGAAGAAGACCCTTCTTGTTGATTTTTATTTATTTTTGTTGATGGAGAAAGTATTTTATTATTATTACAATTTGTTGTTGTTGTAAAATCAGAATTTGTTGATGTTGATGTAGCTGATTTAGGCCTTACTATTACTGTTGTGGAAGGAGAAGAACGGCACTTTGATTCGCCTTTTTGACTGGAGGAAGTGAAGAAACGACTGGAAAAAATTTTCTTTATTAATTTTAGATATTAAGAATTTATTTTAATTTTGTTTAAAATTAAACAAATTTTCAAAATTAACTAATATTAAGTAAAATTATTTTTTTAATTTTACATAATATTAATTAATTTTAAAAAATTTTTTAATTTTTATTTTTAAATTTTACTTGAATTTTAATTCTTATATTTATTAAAAAAATATGAATTTTACAATTGTATTGTTAAATGTTAATTTATATTTTATAAATCCCAAATTGTAATAAGTTTATTAATAATTCTGTTTTTAAAAAACAGATTGCGAATTTACAATAATTCAGAATTTGTAAATTTAAGTTTTCAAGTTTATTTTTATTAAAAACTTAGCCTTAAAACTTGAAAACTTATTTTTTACAACTTAAGTTTTACAAATTGTAGTATTCAAGTTTATTTATTTATTTTTAGGCTTATTTTTTTATTAAACTTAAAACTTGAAAACTTATAAACCTGAAAACTTAAAACTTGTTATTTTTTTTCTTTTAGTGTGACGCAAATAGATAAGTAGAAAATGCAAATAAATATATAAAAATAAAAAGTATTTAAGTACCCCAAGGGAAAGAAAAAAAATGGGAAATTTTTGAAAAATAAAGAAAAAAGTCGATTATTTTTAAGGACACAAAATTATTAAAAAAATTTTTATTTTTTTATTTAAAAAGAGAAAAAGTGTTTGTTATTATTAAATATTTTTTATTATTATTTATTTTATTCCAGGAAAAAATTTTTTTTTAAATATTCCACTTAAATACCTCCCCTTATTTTTCTTTAAACTTTTTAAAGTCCTCAAATAATTTTAAAAACAGCAGGAAAAAAATTAAAGATGACGAAGAAAAAATAAAAATACTTATAGGGAAAGGAGGAATTTAAAAAAGTAGATGGAAAAAAATGAAGAAAATGGAAGAATTATTAAAAGAAAGTATAAGTAATAAAAAGAAGAGAAAAAAAGAAGATAAAAAGAGTATTGTAATAAAAATATTATCAAAATTACAAATTGTAAAAAGTTTATTTAAATAATAAATTCCAACTTGATTATAGAAAATCAGAATTACAAATTCTGATTTAAATAAACTTTATTTAAATAAAAATTCTGATTCAATAAAAATCAGAATTTGTAATCTGTAATAATAAATAAATAATCAGAATTACAAATTCTGATTTAAAACTTTATTTAAATAAAAATTCTGATTTAAATCAGAATTTGTAATTTAAAACAGTATTATAAAATCAGAATTACAAATTCTGATTTGAAGTTATTTATTCTAGTTAGTTAAATAGCGATTCTGATTTAACCAATTTGTAAACACAATTACAAATTCTGAATTTAAATTGTAAAATTTAACTAAAAAGGAAAATCAATTAAATAAAAAAGTTTTTATTAAAAAAGTAGCGACAGCAAGTTGGCACTTTTTATTGTTAAAGTCCTCATTTTATGCTTCATCCTTTTTTGCCTTTTTTTATTTTATTTTCACCCCTATATTTAGTGCCGTCATTTCCGTCTTCAACAAGTCTATCTATTTATGCATTCTCCCTCCAAAAATATTTTTAAGGCTAAAAACTTTGAGAGATGCAAGAAATCTTTAAAGAAATTGTGACTCCAAAAATAAATAATTAAAAATAATTTTATATCATTCGATAGAGAATTAAATTAACTACAAAATGGTATATAAAACAAAATTTTTGGGCAAATATTAAAAAAGATATGGTCGAAAAAGTGTCTAGAATCGGCCTACATTTGCTTGAATAAAAATTAAAAATTCTGATTTTTTAAAATTCTGATTTTTAAGATATTTATTGAAAATAAATTAAATAGCAAATTTAAGCATCCCTCGAATTATTAAAAAAAAATTATTTATTTTTAATAATAAGGTAGCCAAAAAATTGCGTTACTTTTCTCCTTTAGAGAACTTCCAAAAAAAAACTTTTTGGAAGTTAAATTGCTGCCAACGGCATTTTTTTAAAAGTGGGAAAATTAAAAATAAAAATGAAGTAATAAGAGGGAAGGAGGATTATTATAATAATGAATTATTGATGAAGCAAGTGTGAAAAAAAAAGAAAATTTGAAAAAGTATGATGCAAAAAAACTCTAAAAATTATTATTTTAATTGAGAAAAAATAATTTTTTTTTAATTGGATTTTGCAAAAATTGACAAAAAATTAAAGAAAGATTAAAGAAGAAAAATATTAATTTTAAAAATAAACGATAAAGAGGGGGTAGGGATGTTTAGGCGCAGACTCAAAATTAAACTAAATTAAGCTTAAAGAGAAAATTAATTATTAAAAAACGGTTAAAGAAAATTACCCAAATAATTTTTTAATGGGCAAATAATGGTACTTGTGTAGTTTACACCCCATAAGCCCCGCCTCTTTTTATTTTCAGCCTTTTCTTTCGCTCTTCCTCCTATAAAATGACCATTTGGGTCGATATTTTAATAATCATATTTTATAAAAAAGAGGATCAAGGACAAAGGGGCGGGGCTTATGGGGGGGGGGGGGGGGGGGGGGGGTAAACTGCACAAGTACCCAAATAATTTTTTACAATTGATAATTTTTGAAAATTTGTAAATTTTACAAAAACAAATTTTAAAATTGAAAATGGAAAAAATATTGGTGAAGGTATGTAGAAAAATAAGTAGGTCCAAAAAAACCGTCTTGAGATAAGTGAAAAAATATATAGTGAAGAAGCCATCTTTTTTTTACTTTGAATGAATAAAAGAAGAAAATAAAGGATTGTGGTGCTTAGTTGAATTTGGCAAATGAAATTTGCTGAGTGCCGTTGCTGTTTAAAAAAAGAGAGAAAAGTTGGGGGAAAAAGAGAGAAGAGGCAGGGATGTTTAGGCGTAGGAATCTAGGGTGCAGGGATGTTTGAGTGTTAATAAAACAGTCAAAATAAAGCCTAGAGGTTGAAATTTTGTAGAGATAAGCTTAATAGTGTCAACTACATATTCTGAAAATTTCAGAATTTTTGGCAAAATATAAAGGAAGTTATGGATAAAAATATAGAAACTTGTCCAAAAGGTGAGGTATGCTCTCCATTTTTTGATTATATCTCTCGAAATATTAAAAATAAAAATTTAAAATTTCTAGTTTTGCTAGATAACCCCCTCAAGCATAATATACACAAAAAATAATAGAGCTGAAAATTCCCCAAAATAAAATAGACAAGTCCGCGCCCAAACATTAATACGCCCAAACGTCTAGAAAAAATAACAACAAAAGAGAAAGTGAGAGAAAAAGCTATTTACTCTCTCTCACAAAGTAGTAAAAAGCCACCAGTTAGTTCATCAAAGAAAAGCCATAATCCCCTCTCATCCATCGTCATATCCACACATACACTTCACGTCCAAAGTTTTTTTATTATAAAGCCAGTGCCGCGTGAAGTTGTGTAATTTTTTTATTATAAGGAGAGAGGGACATTAAAGTCTGAATAAATGAATAAATTTAACACTGCAACCTGAATCTGAAAATAGGAGATAGATACGTTTGGTAGAAAGTAGGAATAATGGTAGGATCGGATATGGAAAGAAAAGGAAAATCAGGTCGAGAAAGAAGGAAAATCTATCAAGTCAGTTTAACAATGGAAGTAATTGAGGGAAGTTAAACGTTCTCGTTCAAAAGGAGAGGGAATATCCATAAAAAATTTCCCTAGAAATTTTCTAGAAAAATATACCTGGGTATATTAGAAATAGACAAAACTCAGTCAATTAAAACGACAGAAAATACAGAGCAGACTTGGTAATGGACTCGGAACAGATAATTTGAAAATGCCTGCGGATACCGCATTTTCTGGATTAATTCCCCTCCCTCGAATAATTCCCCCTCTCGATTAATTCCCCGTGCTAGAGTTGGGTTGAAACAATAATTCCGCACCCCCAAATACCCTATTGCACGTTCAAATGCCAAAACGCGATTACTGCCCCTCCCTCGATTAATTCCCCATGCCAAGGAAGGGTTGGAAAAATAATTCCACAGGGGAATTAATCGAGAAAATACGGTATCCACCCGTATCCGCCGTAAATACCCAAATACGGATACCAAAATCCATGTCCATTACCAAGTCTTTTACAATAAAAAACCTTCCCAAAAATTTAAGAGAAAAATCACAAAATAGTTCAAGACTCAAATACCCCATCTGTCAATATTTCATCATATTCCCTCGTTATTTTTTGTTACTTATCGAGTACTAGATTAGAGGGGATACTAGTTAGCTTATGCTTTTTAGCCATTCCAAGTATTCAAGTAGGTATTTTCTTTCCTGAGGCTATTTAGCTAATATATTCCCCTTCTTCTTTCTCTCACTACCTCCTCTTTATCTTCTTCCTCACATAAAGCATTAAGCACAAAATTATATAAAATTAAATTATTCAATACCCAGTCTTTATTTTAAGCCTTTTCGGCGCTGTAGAAAGGGCGTCAAGTGGAAATTAAAAGAAAGGGTCCGCGCCAAAAATAGATGGCGCCCAAACATCTTTATTATTTTAATGAAGAAAAATTATGTGTAGAGAAAAAAGTAACGGCAAAAATGCCAAAGGCAGATGTTATAATAGAGTAGAAGTGCTTCTGCTTCTTTTAAAAAATACACATTTGCAGAAATAAAATTAATAGAAAAAAAAATTTTTTTAAAGTACTAATAAAAATGTGAAAATTGTGTGAAAGTCATATGAAAATATGATGAAAATTAATGAATTAATTTTTATATAAAAAATGTTCTTTGGGGAAAAAATGTTAAAGTTAAGATTTTTAAGGATTTGTAAAATAGAGGATTTTAGCAGAAAAAAATACAGATAAAATGTTAAAAATGCAATATATACAGACATTTTATGCAAGGAAAAGGCAAGGATATAGGTATACTAGAGATCAAACTTGGAGTGTCGTACAAGAATCGAGATTCGTATCCCGAAAAAATCTCAATAAATTTCGATCGAAATCTCCGAAAATCTTATCGTAAGAAAATTGAGATCTCGAAAAATTCTCTATCAAAAATCCAAGATTTTTGAAATATAGATAATGAAATATAGATAAATTACTTCGAAATATAGATAATGAGACCACCTCGAGTTAAAAATCCATAACTTTTTTAATACTCAACCAAATCACCTAATTTCTTTTTTGTTTTTTTAAGAAGGATGTTAGCTATCGTTTTTGCAAATTTCTTTTCATTAATACAGAAAATAAAAAAGTTACAAGAAAATAACTCAAGGGGCGTTTAACACAAGGGGAGGGGGTCCTATTAATGTTTCAACCTAAGTTAAAATATCAACAAAAAATATAAAAATTTATTTTTTACCCTCTAAACAAGCTTGCAATTGTAGCTGAGATTGATTCTCCTTTTCTAGTTCCATTTTTATTTTTCTGACATTTTTTATTATTTCGTTTTTTATTATTTAAACTGCCACAACGAAAAATGAGGTAATCTGAGAAGCGTCTTCCTCCTCTTACTCGCCCACCACCACAAAATCCTTTACTTGTATCTTCATCATTTTGGCAAATATTATCACAACACATTTTTTTTAATAAATAAAGGGGATATAAAAAGGGGGGATATATCTGAAATAAAATTTTTTTAGATTTTGCACGACTAAAAATCAAAAAAAAAAATTTTTTCAAAAAATGTATGGAAGGAAAAGTTTAAAAAAATATCGGACTGAGGGGGTCTCGGACGAGATATATACTGTATTTATTTTAATAGAATGGCCTCTCTGATAAAATGGCCTTTTTTTGGGGGTAATGAAAAATAGAATGGATGTCTCTATTGGAATGACCCCTCCAATAGAATGACCCTTTTTGGGGGTATTGAAAAAAAAGAATGGCGGCCATTCTATTAGCATGAATAAGGTATCTCGAGAAATCTTATTTCGCTAACCAATATTTTTTTCTCTCGTCTGATCTAGTGTCTAATAAAAAATAAATAAAATACACCATTCACTTACTTAAAATTATGGCCTTAAAGAATTATGGCCAATAAGGACCGGAAGGGTTTAATAGCTGATTATATACCCTGTGTAAATTAGGTTTTCACAGATCAACCGAAAAAATTTTTTAGGCGAATTCGATTAAATTATTTTTAAAAAAAATTTAAAAATTAATTTAGTATATGCGTATTTAACAGAGATCTATTTTTGAAAAAAAATTCGCCAAAAAAAAATAAAATTTTTTTTCAACTCATTTAAACAAAGATCTATCTATTTTTATGTAAAAAAATTAAAAAAAAAATTCGGCAAATAAAAAAATACGCACATAATAATTTTTAATTTTTAAATAAATAATAAAAATAGATGGGTATAATTAGTAAAAAAATAAATTTAAAGAAAAAAGGAAACAATAAACAAAATACAATTTTGGGAAATAACCCTCTCCCTTTAATTTTAATTACTAAGTGTTGTCACAAAATTAAAAAAAAATTATTTTATTTTTTCTTAAAAATAATCAAGAAAATAGTCAAAAAAATAAAGGAGGTGAAGGTTAAAGTGAAGAAAAAAAGACGAATATTGAAGAAGAAAAAAATTAAATTGCGTCATCAAATCACTCGCTATCCTCCTCCTTTTCCTCCTCCTTTTTTCCCCTCTATATACCGTTAATTCCCCTCCATTAAACTTTTAACTACTCCGCGCGGAAAAAAAAATAAAATAAAAAAATTTTTTTTGTGTCATTAAACGTGTTTGTATATATATTGAATTTTGTTTTTACAAAATAAAAAAAATTAGAGAGATAATTTTAAACGTAAGTAAATAAAAAAAAGATGTTAGTAGAATTTTTGAGAATTAAAAAAATAATAAAATAGGTAATTAATCAGAATTAATAAAAATTGCAAGTAGATACATATATAAATAATTAAACACAAGAGAAAAAAAATCAAGTTTGTAATTTGTTTAAAAATACAAACTTGATAATTGTAAATTCTGGTTTTTTAAGTTTAAATTCTGATTTGTATTTTTATAACAGCTATTCTGGTCAAGTTTATTTCTGGTTTTATGTTTAATTAAAATTCTGATTTTTTTCAAGTTTATCAGAATTTCAAGTTTATTTATTTCTGGTTTTATAAGTTTAAATCCTGATTTGTATTTTTATATTTCAAGTTTATTTTCTGATTTAAAGTTTATTTTTTTCTAATATTAATTTAAATTTATTTAATTTTTTATTTAATTTGAATTCTGGTTTTTTTCAAGTTTATTTATTTTTGGTTTTATTTAATAAATTCTGATTTGTATTTTATTTTACAAAATTCTGATTTTTCTGGTTTAGTTATATTTTGTATTTTATTCAAGTTTAATTTAAATTCTGATTTTTAATTTCATGTGTTTTTACTATATTTCTGATTTTTTAAATAAATATTAATTTCCCCACCGAATAGATGTACGTTTATTGTTGCTGCTATTTGGCGTAGAAGCAGTTTCGTCATGAGCATGTGAAGTGGAAGGTGTTGGTTGGTCTGAAATATAAAATATATAAATATTTAAAATAAATTAAATAAAAATATATAAAAAGCACCATTTTTTGAAGGATTTTAAAATTAAAAAAATTTCTTTTTAATTTTAATTTTAAAATTTGCCTCACTTATTTTTATATACACTCAAATGTTTATTTTTTTATAAAATTAAAAAATAATAAAAAAAATTTTATATTTATCGTTGCATATTTCTGTGTAAATTTTATAATGCAAACAAAAATACACTTATATTTTTCCAAAAAATAGCCAATTATCCGATCATTTTTGGGTCGTAAATTCGCAATATACCTATATAACTGTGAATGAAAAAATCCCAAAAATATCAAAAAAAATATTTTCCAAAAAAAAATTTCTCGCAAAATTTCTAAAATTAGGGCTGTCATGGAAAACTTTAGACATCCGGAACCGAGTCCAAAAAAATCCTCAATTCTTCGTTTTCTAACCAGAACACCAATCACCCCCTTTTTTTCAAACCATTTAAATTAGAAGATAACGTAGTTAATTCTGCAGTACTCGTCCTTCTTGTATTATTAATTAAATTTAAATTATTATTATTCGTTGCTTTTCCATTAGAGTTCGTTTCAGTTGTAGTAGATGTTGAAAACCATTTTTTTCTATTTAAGGCAAAACTAAAACGTTTTTTGGTTGGTTTCTCTTCCTCCTTGGCTTGATTCTCGCCTTGATTCTCGTCTTGATTCTCCTCTTGATTTTCGACTTTCTGTTCGTCTTTTTCGTCTTTTTGTTGCTTTTCTAAGGCTACTTGACCTCCGTTTCTTCCCGAATTCCTTCCCGAATTCCTTCCCGAATTTCTTAAAGGTGATTGGCATTTACTAGAGGTTGAACACCTCCTCTCCCCTCTCCCTTTCTTCGTCCCCTGAGGAGAAAACGAGGCAAATCTACACGTATTAAAAGACGATTTTTTGACTAAATTTGTGTGTTTTGAAACAAATGAAGCTGCTGCCGATTCACTTATTCCACTAAATATAGCGGCTGCTGAAAATTTTTTTCGATGGTAGGAAGGGGTAGAAGTTGATGTATTTGGGGAAGAAGTTGTGGTTGTATTTGATGTTATTGATAATTTATTATTATTATTTGAAGAAGGATTGGGGTTGGTGTCTTCTATAGTTTGTGAACGCTCGATTTTTCTGAGCGGCATTTTTGTAGTGTTTTTTTATTTTATTTTTCGGAAAAAAAATTTTTTTATTAATTAAATTTTAAAATAAAGCCACAATTATAAAAAAAATAAAGCCACAATTATATAAATATAATGTAAGAAAATATAAAAAAATATTTTAGAAAATAAACTCTTCAAAGAAGGCATAAAAGAAAACACTATAAAATTTTAAAAAAGAAATAATGCAAGTAAATTAGCCTCAATTTTTAAAATTTTCTGGAAAAAAAATAAATAAAATAAACTAACAGAAAATAATAATAGTTCATAAAGGAAAAAATTCAAAAAATTAGTAAAAAAATTCTATAAAATTCTAAATATTTTTTTGGTTTTGGATTGGACAACTTATCGGATTAGATTTTCAGGTAAAAACCAAGGTAGAAGACCAGGCAGAACCAGATCTCTGAGTATTTTCGAACTCTATTCTCAAACAACCCTTCCTCGCAGTCCGGATTCTGGTGTATAAATTTAAGAACGGAGTCCGACTGTATTTAAATTTTAAAAAATCACAATTTAAAAATACTATATTTCATTTTCACCTAAAAATAAATTTGAAAATCATCGATTAAGAGAAAGAGAGGCGCTTGAAAAAGGAAAATTTAGAAAGAGCTCTGCTATCATATGAAGGATTTTTTTAAAAAGCTTTAAATGAAACGTTCATATTTTTAAAGATGATAAGAAAGCAAATAAACAAACAAACAAAAAAAAACGCGCGCAAGCAAAGTATTTTTGTAGAAGAAGAAAATGTGAAGGAAAAAGTAAGAGGGAAAGGAACAGCTGTAAAAATTAACAAAAAAAATTTTTTGTTAGATTTTGAGATTTTTAGGAAGAAATTAAAATTTTAATGAAAAAGAAAAGTTGATATTAAAAAATAAGAAAAATCTGGGAAGAAAATTAAGAGCTTAAAAAAATAATAGTAGAGCACAAGTCAAGGAGTCGGGAGCTGGAGGACGAGAGAATATAATTTTATCAGAAAATCATTCTTAGAGGTGTAAAAAATTCCAGACTTAATCGGGAATTTAAATCGTGTGTCGGGATCGGAAGGCCAAAAACTAGGGAAAATTTTCCGAGTCGGGAGTCAGGCAGGCCCGTAGCCAGGGGGGGGGTGAGGGGGGGAATTCCCCCCCCCCCCGAAATGGGAAAAAGGAAAAAATTTGGGGAAGGGCTGGGGCAAAAAAGTGAATTTTTTTGGCCTACGGCCTCTGAAATTTAAAAAATTTTCGCCTGCGGCGCTAAAAAAGGAAGAAATCTGGCTTTTTAAGGTCCAAAATCCAAAAAATTTTCGCCTGCGGCGCTGAAAATCAAAATTTTGGCGCCTGCGGCGCCGAAAGAGTGAATTTTTTTGGCCTACGACCTTCTAAAATTCAAAAAATTTTCGCCTGTGGCGCTGAAAATAAAAATTTTTGGCGCCTTCGGCGCCAAAAATTTGGCGCAAAAAAATTCCCCCCCCCCCCCCCCCCCCCCCGAAAAAAAATCCTGGCTACGGGCCTGGAGTCAGGATCGGGATACTAAGGTGTACCCAAGTACTCGTAACTATCAATATTTTTTTCTGTTAAAAAATCAGAAAAAATGACGAAAATATAAATGAAAGCTAAATCGGATTTTCTTCTCTCCTTTTCTTTCTTTCACTCGATTAAAAAAATTTTTTTAAAGAGCTTTTCATATGTAAAAAATAAACGTTAAAAAAGAAGATGAGGAAGAAGCATAGCGCAGTAAAAAAAGAGGAAAGAAGAAGATTCTTTGAAAAAAAATATTTTTTAAAGAGGCTTAGAGAGAGAGAGAAAATTGAGGAAAATGAGAAAAATTTTTTTATCAAGTTAAATATAAATAAAATTTGGCCTTTTTTCTGTGTTTATTTTTCTTTGAGTTTTGACTTTTCCTTCTTCCTATACCCCCCCCCCTCCTCAAAATATTTCTCTTTTCTTTACAATTTTTAAGACATTTAAAAAAATTAAGGAAGAAATTTTATGAAGGGGATACAAAAAAAGAAGAAAGAAGAGGGGTAGGAGATAAAGCGCTACTGCCAGCTAAAGATATAAATAAAATAGTAAATAAAATCAATTAAAATAAAAAAAGAAATATTAATTTTTTAAAAAGCTTATTATAAAAATTTTAAAGAGAAAGAAAAAGAAAGAGATTATTGAAATGAGAAAAAATTAATTTGTTTAATGAAGAATTTTGTCGGTGCGATCCCTGCAGTATATCTACAGTCCTATTAAGCTCTCGACGAAACTCATTCCTTGATTTGTCTTTTCCTTGACTTATCGTTCCTTGTCTTGTCCGTTCCTTGAGTTAGCCTGACACGACGAGGCTTTAGGCAGAAACTTCGACACGAACCTGAGAAGGCTCACTATACTATTTCGTTAAACTTTACACTTCCCGACACACTTAACCCCCCGATTTTTTAATTTTATTATAAATTTAAAAAAGCTACTATATTTTGATAAGAATAAATTTATAAAATGGGGTGATGAATAAAATTTAATAAATAAAATTTTTAAATAAATTTAATAAATAAGAGAAAGAAAAAATAATTAATAAATTAATAATAATATTTTTATTTTTATTAAAGTGCATTTTTCCATATAATTCCCATGGATAAAAAAATAGATAAATCCCATGAGAAAAAAAAGAAGGATAAATGAAATTGTTTAGTGAAATAAATAAAAAATAGAGATAAATTAAAAATATTATTATTATTTAAATAATAGCAAAAAATATTAATAATTTTTCTTTTAAATTTTTAAGAAAAATTAATATAAAAATATATACAAGTTCTGATTTTTAAAAAAAATTTTGAATTTAATTAGCATGTATTTTACAAAAATTCTGATTTATAAAATAAAGCAGGATTCTGAAAATAAAAAAAATAGAGAGAAATTCTGATTCTGAAAAAGAAATATAAAAAATTCTGAACATAGAGAAATTCTGATTCTGAAAGGATAGAAAATTCTGATTTTTAAAGAAGAGAAATTCTGAAATAGAGAAATTCTGATTCTGAAAAAAATTAAAAACAGCATAATTCTGATTCTTAAAAATTCTGAAAATAGAGAAATTCTGATTCTTAAATGATAGAAAATTCTGATTTACAGAAAAAGCATAATTCTGATTTTTATAGAAGAAAAATTCTGATTTTTTTTAAATATTCTGAAAATAGAGAAATTCTGATTCTGAAAAAGAAATATAAAAATTCTGATTTTTAAAGAAAAAAATTCTGAAATAGAGAAATTATGATTCTGAAAAAATTAAAAGAAGCATAATTCTGATCTTAAAATATTCTGAAAATAGAGAAATTCTGATTCTAAAAAGATAGAAAATTCTGATTTATAAGAGAAGCACAATTCTGATTGTTAAAGAAAAAAAGATTCTGATTTTTCTAAAACAAATTCTTAGTCAAACTTGAAGCATGCAGAAACACATCAAAAGCTTGCAAATAAACAAAACAAAAAATAGATAAAGCAATTATTCTAATAAATTCATGCACGCTAATTTCATTATGACAAATTAGAATAAAAACAAAGGGAAAATTAACAGAAAAAAATAAAAAAGAGGAAGCTAAAAGTGTGCTTTTTCTCCAAGAGAATAAAGGAGAGGATCTCCCCCACTCTTTTTTTTTACTTTGTGTGCTTAACGGGCCATTTCATGTCCCATTTCTTTCCTTCATTTTCTCATTTTCAAGTAGAAAAAAAATACAAAAAAATGCCAAAAAGAAAGAAAAAAGGTAAGTAGATAGGTAGAAGAAGCAAAATTTTTCTAGCTTTTTAGTGTGTGTTTGCTTTTTTAGCTATTCAATAAATGTTAACAAATATATGTATAACCAACCGCTTATAAATCAATAATGTGGCAAAAATGTGAAGCATTTAGAGTTGTTGGAGGGGTTTTTTTTTAAAAAAAACTAAAAAAAGAAAGAAGAAGACGTGCAAAATATATAATTAAAAATGAAAGAAAGAAAAAATAATTTAAATAAAGGAATAAATAATTAAAAGAAAAAATTTTAGAATGATAAAATGTTAAATGAAGCAAAATAACAAGAGGTATTAATAGTTGAAGCAAAAGAATAAAAGTTGAAGCAAAGTAGTATTAGAAGTTTGTAGCAAAATTCTGATTTTTAATTTCAAGTTTTAATTCAAGTTTTATAAGAAACAAAACAAACATGAGCTTTAAAAAATCAGAATTAAATTAAAACACATTAAAACATAAATGTATAAAACCAGAATTTCAATAAAACATATTAATAAATTTTAAGTTGGAAAAATCAGAATTTAGTTAAAATACAATAAAAAAGTGAAAACAGAATTTCTGGTTTTAATAGTTTGTTTAAGTTTTATTTTGTTTTAATAAAATTCTGGTTTTTCTCTAGCATGTTTTATAAAAATTCTGATTTTTCCATTGTTTTATAAAAATTCTGATTTTTCAATTGTTTTAAAAAAATTCTGATTTTTCTCTAGTATGTTTTAATAAAATTCTGATTTTTAGTTTTAACGTGTTTCAATTTAATTCTGATTTTCAAGTAGCGTATGTTTTAACAAAATTCTGATTTTTTACACGTATGTTTTAACGTGTTTTAATTTAATTCTGATTTTAAGATAATATTTAATTATTCAAAAACAGAATAAGAAATACAATTGTAAAATTAAAGGAAGTTGAAACATTATATTATTGAAAGTGGAAAGAAAAAAAAGAGATGCGTGATATTTTATGTCATTTAAAGTAAATAAAAAAAGAGAAGAGAGAATTTTAAAAGTTACCTAATTTAGAAATAAAATTTCCAAGAAGTTGAAAAAAAAATTTTTATAAATAAAGACTAATTTTAGATGCTCAATTTTACACTTTTTTTTTGCAATTATATTAAGGAGAATCAATTTTTTAGTTCCAAAAATTTATGAAAATTGGAAAAAAATATAGAGCATGTTAAAACATAAAAAAATTAAAAATATTAGAGTATATATTATTTAGTAGAAGAAATAATTCTAATGTTGTTCTTGGAAGAATAATAAATTTAATTTAAATTAAGGTATACCTAGGTAATTTTAAAATAAAAAATATAAAGTAAAAAATTAAGTAAAATAAAAATTGTCAAAAATGATGTGGCAAAAAAGCAAAAAATTGAAAAAAATAAAAAAAAATAAAATTTAAAACTTGATTTTTATTTTGTTTCCTTTTATCTCCAAAAATAAACTCTCCATTTTCTCTCCAGGGAAAAAATGGCTTGTTTTGGAACTTAAAAAGGAGGGGAAATGATTTATGAACAAATAAATTATGAATTGCGTAAAAATGAATATTTCAATAATTTAAAAATAAAAAAAAAAGAAAAAAAGTGAAGCAAAAATTGTAAAAAAATAAGATTAGTTCAGAAATTAAACATTTTACAATTATGTTTAAATTGTAATTTTTAACAAGGTTTTTAAGTTGTAATTAATTAAAGTTGTAATTAATTTACAATTTGTAACAAATAAACTTGGAATTAATTAAACTTGAATTATTTAAAGTTGGAATTAATTAATTTTCAAGTTGTAATTAATTAATTAAACTTGTAATTATTTAAATTACAATTTGTAATTAATTAAACTTGTTTTACAATTTGTAATCATTTCAAGTTTTAATTTGCAATAATTAATTAAACTTGGAATTATTTAAATTACAATTTGTAATTATTTCAGGTTTCAATTTGTAATTAATTAAAACTTGAAAATTACAATTGCACTTGTAAAAATAAAAATAAAGTTTTGCACATTACAATTGTAATTAACAAGTTGTAATTATTACAAATTATAAAACTTGAAATAATTACACAAGTTTATACAAACATTACAAATTGTAATTTACTCTTTAATTTACCCAAAAATGTTTCTAAAAATCAAGTGTAATTAATTACCCAAAATTATTTAAATGGTATTTTTAGATTCATGTCTTTTAAATTAATTTCTCCCCCAAAAAATGGTGCTTTATTTAAAAAATTATTTTAAAAAAATTTCTAAGACCCACCAGGACTTTCTAAAGGCATCAATATCCGTTTAGGAACCATTCCTTCATTTTCTCTCTGCCCTACTTTGTCCAAAACAGCAATTTTTACAAATTCATTATTGTTGTTATTGTCCTCTCCAATATCACAATTATTTAAAATTTCAACACGTTGACCAGACAAAATTGTTAATTGTTCTGAATTGGAGGCAGTGAAGTCTTCTGTTGTTGTGTAATATTGTTGTTGTTGTTTGTCCTTAAAAATAAAATATATTAATTAATTAATTTAATAAATAATAAAAAAATTTTCTAATTAAAAAATAAAATTAAAAATCAAAAAAAAATTAGATTAAAAATTGTAAAAAAATGAAAATCTTAAAATTTAAAAATAAATAAAAAATAAAAATAAATTTTAAAACCATTTTTTAAAATTCAATTTAAAAAAATTATAAAAATAGTGTATTAAAATTTACCAACAAAATTTTGAAAAATCTAAAATTAAATATAAACTTAATTGTAAATATTTACAATTTTTACAATTTAATTTACAATTTTTAAAAGACATTTGTAAAACTTAAAGCTTGCTGTAAACTTGCTGCAAACCCTCAACAAAAAATAAAACTTTTTTTACAATTTGTAAGTTTTAATTGTAAAATTAAAACTTTTTATTTATACAACAATTAAAATTGTAAAAAAATTTTTACAAAACTTTTTACAATTTGTAAAAAGTTTTACAAATAAGTTTTCTTTTGTTTGCCGCACTTGTTTTTACAATTTGTATTTTTTATTAAACTTTTTTACAATTTGTAAAAAGTTTCATAATTAAGTTTATTTTATTTGCTTGTTTTTACAATTTGTATTTTTTATTACCCATTACTTTTACAATTTGTAAAAAGAAAAAAACGTCAACTAAAAAAGGCATAAAATTAATGCCTTAAAATTTTTTTTCAAATTTTTAATAACCTCATTATTTAAACAATTATTTTGTACAAATAATAATGAAGAATTATTTGAGCAATCATTAGTATTAGTAACCAAAAGTGTAATATCAGAAGAATTATTTGAATTAGAATTATTTGTTGAATGACGAAAAGAACCGGTTAATTTACGTCGAGCTCTATCATATAGATTTTCGGTATGGGAACGAAGAGTACGGAATGATTTTGAATAACTCAACATTTTTTTAAAAATTTTTCTTAAAAAATTTTTAATTAAAAATATGAAGGAAAGAAGGATAAATAAACTTATTTTACAATTGTAATTTTTTACAATAATTAAATAAACTTTCTTTCATTAATATTAAAACTTTTTTTACAATTGTAAATTTGTGAAAAAGCGCGAATAAAGTTTTAATTTAATAGAATAAATATTTATTTTACAATTGTAAAAAAAACAAATAAGTTTAAGTAACGATAATTTTACATGAATTGTAAAATTAAAATTTTTTTTTTTAAATTTTGATTTTGAAAAAGAAAAGTCTGAAAATTAGTAATATGTAGCTAATTACATATAAGCTACATATAAAATAGGTAGTTTTTCGTTAGTTTTTGACTCTCAATAGCTTTTCGATAGGACCCAAAAATTTGGAAATACTGCATATTATAAGTGGAATATTGAGGTATATTTATGATAGAATAAGGATTTTTAAAAATTAATACCAACCATTTAAAAAATATTAAAAAAAATTAGGCTTATTCTAAACCTAATGGTACATGTTATATTATTAATCCTCCCCTCTTGATATTAAGTCTACAAAAAAAATAAAAGTTCCTTTTAAATTAAAAGGAACACAATTAATAACACATATCCTTAAGCTTAAAATTAAAAAAAAATAAATTAAATATCTGTCTGATATCATTAAAAATAAGAAAGCAAGAATAAAAAATTTCACTTAATTAGGGAATCATAAGGCGAAGTCAAAAAAAATTTTTTTTGTTTAAATGGCAAAAAAACACAAGAAAAACGAGAAAAAATTATAACAATACACAAACAGAAAAATGAGAAGAAAGAAAATTTAACACACACAAGAGTATATTAGCTATATTGGAGACAGAAATAAATAAAAAAATGAAAGGCTCTCTGGTAAGGGCTGGTAAGGGGCTAAAAGGGAGAGGGAGAGGGAAAGGTTGGAGGGAAGGGAGAGGTTGGTTGGAGGTTTAGTTTGGGGCTGGTTGGTGGCAAGGGTACAGCCCAAGTAGGCGCGCGGCCAGGGCCCGTATCATAAGAACGTGGTTCGTGGTTGTTTAACCCTTACCGGATGGTAAACTTGGTCCTCTCGGTAGGGGTTAAATGACCTGATTAAATGACCAACTTCTTATGATACCGGTTTAACAACGTGCTCTTATGATACGGGCCATGTAGGCGCAGAGCCATAACTTGCTTCAATATTCCCGAATCTTATCAAAATTTAGTATTAAACGATTCTTCTCATTGAGCTGAAGAGAATTGGTACTAAAATTGTTAAGGACAGAAATTTTCTAGCTAGTTATAGCTTTGCGCCTACTTGGGGGGGGGGGCTGGTTGATGGCAACGAGACAATAATGCTTTACAAGCTGGAAGGACTTGGGGGGGGGGCTTTGGTAGCAGCTAGCTGTTCACACACAAACAAATAAATAAACACAAAAAAATAAGCGCAACGCCATACGAGATTTTTTTGCTTCTATAAAAATGGCAATTAGAGAGTGTATATAAACTAGCCATGAAATAACCCCCGCGGGGGGAGAGTAAAAATAAATAAAAAAAATTTCTACTATCATATTGCTTATATGCGCCTCAAAAAGAGAGAAAAAAATTTTTAAATTTATTCAGTTGACATAAAGCCTTTCTTTTTTGGTTTTTTTAAATAAATATTTATGGGGAGAGAAAGATAAGGCAACGAAAAAGCAAGCCCAATATGTTTTAAAAAGCAGCTAATATTTATTTTATAGAGCCAATTATTCGCTTACTTATTATTATATTCTGGTCTTAACCAAATAATTCTGATTATAAATTCTGAATTAAAAATTAAAAAGAAAAAAAAATACAGAATTCTGAAACAAATAACTAATGGGTAAAATTCTGATTTAATAATTCTGAAAAAAATTCTGAAAAATAAATTCTGATTAAAATTTTCAAAAAGAATTCTGAAATAAAAATTCTGATTTATTAATTTTGAAAAGTAGATTCTGATTAAAATTCTGAAATAATGAAAAAAAATTCTGATTTAATTCTGAAAAAAATTCTGAAATAAATTTCTGATTAAAATTCTGAAATAATGAAAAAAAATTCTGATTTAATTCTGAAAAAAATTCTGAAATAAATTTCTGATTAAAATTCTGAAATAATGAAAAAAAAATTCTGATTTAATTCTGAAAAAAATTCTGAAATAAATTTCTGATTAAAATTCTGAAATAATGAAAAAAAAATTCTGATTTAATTCTGAAAAAAATTCTGAAATAAATTTCTGATTAAAATTCTGATTAAAATTCTGACAGAAAATTCTGAAATAAAAATTCCCAAAACAAATTCTGATTAAAAACTGCTAAAAAGAAAGTCTAATTCTACTAAAAATTTTGATAAACAAATACAACTTGTGATAAAATAAAAAAATAAAGAGTCTACTAATTTAATTTAATTCTGATTTTTAAATGTATATTTTTAATCGGAATTTATCTTTATTTTTTTTTAATTAATAAAATTCTGATTTTATATCAATAGTAAAAGAATAAAAACGAGTAGTAGCACTGCTATTACCCTTCTCTTTTATTTTCTTCGTTAAAAAAAAGGAAAAAAAAAGTGAAACACCAAAATTTATACACATATATTTAGGTAATACCTATATTGGCCAACAAAAAAAAACCGCGCGTTTCTCTACGAGATTTTTAAAAAAAAAAATTTCTGTTTGTTAAAGTCAATGCGCTCTACTATGCATTTAAAAAAATTATTCAATGGTTCGGAGAAAAAAAGGTGTTTTTAATTTTAAATAGGCAGAAAAAAAAAGAGGAAAAGCCTAGAGGAAAGGCTAAATGTGTTAAAAAGAGTAAGAGAGACTTTTTGACCTAAATCCTTTCCATATTTTTAGAAAAAAAATTATAAACAAAAAATGAAAATGAATAATTTTTAGAAGAAAAAAAGAAGGAAGATTATTAAATAAATATGAGAGTAGTTAAAAAAATTTTTTTTTGAAAAAAAATTTTTTTTTGAAAATTCTCTAAAGCTTAAAAGTCCTAATGCTTAAATTGAAAAAAATAATAAATCCAAAAAACAAAAAATGACGGATTAAAAAAAAATTATTGTAATTTAAAAAAAGGTTTCTAATTATTAAAAAATTTATGATTCTTGCTCTTCTTCTTATTATTATTAAAAAAAATTTTTTTTATTTGTCCAAGCTTTACAAAAATATAATTTTCTAGGTATTAGTAAAAGGATGTCAGTTTGGAACCGAGTTGTCGAAGAACAGAGGGATTATTCGGTTTGGTTGCCCGGATATTGAAAGGTTTTTCAATAACCATCAACCTACTATTGGAGAGACAATCCCGATCCCGCTTTTTCCGATCCCGCTCCCGAAATATATATCCCGATCCCGGCCAATCTCAATCCCGAGCCGGGATCCGGGATCGGGATCACCATTCCTCAATCCCGATCCCGGGTTTTTCTCTAAATCCCGATACCGCTGAACTCTAATAAATACTGAGGGACTATGCTTACTCGTAGGACTAATATTAAAAAAAATATCGGTTGAAAAATAATAATAAAGTTAATCCCTTCTATAGGTGTCTATTGTCTAAGAATAAAAAAAAAATAATAATGAAAAAATAAAAAAAAAACAATTATAAAAAATAATAAAAAATAATAAAGGAAATTAGAAAAAAAATCAAAAAAATTATCAAAATAAAGAAAAATTAAATTATAAAAAAATTAAAGCATTGACGTAAAATATCCCTACTCCCCCCCTTACCCCCCTCTTCGGTTTAAACAAAATTTTTTAGTTTAAAAAATAATTTACCATCTTTTCCTCAACACATTTTTTCTTTAAAAAGCTTCCTCCTCCACCTCCTTTGTTTTTGTTTTCCCTCCTCCTTCGCAAATAATTATCTAACGAACTTGAAGAAGTTGAAGGAGAAGCTAGGGAAGTTGTAAATGAGCGGGTTATTGGAATATTATTTAAATTTTTTCGTTTATTTAAAGGCTTTTTCAATTCATCTGTAGATGAGGAAGTTGTTAAAAATGCTGTTTTTGTTTTTTCTAGTTGAAGACGAAAATTGGTAAATATTTTGGAGAGGCTGGTACGTCGATTAGTAGTGTTTACTTTGGTTGTTGGAATGTTGCTGTTGTTTTTATTAGTTATATCACCTATATATGAGTTATAAATTTAGGTATAAAATAGGGTCCAATATCTCTTTCCCGAAAAACTAACCATAATATAAAGGAGTAAAATAAAGTTAAATCAAAAACAAGAAGTTAAAAAATCTAAAATCAGACTAAAAAAAGGCATAGTAAGAAAGACATAAAGAATCAACGCCGGGCAGGATTGATCCCATAACCTCAGGTACTTATTACTATGGTTGTAGCCCGAACGCTCAGAGGTGGGTGTGTCGAGGTACAAGGTTTTCCATTGTTTCGGGGCGAGGGAGCAAAATATTGTCGGGGTATGGAGTCGAAGTACAACTCTAGTTATTACTAGGCGCTTTCGCTAAACATGTAAACCGACAAAGCTATAGGGGCAAGGATTCACCTTCTCTATTAAATAGATATGAACCGCAACCTAGTATAGTTCTCTTTTTTGCTTGGCTTATCATTTATACACTGATAAAGATGATAAAGACACGTACCTTCCAAAGGCTTTTGATTGAGCTTCTTTATCTTCATATCCTCTTTTCCCATACTTCCTTCACCTTCACAACTTGGAAATGTATTATTAAATGTTGCTGAATAAACCATTTTTGCTGTTTTCGCAGCCAAACCTTCCAATTTACTTTCTTTTTTATTATTTTTATTTTGTTCGTTTTCTTCTATAGGGAATCTTGAAGGGAGTAAATCAGCAATTGAAGCAGACATTTTTATACACGAAATACTTGAAGTCGTTGGTGTTGTCCCGAGTAAATTACTATTTTTATTTGAAAATGATTGGAGAGGTTCAGGGTCTTCATGCTCTTCCTCCCTATTATTTTTAGTTGAGAGATCCTCAGGGAGGTCCAATTTAGCTTCAGAGTCCTCTCCTTGTTTTTCAGAATCCTCTCCTTGTTCCATCAAAATTTCTTCCATTTTTGTATTATTATTTGGGGAGAAGAAAATGACTGAAGAAGCACATGGTTTATCATCCATCATTTGACTGCTAACAAGTATTTCATTATTATTAATATTAATTTTAGCAGCCGATGAGTCATTCTTTTCTTGTGAAATTTTGTGGTTTTCCCTTTTTTCTTCTTTAAAATCCATATCCTCGTTTAATTCCCCAACATTTTCTTCTTCGTTTTCTTCCATACTAAACGATTTAAATTTGTCTTCCAAAGAGTTTTGTTGATTCAAACTCGTTCCAAAGGCATCAGGCTGTCTCTCCAAACCTCCTTCTCCTTTATGACTTCCTTCTTCAGCGTTTACCCTCTTCATCGGCTCATCCACGAAATTTATTTTAGTCTCAGAAATTATTTTTTCTTCAGTTGAAATAATTTTTTCAATTCCTTCACCTCCTTCCTCTATCGTTGTTTCACCAAAATAAATTTCATTTGGAGGTGTGCTGAATAATAAAGGAGATGTGGAAGAAGGATCATCTTCAGATTGTTGTGACATTTATTTTTATTTTTATTAAAGCTGTTTTGTAGTTTTGAAAATAAAGGTATGGAGGTTTAGGGGAAAAAATATGGGTAGAGGTATGTTTGTGTTTGTTTTATAAGAAGGGCTGGATAAATTGATGAAAATAAAATCACAAAAAAATATAAGAGGAGATAAAAATTGGCTATAATAAATTGTGTGGATAATCAATAGGAAGGTAATAAATATTAAACTCTTTTTTTTTTTTAATTTTTTGTTGAAGCTAAAAGCTTACAAACCCCCTTCCACATATAACCCATATATTCGCAAGAGTGAACTTAAAAGTTTGAACTTAAAAAGTTTATTTTATTCCGTTATAAACAAGTTTAATTTTGTGTTTTTACAATATTCTGATTTTTATAGAACAAGTTTTAATTATTTACAACTTGTTTAAATAAATTCTGATTTTTAAAAACATGTTTATATTCACCTTTAAAACATGTTTGTTTATTTCTCAACATGTTCATTTAAAATTCTGATTTTATACAATTGTGTTTTAGTTTTTGAAAAATTCTGATTATAATTAAAAAATTCTGGTTTTCAAAACAAGTTTATTTTTTCAGAATTAAATCAGAATTATTTTATTAATAGTAAAATCAGAATTTTTAAAAATAAAAATACAATTGTAAAATCAGAATTTTAAATAAACTTGTTTTAAGAGCGAATATAAACTTGATAAGAAAATTCTGATTATAATTAATAAATTCTGATTTTTCAAAACAAGTTTAATTAAAATTATGATTTTTCAAAACAAGTTTAATTAAAATTCTGATTTTTCAAAACAAGTTTAATTAAAATTATGATTTTTCAAAACAAGTTTAATTAAAATTCTGATTTTTCAAAACAAGTTTAATTAAAATTCTGATTTTTCAAAACAAGTTTAATTAAAATTCTGATTTTTCAAAACAAGTTTAATTAAAATTCTGATTTTTCAAAACAAGTTTAATTAAAATTCTGATTTTTCAAAACAAGTTTAATTAAAATTCTGATTTTATTAAAACAAAATAAAATCTCCCATAAAAATTATGAAAACTTAAGTACTTAAAAAAGATGGAAAAAATTCAAGTTTGCGAATATATGGGAAGTTTGTACTCTTCCCCTTTCTAGACTACACTAAAAATCTCACACAATTGTTCTTTATATTAATTTTTAACGTTTTTATTTTTTTGAAAAAAATATAATTAAACAGCTGTTGCTTAAAAAATAAATTTTTTATAAATAAATGAAAATGTCAAGTGTGTAATATAAAAAAATATATAAAAATCCTAGAAAAATATTACAACATCCCACGTCTTCCCATTAAAATTTTTATAAAAAAATAAATAAAAATATTTTTGAAAAAAATATATAAAGTTAAAATTATAAACATGTTTATCAAAAATAAAATTTATTTTTAATAAAATACTAAGAGAATAGCAATAAGAGAAAATAATCAAAATAAATATAATGATGATTTAGTTACTTGTAATTTAGATATACTCACACCTCTAAACCCTAATTATATTTTAGAGTTAGAGCAAAATAGCAAAATTTTATTCTAATCAGCTCTTATTGGGGGGTGGGGTATAAAGTAGTGTAGCACCCCATCCCCCGATTATTTTTTGGGCAAAAACCCCAACCCGAATCCCGAAGGCTCTACCCCGGCAAACTTCAAAACTCGACACTCTCGCCTACGAAGGCTAGGAGTGTTACCCTAGTATAAAGAATAGCTACCCTGATTTTAAACATCAACAGAAAAAATTGAAATTTTGAGAAATTTAATGAAAATATGCAAAAAAAAAGTAAAAAATAGGCAAGAAAAAATTAATTAGAAAAAATTAAACGAAAAAATTACAATAGAAAAAAAACTCGAACATTTTAAAAAAAAACTATATTTTTTTAAATTAAATTAGGTAAAATTTTTTATAAATTAAAAATTAAATATTCAAGAAAATGAGAAAAAATATTTTTGTTTTAAAATTAAATTTCCCACCTCAACAAAATTGATATTATTATTCTCATATCCACCATAATTTAATTGTTGTTGTTGCCCATTTTCTTCTTCATTTTTTATTATTTCACGCATAATAACTCCTTGTTGTTGTTGTTGTTGTCCTCCACCTCCTCCCCCACCTCCACCCCCACCTCCACCATTAGATGAATATAATAAACTATTATGTCCACTATCTATACTTTGATAGGAAGCATTTTCTTCTAAAGGTAATTGAGCTAAAGCTGTACTAGCTACCACAGATTGTAAAATTAGACTAGATTGACTATCTCTTGATCCTCTATTGCTTTCTTTAAAAAATTTAAAAATTAATTTTTATAAAATAGAAAAAAAATTTTTTTTTGAAATTTTGGGAGGGCCAACAAGCCAGACTTCACTTGTTTTCTAAAAAATGAAATAGAAAACCAAAAAATTTCTTAACTCGAGTTTTGTTTACTTATCCTAATTTGATAAAATATTGTAAAGCAGTGTGTTTTGACCGCAATTGGAATAAAATTTAGAGTTGAAACCCGAACCGGATCCCGACAGGATTTAAGGGATCTCGTGGTCCCGATTGAGGTATTTTGATAAAAATAATAATTTTCGAAATTTTGATACCAAAAATCCGGTCCGAATAAAAAAAATTCGTGAATCTTGAATCGGGATTAGGCAGTTCCCAAACTTTCAACTCTAATAAAATTGCAGACTTTGGGAATTTTTTTTTAATTTTAAAATTAATTAATTAATTTACCAGTATTACTCCCTCCCCCACCACCTCCAGTTTTATGTCTACCAATATCCATTTTCAAATCCCTCAAAGTTTTAACCCATAAAATTCTTTGTGCTTCTGTATTTGCTTTTAAAACTGTTGTGTTTTGATCATTTTGACAAGGGAATGCACTCTTCCTTAAACCAAATTTTGTATTATCTCCTTCAATGTGTTCAACAACATGAAGTTCTCGAAGCTTAGAAAAAGAACAAACTTTTTTAATTTTAGTTAAATTAAATTTATAAATTCCAACATAGAGACTAACATACGGAGAGTGATCATTTTCGTAATTTGAGGACCAAAAGTATACCAAAAAAATATATCCAAAAAAAAAAACCATTTTTAACTAGCATAAAATTCAATCGAATAAATTTTAATTTACACATTATTTTTATTATAAAAATAATCATATTATCCATGCCTCAAAAATAGATATAGGGTTGTCGGTTTTAAACAGAAATTAAAAACGAAAAGACTTTTTGTTTAGCCTCGCTCCAAAAGCATGGGTTTTTCTTGTACCCAGGTCGAGGCCCAGGCATTTTTTGACCTCCCTGGGGCTTTTATTGGGCCTGGGATCCGGACCAGTATTTCCTGGGCCCAGAATCCGGCCCAGTCCCATAAATCAAACCCAGAGTATAGAACAGGTCCAAGCTTTTCAAAAATCTCGATATCTAATAAATATTAATTAAAAAAATTTTTTCCTTCACTTACCAACATAGAATCTTTAAATACATAACCAGTCTTTTTTGAAGATAATTCTTCTCTTTTTGTAAAAACAATGTTGGATTCAAATAAAAATAATTGAAATTCACGCTCTCTTTTAAAATAACGTTTTGGTTCTGAGACAAGAAATATATCTGGAAAAATATTTTTTTAGTTTTCAAAATAAAAATAATACCTTGCATAACAAAATCCCCAACATTATATTTCTGATAATCCTCAAAACTTTTTAAATGCATACGATCATTAGCCAATTTTGGGATACTCAAAACAATTTCATAAGCATTCTATAAAATAATGAAAAAATTATTTTTTAAATGAAAACAAATTAAGTGGTTAAAAACCAGCCTAAATTCAGATTAGTGTTAATTCGAAAAAAAAACTTTTTTTTTATTTTTCTCTTAGAAAGAAAAATTTTTTAGGAGCACCTGGGCTTGACGCAACTAAAAGAATTCTCCAAAACCGCAATTTTTACTATTAAAATCCGCAACCAAAAGTCAAAAAATTGCGTGAAGCACTGAGGAGCACACCGAAAAAACCCCAAAAATTCTCAATTAAAAAAATTATTTTTAGGGCTGGACACAAATATGATTAACCAAACCCGAAACCGTAGCAAAAAACTAATGCTTTTTTCCGATTAACCAACACCCAAAACTGAGGGTCAAAAATCTGTGATAACTGAAAACAGTGTATGTACCAATTACTACAATAACCCGTGGTTGTGTTCAACCCCAATACTCAATAAAAAAAAATTCACCTTAATTTCTTTTGTATTTTTTGTGCAATGTTTAAATAGCTCTTTTAATAAAACATGATATTTTGTAATTCTTTGGACAGGTTTAATAACTAAAGATGGGAGATCTTGACAATGCTCTAAATTGTGTTGTTCTCTAATTTCCTGTATTTTTTAATTAAAAATTATTTAGATAAATTATTTATACATATATAGAATTTTTAAAATAAAATTCAATTGTTAAAGACTAAAGTTGTAGTTTAAAAAATTTTTCTGCGGACTTTTTAAAAAATTATTTTATTAACAAATGTGGATGCGAATGTTGATCTATACATTTCTTTAATAATTTTGCGATCCCAGACTTTTAATTTTTTTAAAATCAGGGTGTCTGGTGGCTGAGAAAAAAATCAGGTTTCGAGTCGGATTTTTACGAAGTTCCCGGTCCCGAGCTAAAAAAAGGCAGGATTTCGCTATAGGGTTTCAGATAAGCCGTGATATTCCTGATCAATATGTTCAACACCGTGTTGGTAAAATATTTTTTTTTAATTTTTCCAACCAACCGAAAACATAGTAGCCGCTTCCGGTAGACAAATTAAAAAATTATTTTCTTCTTTATTTAGGCAATAATCAGCATATAATTCTTTCAATTTTTCCATCCAAGCAATAAAACAATACCCAACATCTTCTGGATTTTGTTCATAAGAATGCAATTCGGATAGAAATATTTTTGAATGGAATTGGTAAAGCTCTTCAATATTTCCAAATATTTCACGTTCTTTTCCTCTGATAGATAATGGGCACATTGATCCAGCAGTTTTATAGGCAAACAAGTAGATATCGATACATCGACTAAAAAATGAAATTAGAATTTTTTTAGCTCAAATCTAGTCTATGAGCCCAATGAAAACTTGAGAGTTTTACTTTTCAATGGACTCCTAAAATTTTTATTTGGACTCGTAAAAGATTCATAAACAGACTCATAAACAATGACTGACAATGAGTGTCGAACAAGTAAAATCCCTTAAAATTTTTTAAAAAATACCCACAAAAAGTCAAAAAATTCCCGAAAAAAAAAGAATTAAAAATAAAATTAAAAAAAAAATTTTTAGAAAAAATTCTTAATGACCCGAAAAGTGATAAAAAAAATCTTTCAAATAAATATAATTATAGGTATATCGGATTCAACATTCTATCAGGCTTCAGTAGGGTTAGACAACGACATGTCGAGAAACTTCAGGGGAAAAAGGGATGTCGGGGTCAATGGACTATCAGGGATCGAGGACCAAAAAACATTATCGTGGTGGATAGAAAAAATCGGGGATCAATCCTAGTCTTAAAATAAAAATAAAAAAAAAACTTGACCAAAAATATAAAGAATTGATATAAAAATAAAAATTTTGATATTTCAATTTTTCTAAGATCCAAAAAAATCATTGAAAAAAAATTTTTTCAAAAATCCTCTAAAAATCTCAAAAAAAAAATTTTTTTTCAAATATATTACCGCATATCCTCAATATAATCAGCTTCCGATTTAAGTAATTCTTTCATTGGTTCAGCAATTTTCTTTTTTTGATTTAATAATTCATCATCTTTTCCATTTCCCATTAATTTATCTTCAATAGCACTATCACTATAACGATCCAAACATAATTGTTCAGTTTTTGCTGGTTCAATTATTGGTGTAACTTGTCCATCTAACAATCCATTTAATTCATTTCTAACAGTTTGTTCACTTTTTGCAAGCATTGTCCAAATATTTTGAAGTTTTGTTTTTGCCAATAAAGAATATTTTTCAACTTCAACACTGTGGAAATCAGATGGAAAGGATTCCAAAAATTTTTTTGCTTCACCCAACATTTTACGAACTTCATAACGTTCAACCTTTAAAAAAATTGAGAATTAATTAAATTTTTTTATTGAAGGGACTTGTAGTGATAAGGAAATTTTAGGGTTTCCTCATACCCGTGTTCTCGTACAGGCACGTCTCCTACAAGAGAGAGAGGAGACGTTTCCTAGGACACGTCTCCTACAAGCAGTAATTTTGGGACTCGCCCAAGTAGGCGCGTTGCCAAGTAGGCGAAAAGCCATAACTACCTGGAAAATCTTTGGACCTTAACAATTTTAAAACTGAACTCTTTATCCCGATGAGAGGAATCTTGAAAAATTTGGAAATTTGAAGCAGGTTATGGCCCTTAATTGTTGCTCGCATATTACATGATAAGAGATGGCCGAGAATTTCCAAAAGCCGAAAATTACCTTACAAACTGAGACTAAAAACCAAAGAAAAGTTTCAGAAAAATTAAGTTTTAAAAGTGTAAAATCCCTGCTATTTTTAAGTCTACTCCTATTACCAGATTTTAATCCTCCCTATAAGGGAAGAGTGCGCCGTTCCCGGAGGTAAGTGCAAGACCGGGCCGACGCGCGGCAGAGAGGAAGCAAGCTCCCAACTCTTACCCTTTTCCAAAAATTGGTTAATCTCTTTGATCCCGGTAGGGATCGTTACGGAGATTAAGCCGTAAAGAACAGATACTACACTTTGATCTTAGCCAAAAGGCCGAGAAGCGATACTTATAGGAAGAAAAGTAGAATATAAATGGAATTTATTCTAAAAACTAAAATATGGGATGGAGAATGGTGTGAGAATAGTAAAACTAGATAGTTCATTTTTGAAGAGAAAAAGAAATCATAGAAATAAAATATTACAGAAGAGGGGTAGGAAAGAAAAAGTAGGGAGAAAAAATCTGCTAACATAAAAGCATAGTACAAATGAAATTTACAATTTGTAAAATTGTAAAATCAGAATAATAAGAAATTACAAGGAAGGAATTTTCTGATTTTTGTGTTTACGCTATAAATTCTGGTTTTTGTATTTTCAGAATATAATTTCTGATTTTTGTATTTATTTTTAGTGAGGAAAAAGGAGAAGAAAAAAAAAGGAATTCTGAATTTTTTATTTATATTCTGGTAAATTTTAAGAGAAATTCTGAAGTTTTAAGTTCAAGCTTGAAAATAAAGAGAAAAGAAGCAAAAAAAGAAATTCTGATTTTTGTGTTTTATGGAAATTCTGTTTTTGTATTTCTTCCTTATTCTGATATATTATTCTGATATATTTTAAGAAATAAGTTAAAGCTTGAAGATAAATAAGGAAAGAAAATTTTGATTTTTATATTTCCTATTTATTTTTCGTTATTCTGATTCAAGTTTTAAGCTCAAGCTTAAAATAAATAAGGAAAGAAAGAAAATTCTGATTTTTTGTATTTCACTTAAATTCTGATTTTTTGTATTTCACCCTTGTATTTTCTCACTATTATTTTTAAAAATACATTTTCTCCCTCACCTTAACCAAATCCCTCAACGTTAAACAATGTTCCAACAATTCTTCCAATTTTTTCCGTCTAGATAACAAATCCAATTTTTGTGCTTTTTCAACATTATCTAAAATTAAAACGCAGCTAGCCAATTCTCTATCTGACCAGTCTATAACATTTTTTGCCATCAATTTAATTTTTGTACAATTTTTGCATTTGTCAATTTTTGTATTACATTCAGTCCATAAACGTAAAATTATTTGTTGTCGTTCTCTTATTGTATCCTTATATTTTTGGACTTCATATAGACGTGATTCTACATGTTCTCTAGGTGCTTGTATACGTCTCATAAAATTCATAAATTGATCTGCTGTTCGTTGAGCGTAAACGCTTGCCTAATTTTTAAAGAATTAAAAAATATTTTTTTGGCACTTATCCGTTATACACCTCCACAAACTGATGCCAAAAGACTAGGGGCTGGTAGGAATTCCGTTTCCAAATCCCGAAAATTTAGGCTCATTTCCGAATTTTGAACCATTTCCGATTTCCGAAAGCTCCGATTTCCGACCGACCCCTTTAGCCGACTTTAATTGGCTTTTTGATGCTTGATCCAATATACGTGGATTTTGTCATTCGAAAGCCTCTGATAAGCGGTATCTTTTTTCTAACTGTATAATCAAGTCTGATCATTCTTACAAAGAATTTAATAAGTCTAGTTATTTGGTGATTTTTTATTACTTTTTTTAACATGTGATCAAACCTATCCATCATGTTGGAAAGAAGATAGAGCATATAGAGTACTTTCGAATGATATAAAATTCATTTGTATTGGATCAATCCTCAAAATGTTGTAGCGATTGGCTGTCACATAGTTTTTTAGGCATATAACGTATAAGTACCAAAATTTTAATAAAAGAGGTGGATAAAATTCAAAAAAATTTTTTTGTAATATAATTTCATCAAATTTCTCCACTGACGGAATCAGTGTGTTTAGACATTTAAAAATGAACTTTAGGAAATTTTTAATTTTTGGGAAATTTTTTGAGGCCCTTTTCCCTCGTACACGTGCCACCTCCTTTTTTTGTTCTACAAATTTTGCTACAAGTCAGGATTAAAAAATACCCAGGAAAATTCAAAAAAAATTTTTTTGAATTTATTTTTTGTGCCAATTTCACACTTTCCCTATCGGATTAAATATTCCTCCGAAATCACCCAAAATTCCCCTTAAAAATTGTTCCCTTCATTAAAAACACACCTCCAAAAATCGTTCTTTATGACTTGAATGTTTTTCAAGCCTTTCTTGTGTAGATTCATAACAATGTTCCAAACTTATCCAACTTCCTGATTTACAAAAATCCCCATCTCTATCTACAGAAAGATCCTTTTCAATTGATTGTGATGTTGGAAGAAGCTAAAAAAATTTTTTTTAATTAATAAGCATTTTTAGATGAAATATAGAATATAAATCATAACTACATAGGAAAAGGATTTTCAGGTTTATTAATTATTTTTCAGTGGGCATCCCATGGTCCGAGGAGACCTAAAAACTCCTAATATATGCCCTAACAAGTAATGGAAATCTAAAAAAATTAAGTGATGACTTTGATCAGATAAAATTAGACACAAGGAACACTGAAAAATTCCTTAATCTTAAATCCTGATCCAAGAAAAATCAAGCCAAATTCAGATTCAGGCCGAACTTCCCGATCTTCCTAAAGCTTTATGAAATGAGTTCCACAAATAAATATATTCCAGTGATGTGTAGTTCTCTAATTAGCTTTTAAAAATGCGGCAAATGATCCTTCCTGATTTTCACAAGACTAATCTATCCCCCACACCGTTCGGTTTAATCAATATTTTTCATTCTCTTACCAATTTTGTATATTTATAATAAGAATTTGCTGCAGTTAATAATTTATATCTAATATCAATTAATCCAACTAAAGATTGCCATTTTGCTTTAACATCAGTTAATAAATTTTCAGCTCTAACTCTTGTTTCTGCATGAGATTCTAAAGCTAATAATGGAAGTGATGTAAAATGTTCTTTTTCGTTGTAAAATCGAGAAATTTTTTCTTCAAACGTCTAAAAATTAAAAGATTAATGATTACACGCGATCATCCCCCTCTTTCAGTCCGGAGCGGGCCAGTTGAGCGTGGCCGGTTGAGCGTCAGCCAACTTTGATCGGCTATAACTTTTTTAAGCTTGATCAAATTCGAATAAACTTTATATCGTTCGAAAGCCCTCGAAGTTCCCAATCTTTATCCCAACTGTATAGATAAGTCTGATCACCGGTTAAAATATTACAAGTCGATAAGTGCAGAAAATCGTTGTTTTTCACATTTATCGACTTGTAACTTTTTAAATAGCGATCAGACTTGATCCATCAAATTGGAAAAAAGATAGCGTTTATCGAGGGCTTTCGAATGATATATGATTCATTCGTATTGGATCAAGCAGCAAAAAGCAGCAAAAAGTTATAGCCGTTCAAAGGTTGGCTCACGCTCAACCGGCCACGCTCAACTGACCCCAACCGCTTTCAGCCAACCCCAAAGAATTCTAACTAGACTTATGAAAGTTAAATTGAAGTTTTTGTGTAAGATTCGAAGTATATCATAGAGCTTATATGATACTAGGAATCTGAAAAAAAAGAAAGGAAATCTGAAAAAAAAAATTCAAGAGCCGACCTTGATCAAATTATCTTTAGTCGATCAATGATACCCTAGAAATCAAAATCAAATTGCTACCAGGGATGGGTCGGGTTACCCAAAACACGGCCTTTTTCTCAACCCGACCCCCATCCCTGCTTGCTACGACATTTTTACATCTAGTTATAGAGCTACAGGGTAAATTCTGTTTCTTCAAATCTGTCTCTTCTTTATTTCCCGAAATATAAAAAATAATAATTTTTTTCAATCCCACAAAAAAAATTCTCTACCTCAATTTCAATTCTAAATTCATTAAAATATTTTGTTTCCAAATCAGTTTCTTGTTCATTTCCTGGAATATGAAAAAATTGACGTAAACGCATTTGTTGTCTTTCTATTGCTTCAACAACTTCATGTGCCATTTGTCTAAGTTTGCTTAAATGGATACTTAATTCTATTCGATGAGATATGTCCTTGGCAATCTAAATTTTTTTTTAAATTTAAAATTTCTAAAAAAAAATTTTATTCCATACATTCATAGCTTCATCTTCCAAATTTTGCAATTGTTTTGCAGCTGTAACTATAGCTTCTTCAACAGGAATGGTTGAATCTGCAGCATAAACCATATGTAAATTTTTAGTTTTTATAAGCTTAAATTTAAAATTTAAGAAAAAATTTTTTTAACAAGATGTATTTTAAAAGCTATAGCTTAAAAACAATGTGAGAAAAAAAACAGAATTTCAAGAGATGAGATTTTTAATAGCTATAATAATTTTTTTAATTTTAAATAAATTTCGTCAGTATTAAAATAATTAGCATTCATGTATCGTTTAATTTTCTTACTCTTTGCTATGCTCAAACGACTCAAAGAAGTAACAAATTGAATGGCCAAAACTTGGCCCAACGTCTTTTTTTTCAAAAAATGGATATCATTCCACGGAAATTTGGGGAAAATCAGTCACGGAAATCAATCTCTTATAGAATCTCCTAAACCAAATTTTGACAACTAAATGTAGAATTAAGGGCGAACTGTCCCCATAATTTTTTAAATTATCAAATCAATCAAATCAAAGCAAACACACCTCAAGTATTTCAGACAATTGTTTCATTGCATCACTAACAACTTGTTGAACTTTAACAGTATTTTGAGTATGATATTGTTTAATAACTTCAACAGTATTGCTAACTGAATGCCGTAAACCCTGCAAATCTTGTCGCCAACTTTCCAATTGTTTTTTAATTTCAAAACAATCGCGAAGAAATGTTGAGATTTTAGAAGCTGTATTTAAATATATACGTTGTTCTTTCCAACGTTCTTTTTCGTTTAAATGTCGATTTTCTAAAAAGATAAAGAAATAATAAATAGGAAAATTTTAAAATTTTTAAATCCCAAGCTATTAACTTGAGAAGATAAGGCGTAAAAATAAATTTCAAATTTTTCAAGTTCAAACATGAGAATAAACGCAAGTTTTAAGCTTACGATAAAAAACTAAGCTTAAGACGTGTGCCTATCCGAAAAGAAAAATTAAAATTTAGAAACTAGAGATCGGAAATTCAAAAAACTTAACATGATTCTGATTGAGAACCTTGACTAGATTCTTGAACTCGAGTCAGCGAATAACTAATGTAAGGTCAAGGAAAAATCAAGAAAAAAAATGCCTGAATCTTGACTTAGGATTAGAGATCGTCGAGTACCGAGTAATTGGAAAAAAATCAAGCTCGAGTATGTCGAGTTTGAAAAACCCGAGTTCGAGTTCAACCTTTTAGGTCGAGTTTAGGTACGAGTTTCGAGCCGAGTAATAACGCAAAAACCCTGAGCGGTCGGGTAGAGTAACTCGAACTCGCTCGCCGGACGTACTCTACTTAGGATCCAGGAAAAATAAAGGCATGGATCCAGATACAGGCTGATTCCTATTAGAACCATAAAATCCGTAAAAATATAAACATTCCAAAAGCTTTCAAGTTCAAACTTAACAACATAAAAATTTAAAAACGTTACCTATATCCTTTATTAAATGCTCCACATGTGTTACAGATTCACTATTATCAATATCAAGCAATTCACGTTGTTTTTGCAACGATTGTAACAATTCTTCAGCTTCAGCCATTACTCTACCATATGCTTGGTCAGTTAATTCATTGTCATGGTGAAAAGTAGCTTTATTTTTTTCACAATGATCTACAGATTCAGGCACTATACGAATATAATTAGCACGACTATCCAATTTACTATACCAATCCATAATTTCATCATAATGTAAATAAAAATAATAGGCACGATGAAGTCTAAAATGAAGAAAAAAATTTTTTCAATAAAAAAATCTAGAAAATATGTTTAAAATTGAAAATAGTAAATTTAAATTTTGCAAATTACAATGAGGAAAATGTATATAGAATATTTTCCGGAAGGAGTTTGAAAATGGATTATCTGCTAGAAGTCAGTCTGGATTTTTCCTGGATCCAGAGTCCAGATCATTTTTTGAACTTCCTAGATTTTTTTGTGGAATCCAGTCTAGATTAATAACCTAAATCTGAATCCAGACGATTTTTGAAAATACCGATCTCTACTAGCTACTTAGTTCCGGAATAAAAAAAGGAGTGTCCGGAAAATCAGTTAGTGGACAAACCCAGTCAATCCTACCGCTATCCAACGAATTGTTGCCTAGAGTTTTTATTCATTTGTGCGGGGATTTGCAGGATTGGGGAGATTAAAGAGGGCATCGATGGCCAAATTATAAAAAAAACACAGTCTAAAATTATTATGAGACCAAATGGATATAGGGGAATTATGGGATTTGGAGGGATATCGAAAATATCCAACAGAAAGAATATATAAATCTATCTGGAAAGCCACTCAAAACTAAATTATAAAATCCGAAAAACACACTAAAATTAAATTAAAAAAAACTAACAAAATTGTTCTGTGTTCCATACACCGTTTAAAATTGTTAATTTTAAGTAATAATTCTTCCACTTTTTTATTTGCTTCAATTCTTACTGATTCATCTGAACAAAAAATTTAATTTTTTTTTTCAAAATTTCTTTAAAAAATCCTCACCAGCATCATCTAAAACATGTCTCAATTTAAATATTTGTTCAGCATTTTTATTTGTATTTATAGCTACAGCACGAAATTTTTGATGGTTTTGGGTTAAAATGCTAGCTGATTCTGGATCAACACCTATTCCCGTTTTTCTATGAAGGAAGGGTTCACCATGTTGATTTAACCAGTCGAGAACCTTCAAAAATAAAAATAATAAAAATTATAAATAGAAAGACACATCTAGTTATTTTTATAAATCAAATATAACAAGAGCGTAGCTAGGCGGTTAATTTCAGGGGGCTAAATTGGGGCGTGCAACTAAATTTTTTGTTATTACTATTTTAGCACCACAAACTAAAATTTTTGAGTTTGGAAGGCCAGTAGGCTAAATTTCTTTCATTTTCCGCAGGAGAAAATTTTGAGAATTTTATAGGTTGTAAACTCAAAAAATTATCTTTTTTAATCATTTTCTTTCCAAAACCTTTTCATTTTCCCCCATTTAGAAGGGGGGAGCTTTGGCCCCAGATACCACCCTTGGGCTACGCCCTAGAAATATACACTAATTTATTATCCACTATAAAAGAACCCGGAAAAAAACACCCCAAAAAATCTTTTTTTGAAAGAAGCTGAAATACAACAAAAAACCAACCCCAGTGACACATTAGTATTTTAAATATTTTAAAATTTTAATTTTATTAGTATTTTAATTACCGTAAATATCCTAATAGAGGCCCATCCCTAATAGAAGACCATGCCCTATTAGAAGCCCACCCGATGGGGGTATTGAAAAATACAAGCCCAGGACTTATATTAGTATTTACGGTATTTACAAAAAACTCACAGAATTTAAATCAGTAACAAAATCAGCACTAGATAACTTATTTTGTATAGTTAAATCTCTAGCTTCCCAAACAGTATTAATTCCTTTAAAAGTATTCCCAATTAATTGCAAATTGTCTTGAATTATTGGAGTTATTGACAATTTATTTATAGATTCTCCAAAATATTTTTTTATCAATTTTAACAATTGTTGTAATTCTTCATTGGCTTCTGCAAAACTTGAACAATACAATTTTTGAAATTCTTGATGCCTTTTTGCTGCTATTGGTAAATCATTGATAGAAATTTTATTGGGGTCTACTCCTGCATCCATTTGCCAATGATCTGCACTTTTTAGAAACTGTAAAAGAAAAAATTTTTTTAAGAAATTAAGGGAATATTTTTACAAGTTAACTAATGAAAATATATTTTTTTTCGAAAAATTCGACTGTAAATTTACCGGGATTTTTTTGAGGGTAGGAGGCCAATGGGGGGAAATTTTGAGAATTCTAGAAGGCTGTAGACTAATTTCGTTCATTTAAAAAATGAAGAATCAAATCCTTAGGGGTCTTAAAAAGTTCCAGTTTAACCGGAACTTCTGACGAAACACTAGTATGAACCTTATTTATGTATGTATAAGTGGTGACTACCGAGAAAATTGAAGTTTCAAAAATACTTAAAAATTATTTGCTCGTTCCATACATTTAGCCAGAAAAATTAAAAAACCCATAAAATCAAAAATTAAGAAAAAAGACAGGACATAATAGAAAAATATGGGCGTAAGAGACCCGAAATGACTTTTCCCCCTTATATAAAATTTTCACAGGCCCAACCGACATATCTACATGGTCAGGAGATGTAGTAATTAACCGATTTCATCGACTTTATTCGGTATATTTTTCACAAAAAAAAACTTTGAAAAAAAACTAACCAAATTGCATTTTTTATGTGCACTAGCAGCTAATTGTAATAATTGTGTTCTAGCATCTATTCTTGTTAAAAATTGATTCCAATCATTTTTTAATTGTAATGAAATACTTTCAATTTTATTTAATCCAAATTTTTGAATATTTAATAGACGAATACCAACAGTTATTACTTGAGTATAACTAACTTCTATTTTCTAAAGAAATAAAAAAATTGAATGGAAATGAACAATTAGAGATCGGTCTGGATCTGGATCCAGTCTGGATTTTTCCTGGATCCAGAGTCAAGATCCAGGCATTTTTGATCGTCCTGGATTTTTTTCTGAATTCAGATCAAGAATCCTGTCCAGATTACTAAACTAAATCCAGATCGAGAATCCAGATCCAGGATTTTTGAAAATGTCGATCTCTAGTAGCAATATAATACCTAGCTTAAAAATCTTCGAAAGGGATTGGGGATTAAACCACGGAACCGTAAAAATTGGAGAAAAAATTTTTCAGAAAAAAATCCACCATAATTCCCATTTTTCCAAAAATTTATTTTAAGCATTTTTCAATTTTTAAATAAAGCAAGGAATATAGCTAGACATCCTGAATTAACGTTGTCAGTTCGGAGACAAAGAAAACCCAACTGAAAAATCCCGAAAATTTTTTAGGTTTAGTTCCTTTGTTAGGCTCTTCAAATATCTCCTCAAGATTTTCAAGTATCGACAACTCTAACCCTCTAATATTAAAAAAATTTTTTTCTCTTGAAATACCAGACATATTGGAACTTATAAGATTCCCAGAAACTCAAACAAAAAAATTTTTTTAAATTAAAAAAAAAATTCCAAAAAAAAATTTTCCACTTACTTTAACAGATTCAGCAAAATCCAAATGTTCTTTTAACAATCTATTTGTTTCGAGTTCATTTTCTCCAATTAAAACAAAACGGTGTGTAAGGCTATTAAAATGTTTACAAATCCATTGAGAAAGCTAAATTAAAAAAATTGTTTTTTTTTAAATTAAAATTTAAAAAAATAAACATTTTCAGCATCCTGTTCAAATAATTTTAATTGAGAATATTGATCTAATTCAGTTTTTCTTGTTTCCCAATCATAAAGCACTTCGTTTCTTTAAATTTTAAAAATATTTTTAAAAAGAATTTTAAAGCTTAAAGGAAAAACATGAAAAGTCCCCAAAACAAACATCTTTGTTTTTAACTTTTGAGTCCTAAAATAAATATTCTAGTCCAACTAGGATACTTTAGAAAACTAATATAGAAAAAACAAAACATTTAGAAAAAAATTAGCTTCGAATCCTGCTCTCATTTCTCTAAACCACACTAATCATTACGTCTCCCAAGTTCATTTCAACCATTGCCTAAATTAATAACCCCAGGAATGGGTCTAATTGAGAAATAAAAGTTGGGTCAGGTTTCAGGTAACCCAAATCAAATCTCTGATTCGCCCACCTACGCACAAAATATTAACCAATATATTAGAGATCGAATTGGGAGGTTTTTTAGGCCTGGGTTTTTACTGTACCCAGAGTCCAGGCCCATGCATTTTTTGACCTTCCTGGGTTTTTCCTAGACAAAGGCCCGGGATTCGGCCCATGTCAATAAATCAAACGCAGAGTCCAGGAATGGGTCCAGGCTTTTCAAAAATTTTGATCTCTACAATATACCCCAAAAAGCTTATCCCATCTATCTTAAACAAACAAAAAATAATTTAAAAAAAACTTTAAAGAAAACCTTGTTTTAACCAAAGTTTTGAGCAATTGTAAAAGATTAGGAAAGACAGCAATTAAATCAGGATTTGGCTGGGTACATACAACTAATCCATTTTTCATTCCCCCTCCACCATTTTTTTCATAAATTAGCCTTTCTTTTATTGAAAAAATTTGTTTTTCAAATTCTTCTATTGGCGCAGAAGTTAAAATTGGGTATAAATTGGAATGTGTTTGAACTGATTTTTGGGCTGATATTGCATCTATTGGCATTTCGGCACTGGACATTTCGAAAGATATGCGGTCCAAGTTCTTGAGTATTTCTGAGATTCTGTGGACTATACGTTCAATTTCCTTTAAAAAATTTTTTAATTTTTAAATTTGCAAAATTTGGAGAGATCGTTTCGGCACATACTTATAAAATCAAAAAAAGGGAGCAATTATTCCTTGAAAATTTTGCATAGTTATAATTTAGAGAGGGTTAACTCAGCAACTTTTTAAAAGGTTTCAAGGATAAATTATTTATAATTTTGAGGCCCTTTATTGACTAACTTAAATTATGCGCCCAACTCATTTTCAATTTATAAAGGAATTGTGGAAATTAATTGATAAAAATACTAACATAAAGTTAATTTTCCAGGGTAAAAATTGGAATAAAATTTTGTTTATTCCTGCCTTCTATTTACAAAAATATATAAATCAAAAATGAAAGGGTTGACGAAAAAATAAGAGAAAAACAAGAATAGTTAGGAAAAAGTAATTTAATATACTATTGTTTTTCTCATTTTGCAAACAATCAAGTCCACAAAAAATCAATCGCATAATTATCATTTCTAAAGATGGAAATTTAACCATTCTGAGGCAGGAATGAATAAAAAATAAATTTGACTCAAATAGGGGTGGGGGTTTATGAACAATGTACCGCAATCAGGTGTGTGTATTAGGGAAAGAGCCGTTCAGATGCTCGAGAATCAGGAAAGCTTTACATAAAAGGAGAACAACCAGTCAGAATCGTTTTCCTTAACAAAAAAGACTCTAGCGCCGAAACGTCCCCATAAACCCCCCAAAAATTTTTTAAAAAAATTTTATTCAAAACAAACCCTTCTAATTTCAATCCACTCATCATAATCAAATTTAAAAGAACCTCCAAATTCTTTAGGTATTTGGCTATAATCAATATATTTTGTTAAGGCATCTGGAGAGACCATTTGAAGTTCAAATTTTGTATATTTTGCTGTGGATATTTTATATTTGTCGAGAAATTTTTCTGGTTTTATTATATAAACACAGTTGATTTTGGCTGGGAAATATTCCTAGAAAATATATAAAAAAATTATTTTTAGAAGAATCAAACTCATTATTAGCAAAATATTTGGTTAACCAAAATAGACAAACCAAGTCCCAATGAAAAATTATTTAAAAAGAAATTGGTGGCGCCTACCCAAAAACCGCCCAAAAATAAAAATTCATTTAATCGAAAAAAATCCAAAAATTTTTAAACTCATGTAGAGTTATCGGTGTCAGCAAAATTTATGATTAACTAAAAACAACAAAACCAAATCCCAATAAATTTAAAAAAACCTGTAGAGATTTCAAAATAGGCTTTACAACATCCCAAGATGTTCCTCTTCTCATATCCAAAACAATTACAAAACCTCTAGATTTTGCGTCATCACTTAAAAAATAAAAATGAATAGGAAATAATTATAATAAACTAATTATTCTAAAAAGTCACAGCCCCCATCTTCTTGGAGTTTTCAAAAATGATTCCACCTCGCCAAAAATTATTTTTCATGACTCGATCTGTCAGAGATGTCACGGGCTGAGAAAAAAGTCCGGGTGGGGCAAAATTTCTTGGGTTAGCTTATAGGATACGGGTCGAAAAAATCGCGTTTGGGTTCCCTAGTAACTGTTTGACATAAAAATAAATTAACAATTTTATTAAAAATTTTTTTATTGATTGGAATACCCCAAAAATTTAACGTCCATGTTAAGAGTTTACTCTATTGTGGACGGTATTCTGCTGATACAAAATTAATAGACTAATTAAAAACGTAGCCAGGAAGAAGGGGAAGGAATTTCTCTTCCTTTTGGAATTTTCAAAAAATATTTCCCCGATCTATTCAAAAATGGGGAATCCCTTTAAAAATTTCAAATAATTCCCCTCAACTACGAACCTATTAAAAATTTAAAAAACAAATAAAAATAAAAAATTTCAACTAACGCAGTAACATCATACAAATACAGCAATAAATTCCTGACATGTTCAATATTCAAATTTACATCTCTAGCTGGACAAAAAATTATTGGGGAATTGTCACGATCACGAACACCAGGTAATAAAGCTATTCGTTCACGCAAAATGTGTTCCATGTCTTCCACACGACGCAAAAATGTATTTGAACAAGTTGGGAGAGATTGGTGTTGATGATGCATATTTTTTAAATTTTAAAAATGCTGGCAGTAGTTTAGTTAAAAAAATTAAATTAAAATTAAAATGAAGATTCTAAGTGTAGATTTTAAGTAAAATTTAGTTATATAGGCCATTTATTAATTATCTGAAAAAGTTAAAAAATTGAGAAAAATTTTAAAAATGAAGCAAAAATGGGGAAATAATATTGGTAAGTAATACAGATAAAAATAAGAAATGAAGCAAGCCTTAAAAATTGAAGCAAAAAATTAAAAATGAAGCAACACAGTTATAAAAAATGAAACAAGAGCCTAAAATGAAGCACGAGAACAAAAACTAAAGCAAAAATAAAAATTGAAGCAAGCGTGGATGAAGCAAAAAATAGAAAAAAATGAAGCAAACCGAAAAAATTGAAGCAAGAACCTAAAGCTAAAGCAAAAAATAAATAATGGAGCAAGGAGCTAAAAATGAATTAAGAAATTAAAAATAAAACAGCACAACTATTAAAAAATGAAGCAGAAAACACAAAAACAGAAACAAGCCTAAAACTGAAGCAAAAATAAGAATTGAAGTAAGCCTAGAAAATGAGCAACAAAAAAATAAAAACAGAAGCACGCTTAAAAATTGAAGCAAAATTAAAAATAAAGTAGAAAAATACAATGAAAAATGAAGCAAAAAATTATTGAAAAACATAAAGTGTAGGTTGAAGCAAAAAAAAAACCTGAAGCAAATTGACAAAACTTGAAGCAAAATTAAAATTGAAAAGGTGAAGCAAAATAGGAGAAAAATAAACAAAATACTTTTAAACAATCAATAAGCACAAAACAAAAAATATTAAGAAAATTGAAGCAAAATACGACCTAATTTAAATAAAAAATGAAGCAAAAATGGGAAATGGAAATTTATAAAAAAAACTAAAAATTAAAAGGTTAAATAAAGTACAAAATAAAATCTTTTCTTCTCGGAAAAAAAAAAATAATGACGTAAAGATGATCAATCAAATAAAAATCAAATACTAAATGAATCAAAAACGAAGGAAAAACTTCCGTAATTTTCAAGGACGTTAAAAACAAGCTTAACAGAAAATAACGGGAAAAGCAATTAAATTGATTAGAGACTAAATATACGAAATAGTAGAGTAGTCTTAATTAAAATGAAGAGAGTAGAGACAATTAGAGAAAAATAAATAATGAAAAAATAAAATACAGAATGCCAACACATTTTTAATTAAAATAAAGCATTTATTCAAACAATAAACATATTCTGCCAAACCACATTTTGCCAATAAAGCTAAAACTCTACATTTTGTCAACAAAGACTGTCGACAAAATGAGTAATTTTACCCTTGTTGGCAAAATGTGTTCTAGGCAAAAATGTAAACTTGTTTCTTTCTTTAAGTAAGCTTTTCGTTCCTACATAGGCCTTGGTTTTTTGGTCATAACTTGATGGAAAATGTCTCGCCCTAATCAATTTTTGGTACTATCTTCTCGGCTCGATGAGAGGAATCGTTTAATACTAAATTTGGAAAGATTAGGAAATCTTGAAGCAAGTTATGGCTTTGCGCCGTTATGCCTCTGCGCCGTTTTGGGGTGTGTCCCTGATTTTTTAAATTGATTTGTTTTAATTTTTAAAAATTTTTTATTTCTTATTTTATTTATTTTATAAATATTTTGACTATTTTAGACTTAAATAAGTGTAGAAAAATGTTGATTAAAGTAAAGACTTTAACTGGCAAGGAAATTGAACTTGATATTGAGCCAACAGACAAAGTGGATCGAATCAAAGAAAAGGTGTGCTTTTTAATTTTTTAAATATTTTATTAAAAATAAAATTTAGGTAGAAGAAAAAGAAGGAATTCCTCCGCCACAACAACGTTTAATTTTTGCTGGGAAACAATTGAGTGATGACAAAACTGCTCAGGAATGTAAAGTAAATTTGAGGGGTTTTTTAATTTTTTTGAAATTTTTGTTGGATTAGGTAAATTGTTGTTGTGATATATAATATAAAGAGGGAGTAATACTGACCCCTGTCCTCCATTTTCTTCTCAAAATTTATTTTTATTGGGTTTCCTAGGAGGGAGGGAAGTTGGACCATTATGTGTAGGGTTTTGGTTTTCGAGTCGCACCCACGTTCGGATCATTTTTACGGCTTTATTTTTTTCGGGCTGCCCCGACCGATTCTTTTTTCGGGCCAAAATTCGATGCCCGACCTGATCTTTCGGGCCGGACCGGGCCCCCAACTCTAATTATGTGCATATTTTAATAAATAGGGGGTCGAGCATGGAGATAGTTATTTCCAAAAATAATTTTTGAACTTGTCCGCAAAAAATTGCGGACAAGGATTTTATTTTTATAAAATTTTTTTCTTTCCTAACTATAAGTTTTCCAAACAATCTTCCCTTTAAATTTAATAAAATCTTTTCTTTTTAAGATTGAAGGTGGTTCTGTTCTTCATTTGGTTTTGGCACTACGTGGAGGCGATGGAGACAAATTTAATTTCTGAAAGACGATCTTGGTTTATTTAAATAAATATTTTTTCTAAAACAACTTAATTTTTTGTTTGAAAATTACACACTTAAAAATATAAAAAAATATTTGTTTTATTTTAAAATAGGTTTTTTTTTGGAGTTCACCCTTTAAGACTTAACTTGAGGATCTACAACTTTTGAAGGGGATAACGAGGGTTTAGGAGATATCAAGAGATTTGGTGCGGTTGAAGGGGATATTATAGATTAGAAGGCACGGGATCTCGCGCGGGATACTTCCCCCTTACTTTTCGATTTACGGGAGTGCGGGCTTATTCCCGCGGGATCACGTCCTGCGAACCGTTTTTTAAAGTTGCTTCCGCATGCGGGATCCCGTAAACACGATTTTGCCGACATCTAATTTAGATAGATCTCTTCTCACCCAGGGTTAAAAAATACACTCCAAATACCGCATCATGTGTTTAAAATAAGGAACTACGTACTAGACTCCATAGAGCTGTTTATTCCACTTTATCCCTCTTCCTTTCCAAAATTTGTAGATCTTCACGGTCAATAGGTCTTTAGAGTGTAATTCTTCGGGGCTGACCCCATTTTTTAGAACATGTTTTATTTAATTTTTACACGTCTTCTCTGCGAACTTAATCTTCTTGAACAATTATTTTTCAATTTTGATTTTTTTGGAAAGAGAATTCATGTGGTAAGTTGCTTAAAAACCTTTTTTCATCTCAAACTCGCCGTTATCTAACCAAGGAAAAAATTGAAAAATTTCAGATTTTACAAAAAATTTTATCGAGAAGGCCATTTACCAAAAAAATAAATTTTATAAATTTAAGGTAGGCAGTTGGTGACCGTTTACCAACCGGCACTCTCGATTTTCTTTTAGTCCAAATTTTAAACCCGATTTTCGGTTTTGAATTCTAGTCAAATATTGGCGTTTGTTAGTATGTGAAGATTTTTTTCCCTAAAAATCACTCATTTTTAAAAGTTCTGCTCTAATTTGTAAGAGCTTTATTGAACAACTACCCCTAAGCTCGATTTGATTTTTTCACCTAAGACTTTCCCTTCTAACCTATCAAAAAAATTTCAAACATTTACAAAAAATTTATTCCAAAAACACATTTACATACAAAACAAATTTACAACAAATCTAATAGAATATATTATGAGGCATATGTACATATTACACACAAGGAAATTTGGGAATATACAACATATAAATGAATGCAAGATAACAACAAAGGAAAATATGAGTTTAGATATTATATTCAGTTCATTTTTATCTATTTAGAATTCTTCCCCCTCTGTGGCAGTTCCTCCTCGGCCGTCTCTACCGGTTCTTCAGTGCGCGTCCCACCATCCCGACTCGGTGTTGCAACCAGCTTCTTTCCCGTATCGTCAACTGGAAATGGCTCGGACTCCACTTTGGGCACATGATATACTGAAAATTAAAGAATTACCCAAAGACTCCTTTTCACTTATTCGAGTACCTCTCTTCGGCTTGCGTGGTTCTTCCTCCTCAATTGGAATGAGCTTACACCGCTTATTCCAGAAGCCTTTAGCGCGCGTAAGTATTTCACACACGTCCTCGGCTGCGGTCGAGATCAGCTTCAGTGGAGGGGCATCCCGTTCGAGCTTGAGTACCACATTTTTCTTTTCAGTGATACTCTGTCGGATAGCCTGTAAATTAAAGGATGAAAATTGTTTACAAATTTTTTAAAAAAATTTTATTTACCTTTTTAGCCTCATGGAAGTCCTTGACTTCCTTGCCGTTAACGTCCCGCAAAATGTCGCCTGGAAGGATGTACTGCGCAGCTACACTGCTTGGCTCAATGTGCGAGACGATGATATTAGATCCCTGGAATTGAAAGCTATTATTAATGACAAGCCCTCATTACTCAATCAATTACCTTCTTCTCCCAGGTTATCCCCACTGGGAGATCTTCACGCCATCTGATCTGCAGCTGTATGAACTTGTGGCTCGGGTTTCGCCTGATTTGTGTGACCTTGAGGTTGATCATTCTGAAGTAGTCGTCCCTGCGGAAACGGATGAACAAAGGTTTGGGTTCAGCGCCAGAATACTGGGTTGCTGCCGTGAAGTCTTCTGCCGAGTTTATGGCCTGAAAAATGGACGTTTAAACCGAGTATTACCCTAATAATCGCAGAAGCTTACCCGTCTGTCAACCTGCAAGATCCAGTCTCCAGGGAACAACCATCCAAAGAAGTAGGAGAAGATGTCGATCTTCTGTATCCGCGGCGGCGAGCTCCCACTGAAGAACGTCAGTCCCATGTCCGAGTCTTGGATCTCGATGGTATCCTCATGCTCATGAATGTACTTCTTAGCTGAAAGAGAAAAAAAAGTTAGTTTAGGAGACAACCCTTGTATGATACATCCTCGTTTCTCGGCCATTGTACTGAGACGCCAAAGCAAGAGTGAGCAGCACAGCGACAAACCAAAAGCAGAAAGTGAGCAGCACAGAGCGAACCAAAAGCGGCCTTTAGTTGAATTGAGCACAGCGTTGTCGTCACGAAGTGCAGTGAGTTGAATGGCTGGGTGGTATATGCACAGTCTATTAAGGCGCTTTTATACTAACTTTTCTTAATCAGTTACATCTTTCGTATAGACACAGTTTTTTAAAATCAATTTACAAATTCTGACTTTTACAGATTAAAACTAGTCTTGTTGGGCCCCTCGGGTTTCTGTTAATCCAAATTTTAGAAACCGGTTTTTTGGGTTGTGTTTTAGTTAGATATCTGGTTTTGGTTGGGGGAGGGTCTAAAAAATCACTTATTTTCAAAGAGTTTCGGTTTTAAAACCGGGTGTGAGCAACTCTAATTAAAATTCTTATTTATTTTCAGATTGAATTCTACCCCAGAAAAAAACAATTCAGACATTTATTTCTGTACAAAAACTTTTATAAATAACTCTGATTTGATAACTTTTTTTTTATTGCGTTCTTTAAATTCTGATTCTTTTTAAATTCTGATTTTTTTAAAGCTCTGATTATTCCCTTAAGTAAATATTTTCCTAAATAAGATTAAGTCTTGATCTCACCTTTTTTGAGGAGATAACAAAATTAATCATTGTTCGACTATAAAAGCCTTCAAAAATCCCTTCATTTTCATCTCTCCACCGCCAAACGAGCTGCCAAAGAAGGACGACGCGCCGCCGCTGCTCCTCCTGCTCCACCGCCAGCAACAATGAAAGCACCGAGTGAGGCATCAACCAAGAAGAGGGAAGATCTGCTGGATCTCTGCCACCGCCGTCAGCCAGTCCAAGTGGTGCTGCTATTGGTCTTCGGCAAGTTGAAGTCAAAGTTTCAGCGACATTCGTCCGGCGTTGCAGAAATGGCTCGATGGTCAGGATAAGCTGTTCGGAGCGGCTGAGAAGAGTAGCGGCCTTGAATGTGAAAAGGTGGGAAAGAAATTTTGAAAGAAAAATTCTAAAAGTTTTTCTCTTCTCATCCTCTTCTTTTCTTTTTTAGATTTTCTATGCCATCTGCGGTTTTCTTTTCCTCTGGTTGCTTGCTGCTCCGGGTGCTGGTCTCATCTGTAACTTGATTGGTGTTGTCTATCCTGCCTATGCTTCAGTTGTTGCTTTGCGTTCGGCTGGGAAAGGTCCATAAAAATAATTTCTTCCATTCAAAGTAAATTCATTAAAATTCAGAGGACGACACGCAGTTGCTCATGTATTGGACTACCTATGGAACCTTCTCTCTTGTGGATCAATTCGCCGAACGCATCACTCCCTACTTTCCGCTGTATTGGCCGCTCAAAGCGCTCTTCCTTCTTTACTTGTATTTGCCTCAAACTTATGGAGCGCAGAATATGTACGTCAAGTACCTCGGCCCGGCGTTCGATAAGTTGGCGAAGTGAGTCTTTTTTAAGGAGTTTTTTGTAAACGTAAATTTCTCATTAATTTTTATACGAGTGGAGGCAATGTAGAAGTTAGTTCAATGAGCTTGGATGATGGTGGTAATTGCTGATTGAGAGTCGGATATCGTTGGTTATCAATGAACTAAGAGGGATAGAGGGATTTGGATAACGTTGACGGATTTGTGTTGATATCAAGTGCTTGAGAGATTAAGGTTGATATGGGGGCATTATTTAATATCAACGTGGATATGAGAAATACAGAGTAAGCAGATTCATATAACTTATATGTAGTAAGATACTCAGGTGATCAGATCAAAATCTAAAATAATAATATAATCTTCACCGTTATGTCCTCAACCAGATTCAAGTTTAATATCAAGAGACAGTGGATCACCTAACTGATTAGGATTTTCAATTATGCTTAACTAATCAATGGATTCAATTTGCGATTATAGACAATCCGACTTCAACGCGAAGGACTAATCAATGGATTCAATTTGCGATTATAGACAACCCGAATACAACGCGAAGGACTAATCAATGGATTCAATTTGCGATTATAGACAACCCGAATCAATGGATTCAATTTGCGATTATAGACAATCCGACTTCAACGCGAAGGACTAATCAATGGATTCAATTTGCGATTATAGACGACCCGAAGAGAACTCGAAGGACTAATCAATGGATTCAATTTGCGATTATAGACAACACGACTTCAACGCGAAGGACTAATCAATGGATTCAATGTGCGATTATAGACAACTTTTATAGACAATTATAGACAATTATAGACAATCAATTTGCGATTATAGACAACCCGAATCAATGGATTCAATTTGCGATTATAGACAATCCGACTTCAACGCGAAGGACTAATCAATGGATTCAATTTGCGATTATAGACAATCCGACTTCAACGCGAAGGACTAATCAATGGATTCAATTTGCGATTATAGACGACCCGAAGAGAACTCGAAGGACTAATCAATGGATTCAATTTGCGATTATAGACAACCCGAAAAGAACGCGAAGGACTAATCAATGGATTCAATTTGCGATTATAGACAACACGACTTCAACGCGAAGGACTAATCAATGGATTCAATTTGCGATTATAGACAACCCGACTAGAACGCGAAGGACTAATCAATGGATTCAATTTGCGATTATAGACAACCCGAAAAGAACGCGAAGGACTAATCAATGGATTCAATTTGCGATTATAGACAACACGACTTCAACGCGAAGGACTAATCAATGGATTCAATTTGCGATTATAGACAACACGACTTCAACGCGAAGGACTAATCAATGGATTCAATTTGCGATTATAGACAACCCGACTAGAACGCGAAGGACTAATCAATGGATTCAATTTGCGTTTATAGACAACACGACTTCAACGCGAAGGACTAATCAATGGATTCAATTTGCGATTATAGACAACCCGACTTCAACGCGAAGGACTAATCAATGGATTCAATTTGCGATTATAGACAACCCGACTAGAACGCGAAGGACTAATCAATGGATTCAATTTGCGATTATAGACAACCCGAAAAGAACGCGAAGGACTAATCAATGGATTCAATTTGCGATTATAGACAACACGACTTCAACGCGAAGGACTAATCAATGGATTCAATTTGCGATTATAGACAACCCGAAAAGAACGCGAAGTACTAATCAATGGATTCAATTTGCGATTATAGACAACACGACTTCAACGCGAAGGACTAATCAATGGATTCAATTTGCGATTATAGACAACCCGAAAAGAACGCGAAGGACTAATCAATGGATTCAATTTGCGATTATAGACAACACGACTTCAACGCGAAGGACTAATCAATGGATTCAATTTGCGATTATAGACAACCCGACTAGAACGCGAAGGACTAATCAATGGATTCAATTTGCGATTATAGACAACCCGAAAAGAACGCGAAGGACTAATCAATGGATTCAATTTGCGATTATAGACAACCCGAAAAGAACGCGAAGGACTAATCAATGGATTCAATTTGCGTTTATAGACAACACGACTTCAACGCGAAGGACTAATCAATGGATTCAATTTGCGATTATAGACAACCCGAAGAGAACTCGAAGGACTAATCAATGGATTCAATTTGCGATTATAGACAACACGACTTCAACGCGAAGGACTAATCAATGGATTCAATTTGCGATTATAGACAACCCGAAGAGAACTCGAAGGACTAATCAATGGATTCAATTTGCGATTATAGACAACCCGACTAGAACGCGAAGGACTAATCAATGGATTCAATTTGCGTTTATAGACAACACGACTTCAACGCGAAGGACTAATCAATGGATTCAATTTGCGATTATAGACAACCCGAAGAGATCTCGAAGGACTAATCAATGGATTCAATTTGCGATTATAGACAAACCGACTAGAACGCGAGTACCGTTGAGTTAGGTTAGGACATTTCCTAACTGAGGACTCGATCAATCATCCAATTCGTAACAGCCTCTAGGAGAGTCTAGCCCGGTGGGGCAAAGACCAATTAGCCCGATGTAGCTTATACCTTGTTAATTCTATTCTAGCCCATCACAAGTCCATGTCATCAAGGCCCGTCGAGGCTATACTTATGTGAGGATCAGAAATGCTTCAGAACAAAAAAAATCTTCGAAAATCGAAATAAATTCAAAAATACCGAAATCGAAAGAAAAATAACCTCAAAAATCGAAAAATTTTTTTTTAATTTGTAGGCATTTGTTATGTTATGATGACAAGTTTTGGTTTTGTTGCAAACAGGTGCGTAAAAGAAAGGAGACACGAAACAAAAAAAACTTGAAAATTTGTTTCGACTAAAATTTACTTAAAATGTCGGTACTTTTCCGTTATGACGTAACCCCCTAAACTAATGTTCAAAATGTCATATATAGGGTAGAAAAAGGTGCTGAGTCGAACGGTACCACTCTTTTTTCACGGAGATGCCTGTCGACCGAGATATAGAGCTCGAAATGGTCAAAAACCATAGGGGGAGTGCGCCTCGCTTACGCCCCATAGGTTTACGTTGACCATTTTGAGCTTGTTCATCTAGTCTCAAAATCAAGATTTCGAGCTGATTTTGGTGTCATTTGACTCAGCTCGAGGAGCTCTTTCGAATGAGCTATCATTCAAAATATGGAATTTTTACCCCAAAATTGAGCTTACTCCCCCCTATGCGTTTTGACCATTTCGAGCTCTATATCTCGGTCGACAGGCATTTCCGTGAAAAAAGAGTATTACCGTTCGACTCAGCACCTTTTTCTACCCTATATATGACATTTTGAACATTAATTTAGGGGGTTACGTCATAACGGAAAAGTACCAAAATGTCATTTCTCATCAATTTCTAAAAAGCCTAATTTCTTTTATCAGCCTAAATTTCTAAAAAAATTTTCTCAGCTCAATTTTTTAAAAATTAAAAAAATAAATTCTAAATCTAAGTTAACATCCAAAAATAAAATTATACTTTTAATAGCACAAAATTTTTAAAATATAAAATAAATAATTGCTTATCGCAATAGTCTTGTAGTAATAAGTAAGGATTGCTTAGGTACGGATAAGTTTAGGTTGTTCATCTCTCTTTTTGCTAAATAGCCAAACGATTTTTAAAGAACCTAGTGGGTACTAATTTCAGTAATTATAATATATTTGAACGTAGGAAATTTTTCACTTTTTCATCTTCTCTCAGTTTTTTACATTTAAGCTTGCTACTTTTAATACATCCAAAGCACCTCAAAAAAAACCAAAATATTCAACTAGATGAATTTAAAAATTAAACATAAATTAAAAACTATTTGAAAAAAAACTGTTAAAAATAATTGGAAGATTTTTGAGGAAATAAAAAGTCGCATTACTGAACATTTAACGAATTTCTAGATCGAGATAATTTTTGGGAAGGTAAATTATCTTTATACAGATTCTCTCTTTCCGAAATACTGATATTGCCTCAAATGTTATTGAGATGTCCATAGCTTGTCCTGCAGGTATTATTGAGTGGGAAGGCCAAATGTTTATTTTTTCTGGGTTGGCGCTGTAAATTCAATAACCACGTTGGTAGGCAGAGGGTTCAAAATCTTAATTTTAACAAAATAATTTTTGAAAAAAGGTAAAGTGAAATACCCGGATATTTAACGTCTGTTGACAATTAAAAGGTCCCTTAACGTAAAATTTCTTTTCATCATTGAAGATAATGTTGATGTTTTTTGTTCCACGAAATGTTGAAGTTGTAAAGTTATTCTTTTTGTTTAAATTGAAAGAATTTATCCAGTCGATAGTAAACATTTGTGGAGGAAGTGCAGTGAAAAAAGTATTTGAAGTAACTTCGATTCTGGTCTTTTCTTTTCCGTTAATTGTCCCAACATTAGGTTCAAAAGTAATTATTGTAGACGATGAAGAGATGCGGAAATCTATAGCATTAGCCCAGTATTTTTAACGGTGAAGAAAATTGTTTGAATACCTCCCGAATATGGATTGAATTGTTTTAGCTGGTGAAGTTAAAATGGCAGGTGGCGGAACAGAAGCCATTTTGGCTATATAATTGATGAACAAAAAATTGAAAATTGGTAATAAAAAGAATGAGGAAAACATGGACGAGGACGGGAAAAACGCGGACAGTCAAAGTTAGAATGGAAAAAGAAAGGAAAAATATGCAAAGGAAAAAATGATAATATGCAAAGGAAAAAATGATAATGATATGCAAAGGAAAAAATGAAATATAATCTTCAATTCTGAGAACAAATTTTATCTAAACGGACCTTTCAATCAACAACAAACCTTAAACACTCGGGTATTTCACTTTAGCTTTATTCAAAAATTATTTTGTTAAAATTTAGATTTTGAACCCAACGGATACTAATGTTGTTATGCGAGTACTCAGTACGAATCCTGAAAAGATACATATTTGGCCGACACATGCTATTATTCCAAAAGGGCAAGCCATGGACATATCAATAACATTTGAAGCAATAACGAAGTTTAGAAAGGAGAGAGTCTGCGCCAAAATTATACATCTTCCACAAAACTTTCTTAATCTTCAAATTTCTGATATGTTTGTTTCTGCTCCGTTTTATCACATCAGGAATTTTCCAATCGTCTTCAATTATTAGAAAGTTAGGCTTGGCTGCTTTTGGATGTGTTGTTGGTATAAAAAGAATAGATGGAGGTGTAAATAAATTTATTTTTTTGTGTATATAGTATATTTTTTTTTAATTTTGTGTGATGTATTTTTGGATGTCCTCCTTAATCTCTCTTTATTCCTTTTCGAAATTTGTTGTAGGTTTTAGGGTTAATAGGTCTTCGGGGTTGACCCCATTTTTTTGGAACATGTTTTATTTTTAAACGTAGGATTAAGATTTTAAAAATATTATAAATTTTTTTCGATACTCAAATATCTTGCTTTGGGGGACTTAAAAAATCACTCATTTTCAAAAAACGGTTAAAGGAAACTTGGAACAAAAAAAACTTGAAAAATTTGCTTAGACTAAAATTTACTTAAAATGTCATTTTTCAGCAATTTCTAAAAAGCCCATAATTTCTCCTAAATTTCTAAAAAAAATTTTCTCAGCCAAATTTTCTAATAATTAAAAAAATAGATTCCAAGTCAAAGAAAACATCCAAAAACACAATTACTTTTCATAACAAAATTTTTTTTAAAAATATGTACAGATAAATAAATATATTTATTCCTCCTCTTTTCATCTTTTCTTTAACCAACAAACATCCAAAAGCAACCAGCCTAATTTCTAACGATTGAAGACGATTGGATAATTTATGATCAAATAAAACGGCGCATCCACAAACATTTGAGAAATTTGAAGCTCAAGGAAATTTGGGGCAGATTTATGATTTTAACTAGAATTCGCTCCTTCCTAAAAATTGATATTGGCTCAAAATTTATTGCGATGTCCATAGCACCACCCCCAGGAATTATTGAATTGGAAGGCCAGATATGTATCCTCTCAGGATCTGTACTTAATACTCTCATAACAACATTGTAAGGCAGAGGGTTGCGAATCTAAATTTTAAAAAAATAATTTTTGAAAAAAGCTAAAAGGAAATACACTGGTATAAAGTCTGTTTTTGATTGAACGGTCCGTTGCAATAAAACTTGTTCTCCGCATTGAATATAATGTTGATATTCTTCGTTCCACGAAACTGAGAAGTTGTGAAATTGTTTTTTTTGTTCAAGTTGAAAGAATTTATCCAATCAATGGTAAACATTTCTGGACTACGGGCAGCAAAATTTGTATTTGTGGTGACTTCGATCCTGGTCTCGTTTTTTCCACTAATTGTCCCTTCTTTTGGAGCAAATGTAATTGTTGTCGTCGATGAAGATATGCGAAAATCTATGGGACTAGGCCCGGTATTTTTGATTGTAAATAAAATTGTATGGATGCCGCCAGAATAAGGGTTAAAATAAAGATTTTTTGTTGGTGAAGTTTCTATTGGTGGTGGACTAGAAGCCATTTGCTATATAATTGAACAAAAAAGTTGGAAGCAAGGTTGGTTTGTTCGAAAAATGATGAGAAAGAAATTAAATAATCGCTGGCTTTTATACCAACTCACAACAGAAATTTACTGTCATATAAACAACATTTTGCCTCCCTATTTTTTGCCAATTACCTACCATAAAATATAACAATATTTATGCTTTCCGGAAGAGTAGTAAATAAGGTACAAAGTACCTAGATAAATTTAAAATTAAAATGAATTAAAAACTCTGAAAATACTTGTTAAACATTATTGATATATTCTTGACGTGATAAAGAGTCGCATCCTGAAACATCTGGTTGATATCAAACTTCAAAAAATTTTTTGGGAGGTAAATAGACTTTATAAAAATTCTCTCTTTTCGAAATTCTTGAATTGGTTCAATTGTCATTAAAATTTCCATTGCAGCACCTCTTGTAATTATTGCATTCGAAGGCCAAATTTTTATTTTTTGGGGATTGGTACTGAATACCTTCATAACAACGTTATCAGGCAAAGTGTTGAGAATCTTAATTGAGAATCTTAATCTTAACAATTTTTTCACATGTTCGGGATTTCGTAGTACCAAAGTTATCGAAGTAATATTCAACATGGAAAATAAAATTGTTATTAATAGTCCTTTTGATTCGCAACAAACGGTAGCTACTCGAGTATGTATCACTTTACTTAATTCAAAAATTATTTTTTTAATTAAGATTCTCAACACTTTGCCTGATAACGTTGTTATGAAGGTATTCAGTACCAATCCCCAAAAAATAAAAATTTGGCCTTCGAATGCAATAATTACAAGAGGTGCTGCAATGGAAATTTTAATGACAATTGAACCAATTCAAGAATTTCGAAAAGAGAGAATTTTTATTAAGTCTATTTACCTCCCAAAAAATTTTTTGAAGTTTGATATCAACCAGATGTTTCAGGATGCGACTCTTTATCACGTCAAGAATATATCAATAATGTTTAACAAGTATTTTCAGAGTTTTTAATTCATTTTAATTTTAAATTTATCTAGGTACTTTGTACCTTATTTACTACTCTTCCGGAAAGCATAAATATTGTTATATTTTATGGTAGGTAATTGGCAAAAAATAGGGAGGCAAAATGTTGTTTATATGACAGTAAATTTCTGTTGTGAGTTGGTATAAAAGCCAGCGATTATTTAATTTCTTTCTCATCATTTTTCGAACAAACCAACCTTGCTTCCAACTTTTTTGTTCAATTATATAGCAAATGGCTTCTAGTCCTCCACCACCAATAGAAACTTCACCAACAAAAAATCTTTATTTTAACCCTTATTCTGGCGGCATCCATACAATTTTATTTACAATCAAAAATACCGGGCCTAGTCCCATAGATTTTCGCATATCTTCATCGACGACAACAATTACATTTGCTCCAAAAGAAGGGACAATTAGTGGAAAAAACGAGACCAGGATCGAAGTCACCACAAATACAAATTTTGCTGCCCGTAGTCCAGAAATGTTTACCATTGATTGGATAAATTCTTTCAACTTGAACAAAAAAAACAATTTCACAACTTCTCAGTTTCGTGGAACGAAGAATATCAACATTATATTCAATGCGGAGAACAAGTTTTATTGCAACGGACCGTTCAATCAAAAACAGACTTTATACCAGTGTATTTCCTTTTAGCTTTTTTCAAAAATTATTTTTTTAAAATTTAGATTCGCAACCCTCTGCCTTACAATGTTGTTATGAGAGTATTAAGTACAGATCCTGAGAGGATACATATCTGGCCTTCCAATTCAATAATTCCTGGGGGTGGTGCTATGGACATCGCAATAAATTTTGAGCCAATATCAATTTTTAGGAAGGAGCGAATTCTAGTTAAAATCATAAATCTGCCCCAAATTTCCTTGAGCTTCAAATTTCTCAAATGTTTGTGGATGCGCCGTTTTATTTGATCATAAATTATCCAATCGTCTTCAATCGTTAGAAATTAGGCTGGTTGCTTTTGTATGTTTGTTGGTTAAAGAAAAGATGAAAAGAGGAGGAATAAATATATTTATTTATCTGTACATATTTTTAAAAAAAATTTTGTTATGAAAAGTAATTGTGTTTTTGGATGTTTTCTTTGACTTGGAATCTATTTTTTTAATTATTAGAAAATTTGGCTGAGAAAATTTTTTTTAGAAATTTAGGAGAAATTATGGGCTTTTTAGAAATTGCTGAAAAATGACATTTTAAGTAAATTTTAGTCTAAGCAAATTTTTCAAGTTTTTTTTGTTCCAAGTTTCCTTTAACCGTTTTTTGAAAATGAGTGATTTTTTAAGTCCCCCAAAGCAAGATATTTGAGTATCGAAAAAAATTTATAATATTTTTAAAATCTTAATCCTACGTTTAAAAATAAAACATGTTCCAAAAAAATGGGGTCAACCCCGAAGACCTATTAACCCTAAAACCTACAACAAATTTCGAAAAGGAATAAAGAGAGATTAAGGAGGACATCCAAAAATACATCACACAAAATTAAAAAAAAATATACTATATACACAAAAAAATAAATTTATTTACACCTCCATCTATTCTTTTTATACCAACAACACATCCAAAAGCAGCCAAGCCTAACTTTCTAATAATTGAAGACGATTGGAAAATTCCTGATGTGATAAAACGGAGCAGAAACAAACATATCAGAAATTTGAAGATTAAGAAAGTTTTGTGGAAGATGTATAATTTTGGCGCAGACTCTCTCCTTTCTAAACTTCGTTATTGCTTCAAATGTTATTGATATGTCCATGGCTTGCCCTTTTGGAATAATAGCATGTGTCGGCCAAATATGTATCTTTTCAGGATTCGTACTGAGTACTCGCATAACAACATTAGTATCCGTTGGGTTCAAAATCTAAATTTTAACAAAATAATTTTTGAATAAAGCTAAAGTGAAATACCCGAGTGTTTAAGGTTTGTTGTTGATTGAAAGGTCCGTTTAGATAAAATTTGTTCTCAGAATTGAAGATTATATTTATGCTTTTTGTCCTTCGAAATTCCTAGGTTGTGAAATAATTTTTTTTGTTCAAGTTAAATGAATTGATCCAATCTATAGTGAAGATTTTTTGACGACAGGCAGCAAAAGAAGCATTTGAAGTAACTTCAATTTTGATCTCTTCTTTTCCGGCAAGTGTTCCTACTTTTGGTGTGAAGGTAATTGTTGTATATGAAGAAGACAATCGAAAATCTATTGCCGTTAAAAATACTGGGCTAATGCTATAGATTTCCGCATCTCTTCATCGTCTACAATAATTACTTTTGAACCTAATGTTGGGACAATTAACGGAAAAGAAAAGACCAGAATCGAAGTTACTTCAAATACTTTTTTCACTGCACTTCCTCCACAAATGTTTACTATCGACTGGATAAATTCTTTCAATTTAAACAAAAAGAATAACTTTACAACTTCAACATTTCGTGGAACAAAAAACATTAACATTATCTTCAATGATGAAAAGAAATTTTACGTTAACGGACCTTTTACTTGTCAACAGACGTTAAATATCCGGGTATTTCACTTTACCTTTTTTCAAAAATTATTTTGTTAAAATTAAGATTTTGAACCCTCTGCCTACCAACGTGGTTATTCGAGTTTACAGCACCAACCCAGAAAAAATAAACATTTGGCCTTCCCACTCAATAATACCTGCAGGACAAGCTATGGACATCTCAATAACATTTGAGGCAATATCAGTATTTCGGAAAGAGAGAATCTGTATAAAGATAATTTACCTTCCCAAAAATTATCTCGATCTAGAAATTCGTTAAATGTTCAGTAATGCGACTTTTTATTTCCTCAAAAATCTTCCAATTATTTTTAACAGTTTTTTTTCAAATAGTTTTTAATTTATGTTTAATTTTTAAATTCATCTAGTTGAATATTTTGGTTTTTTTTGAGGTGCTTTGGATGTATTAAAAGTAGCAAGCTTAAATGTAAAAAACTGAGAGAAGATGAAAAAGTGAAAAATTTCCTACGTTCAAATATATTATAATTACTGAAATTAGTACCCACTAGGTTCTTTAAAAATCGTTTGGCTATTTAGCAAAAAAGGAGATGAACAACCTAAAAACTTATCCGTACCTAAGCAATCCTTACTTATTACTACAAGACTACAAGGGCCTAGCCCCACCCCTCCCCCCGAAATCGACCCCCTGGCTACGCCCTTGCAAGACTATAGCAATAAGGTTTTGGGTGGATATAAACATTTCCGGAAAACACAAAAAAAACATTTAAAAATACTTTCATGTTTTTACCCTCGTCATCCTTTTTTTCCAAAAAAGCACAAAAAGTTGTTGTTCTCCATCTGGTTGTTTCATGTTTATTTTGAAGTTGATCTGTTTCAAGAGCATTTTGTTGTTGAAACTAAAAAAAATAAAAATTTTAATTAAAAATATTTTTATTTAAAAAGAAACCCTCAAAAGGAGTCCACCCCTGAAGACCTACAACCTTTACGAGTTTAATAGGTGAGTCTGAGGGATTAAAGGGGATCATTATCCACTTTAACACTCAAAATCCTCGATATCCTCTTAATCTCTCTTTATCTCCTTTAGAACCTTCAAATCCATCGATATACCCCTTAATCCCTCCTAGTTCCTCTTTACCTCTTTTAAATCCCCCGATTAGACTTGCAAAGAAATAAAAAATAAAAAATTGTGTTGATCAAAAAATTGTAGGTCTTCAGGGTCAGTGAGTCTTCAGAGTCAGTAGGTCTTCAGGGTTGACCCCTTCAAAAGAAAACATTTGGACTTCCAATAAATTTGAACGTTTTGAAGAAATCCGAATTTCAGGTAACCCGTGACATTCCCCGGTATAAAAAACATTTAAATACTCACTCAATTTTTCTTAATTAGCGACGCAAAAAATCCATTTTTCTTTTTCTTCTCAGTTGTCGTTTCCAAATATTTCTTCTTTATTTCATCAGCATAAAAACAATCAAAAAGTAATTTGACGTCAACAAGTGGAGGAGGCCAAATTTTGTCGATTGGAGGATTTTTGGGGTTTTTAGCCAAAATCTTGTCGGTATTGGCAATTCTAAAAATTAAAAATAGAAAAATAAAAAATCGAAGCAAGTATTAGGGATCCTGTAAACGCTGAATAAATTCCCGAGAAATTTCACAAAAAATTTATAAATTATAAAACGCAGGGAATTCCCAATTTACAGAAGTCAAGGCGTCGGGATCGTTGGTCCCTACAATGATTGTTAAATGTTCGTAGATTCGAGCTTTCTTTCAAAAAGGAAACATAAATAAACTATTGGAAAGATTCAAGGACCATATAGATTTTTAAAGTTCTGTAGGAGGCAATAGAAAATTTATTTCCAAACTGTTAAATAACCAGAATTTACACCTTAACACAATTTGGGGACTAGGGTAGGAAATAATCTTCCGAGTAAAAAAATTCTGGTAATAGTGTCGTTTCCAGTCCCCCTTTTTTCTTCACCAAGTCTTTTCCTATAATTTGTACAGAATGGACAGACTTTTCCTCCTTCCATCACATTTGCCTTTCTTTCTAAATAACTGAATAAAAAATAATCATTCTTGCTTGTTGTAGGCAGAATATTGTAAGGCAATTGTGATGGATGAAGTAAAAGTCTTCCCATCTTGTACAAATTATAGGAACAAATTTGGTGAGGAAAAAAAGGAAACTGGAAACGACACTATTACAAAATTCTTTTGTCTATCCTATCCAGTCCAATACTCATTTTAGATGTCGTCAACCCAAAATAAATAAAAAAACCGTTTTTCAATTTCAATATCAGTTCTGTAGGAAACATAAGGTCTCAATGGAAAACTAGTCAAATCAGGAACAATTAATTAAGGAATCATTTCGGGTAGATGAACAAATTTGCCAGTATTTGGATCGTCATAGCCTGTTGGTTGAACACCAGTGTATCCTTTAAAAACTTTTTTTAATGGCAGAAACAATTTCAGAAAGGAGGAAATGGGCGGGGCTTAGTGGGGGGAAACTGCACAAGTGCTCTCAAGAGAAATGGGATGTACAAAGAACGTGGCGTCAAATTCCTGAAAATCAAGAAATCAGAATTCAAAAAAATCAGAATTCCCCAAATTCATAAAATAGGGAAAATATTTTGCGTACCAACACGTTTCCTGGCGTGTAACAGTTGAAGGATTAGACCAAAAAGAGCGCAGAAAGAAATGTTTCTTTTAAAATGTTTCCCCTTTGGCTGGTCTTTTGATGTGAGAGAAAACAGTCAATTACTCAGAAATGAGAAAAACCTTGGGCTTAAATAAGGACCTTGTCCAAAAGAAAGAATTTGCAAAAGTTTAGCCACCGGGCAGGATTCGAACCTGCGACCACCTGCTAGTTGTTGCTAGGCGCTTTCGCTCACTATATGCAGGAGCTCTACCTTTGAGCTACCGGGGCATCGACTAATGCTTTCTCTTTTTCCTTTTTAGATAGTTTATCCCCCGCCTAAACGTTTTAAATGCTGCTGGGTGAATCATCCTTACACAAATTCTTGACCTCAAGTATAGGGACTTGAGGACTTGACTATATAGGACTGACTCCCTATAGTATAGGGACTCCGAAAAATGCTTTGCTTTCGGCTCTTGTTCCAGGAAAATTTAAGGTCCTGATCCAAAAACAGGTCAATCACTACTTTCCTTATTAACATCCCCCCCCCCCCTCCTTAATAAAAAAAATAGCAAAACAAACCTCTCAATTCCATTGTATTATTCTTCTGCCATTTTGGAGTCAATTCAGGAAATTCTCTATTCTGTCCAGGCCACTTCCACGATTCATAATGCAGTGGACCTATTTTTCGAAGTCCTTTAGCACCCTTCTTTGCAAATCCCCAAGGAGCTTTAAAGTGTGATGGAATTAATGTTCGAACAACCATTTTTTGATTAAACAATCCTAAAATAAAAGAAAATTAAATTAAAGTGAGCCCACAAGTCAGGGATCCAATGAGGTACTTTCCGGTTTTGCCACGCCCCTCCCATATATTCGCAAGATATTATTTCTATACTCATTAATTCTTACAGAAAGGTAAGTCTTCTTTCTTCCTCAATTTCACTCAATTTTCCCTGTGGTATGTTCAAAGAGCAAAGAAAAGATTAATTTCTTTCCATTGTGAAATTAAGGAAGAAGGAAGACTGACCTTTCTGTAAAAATTAAGAAAAAACGAAATAATACCCTGCGAATATATGGGAGGGGTGTGGCAAAACCGAAAAGTACCTCAAGTGAAGAAGATTAACCCAGAAAACCCCACAAGTCTATAAAAATACTGGGAATTTAGAACGGGAATGCTTAAAATCCCATCGAGATTACCTCCGCATAACCCCTAATCAAAGCTAGAAAATTTTTAAAAATTAAGTGAAGCTGTGAAATAGTGTGTAAAAATAAGAGAGTAGTTAGAGAAAAATAAATAAAACAAAATAAACATTATGCCAAACTTATTAATTTGTGGAAACTTACAAAATTAAAAATATACGCAGGTTTAACGTTTTAGAAACTCTCTGATTCAGTAACTACGGGTTGAAAATTTGAGCTTGAGGATTTAATAATCTTTTATTTGCAGTAGAGGCGCAAAACCCGGGATTCTGGGGCGGGATCCCGACGTGATCCCGATTGTAAGTTTTCTATATAGTCCTCTCTTCCGTATATACACATTTTGCCTTTCCCACATTTTGCCAATTAGACTAAAAATCGCGTTTTGTCAACTATACTTGTGACAAAACGCGAGTTTTTACTATTATTGGCAAAATATGCAGAGTCACTTTCCACTTTTTATACATTACGCCAAAGAAATTTTATTTAACTTTCAAAAGTAAAATATTTTCATTGCGAATTCTCGTTGCAATCTCAAATTCTAAATAAGACCTAGAAGACGTTCCTTAAAAAAGTTCTCTCCCGACGGGCCGTGGACCAATATTTTATGTACATACGTATATCATTAGTGACCGGCACCGGACCGGATCCGGCCGGATTTTTAGGGAGTCCGGGTTCCAGATCCGGGTTTTTGAGATTTCTGGACTAAAACCGGACCGGATTAATCCGGCCGGATCCGGTCCGGCTCCATTGCCGGATCCGGTCCGGAAAAATCGATTTTGTGGGTCTCTAGATAGCATGGACGTTTCACAAATTTGAATTTTGTTTAAACAAAAAAATTTTTTCTGAAATTTTAATTTTTTCAAATTATACAAATTAAATATGATAAAATATCAAAATTATCTTTTATCAATTTTTTTCTTTTTTAATTCTCTCTTCCTCTCATTTGTTCCAAATTTTGGCCTGATTGGACTGTAGCAGCTAACGCTTTGAGATCTAAATTTAGAGGAACTGGCTTAGGTGGAGGTCCTTCTGGAGGGTCAAAAAGACGTCTTTTCTGTTAAATTTAGAAAATTATTTTTATTTTTCAAAAAATATTCACAGTTGTCGGCGGCCTGTCATTACTATGCCATCGCAAATGGGCCTTCAAGTGTGAACTTCTGCTATACACTTTATGACAGCCAGGAACATGACAGTTGTGTTTTTCGTATTTTTGGTCTATTTGTGCACCTGTTTAAATTTTATTTTTGTAAGAAAAAAAAGGGAAAATACAAAAAATAAAAGAAAAGTGTAACTAAAACATTGAAAAATACGCACAAAAATACAAACAACAAATTTACAAACTTGACTTAAAAATTACTACATAAATAGAAAATCAAAACATTCAAAAAACGAGCATTGAACTTAAGTATGCAAATATAAAAATGTTTGGAAATATTTTTACAAACTTAAAAACATTATAAGACTTGGAAACAAAACTTAATTTACGAACTTAAAAATTCAAGTTTATTAAATGTTTACGGAAATTTTTTTTAGTTTGTTTTAGTCTTAAGTTTACAAACATGAAAAATGTTTGTAAATGTTTTTACAAACTTAAAAACTTATATGTATAACAAAATTTAATTAAACTTGAATTAAAAATTCAAGTTTATTTAACTCTCACCACCTTTACAAACTTAAAACTTGGAAACAAAACTTAATTTACAAACATAAAAATTCAAGTTTATTAAATGTTTCCGGATTTCTCAACAACTTTGCAAACTTGAAAACTTAAGTTTATTATAAACATTATTGTTTCCGGAAGTTTCTAAATGTTTTCCGGAAAGTTTTACAAACCTAAATACTACAATTTACAATCCTACCAACAACAAAACACAAATTCAAGTTTATTTTAAACTCTCACCTAATCTTTCCAATTCTTTACAGTTTGGACATTCACAGTTGTTTTTAGTATTTACACTTGTTCTCATTTTACCGCCTGCTTTGTTTTTAAGTTGTTGGGATGATTGTTTACCAATATTATTATTTTTGCTACTACGAAGTTTGTGTTGGTCGAATTGTGAAATAATTGTTGAAGTTGAGGAGGTGGAAAAAGAGCGCTCTTGTGGTTGGAGAATATTTGTTTCTTGGATGTTTTGTTGTAATTCTCTAGTTGTTGCTAATGTTTTCAAGTCTGCAAAGGAAGCAGAAAAAGAGGGGTATGACTGAGAGAGTGAAGAACGGTCTGATGTTGTTGAAGAAAAGAAATTGCCGGAGAAGGAAGTTTGTGAAGGTTGAACTAGGGCTGAAATTAAATCTTATTGGAAGTTATTTAAAAAAAAATTTTTATTAAAAATTAAAAAAATACAAAAAAAAAGTAAATTCAAATAATTTAAATATTAAATTAATAAAGGTTACCGAAAAGTTTTACAAATTTGAATATTACAATTTACAATCCTTCAAATTACAAAACAATTCAAGTTTATTTAACTTTGCGACTTTTCCGGAAAGTTTATTTATTTTTTCATTTTCCGGAAATATAACTAGGTTATTATATTCCGGAAAGTTTTATAAACTTAACTTTTACAATTCATGTTTTCCGGAAAGTTTATTTTCCGGAAAATAAAATTAAATATTACAAACTTAAATTTTCACAAACACTAACTGTTAAGGTTCCGGAAAGTTTTATAAACTTAAGTGCTACAATTAATTTTACAATTTGTAAATCTAAGTTTTACAATTAATTAATTATTACAATTTGTAAATTCAAGTTTTACAAATTCAAGTTTATTTTTATTACCTCCCAAAGCATTTCCAAGATAACCACTTCCATCGCCTCCCCAGCTTCCTCTAAACCCCGCAGCACTGTTTATTCCGTCACCTTCACCTCTACACAATAAAGCTGCCATTTCCCCACTCCAGCTAGTCGAAGCAGCAGCCTGAGCAACTGCAGCAGCCTGATTTTGTGTTTAATTACAATTTTGTTTTAATTTTAATTTTTACCATTGTGGGGGCAAGTTGAGCATATGAGGACAACATTAATGCAGAGGGAGAGGATGGATCGAGAACGAATGGGGAAGAATAGGAAGAAAGGTTGCCTAGTTGTTGTGTAGCTATTAAAGGGTCAAAAAGTGTTGAGGCTGAAAATGAAAGGACTTGAAAAAAATATTTTTTATTTACTTTCCAAATTCTCCTCTGAAGATGTTGGTTGTTGAAGTAAATGGGAATCTTTCAGTTGTGATAATGATGAGGAGGAGGCCGGTAGTTTAGGTGTAAAGGAGGAAGAAGCAGTTGAAGAGGGGAATTCTCCGTCGTGATTGAGACGCTCTTGAATCTTAAAAAAATTTTTTTTGGGGAGAAAAAATTTTTTCAGAAATTTTTTTGGAAGAAAAATCCTCTAGAAAAACACCTTAATTAATTCATCCAAAGGACTCGAACCAACGCCTCCACCAACGCCTCCCACAAACGACGAGGGAAAAGAAGGCATTAAAGTTGTTGTGGAGACCAAATCAGACGAAACTCTATTGGAAGAAACTCTATTAGAAGAAATAATATTTTGTTCGCCAACATGTTGTGAAGTATTCCAGCTTTCTAAAACAAAGTTTGTATTGTTGTTGTTATTTGTTGTTGTTCGATTTGTTTTTGTTGTTTTGTTGGTATTATTAGATGTTGGGATAATTAGGTGTTGGTCAGTTAATGATGTTTGTTGCATTTCAAACATTTGTTTTGTAAAACTTGTATTTAAACAAAACAAGTTTATTTTTAGGTTTTGATAAAATAAACTTGTTTTCCGGAAAGTATTTTAATTTTCCGGAAAATGTTCTATACTCTCTTACCACTTTTCCGGAATGTATAATTATTTTTCCGGAATGTAATATAACTTCCGGAAATGTAATATAACTTTCCGGAAAATGTTGTATACCCTCTTAACCTTTTCCGGAATGTATAATTATTATATTTTTCCGGAAAATTGTATACTCATCAACTTTTCCGGAATATATAATTATTTTTTCCGGAATGTAATATAATTTTCCGGAAAATGTTTTATATTTTCTATACTTTTCCGGAAGGTATAATTATTATATTTTCCGGAAAGTTTTATATACACCAATTTTTCCTGAATATATTTCTAGTATATTCCTCTACCTTTACACAAGCTCAATTTAAATCAACTTTTATTTCTACGCAAATCTAACTTCCAATTATTTTCTAGTTTATAAAATAGCAAAGATGACAAAATTAAAGTTAGATTTATTTTAAAAGAATCTCATAAAAATGGGCATTTTCAAATTTCCACACATTTCAAACGAGCGCATTTTTCAGGAGGAAGATTTGTTGTTTATTGAGAAGGTAGAGAGAGGTGGTAGTGGATTCCGTTGGAAATTGGCACTTTCTAGTGTACACAAAAATAAAATAGCTTCTCTCAAACAAACAACAAATGGTTGTAGAGAAGGGTTTTTCTTTTAGTTTTTTACCATCCTCCCCTTTCTCCCCCTCAAACATTTTTTTTGTCTTCCATGATTTTTTATCCACTCTTTTTATTTTTTATGGGAGGTGATCTTATTTGAAGGCTTTCTTCTTTAAGACAAATAAACCCTCAAAAGGTACAATCTAGTGAGAAAATCTGAAATAAATTAAAATGCTTGTTTAGTTGTTGAAATTTGGAATAGTAAAGGAGAATTGAAGGAGAAAAAGTGAAATAATTATTTAGAGTAAATAAACTTTTCCGGAAAGTTATAGGGTAAATGTTATAGAAATATTAATTTCTTTTACGTTTTCCGGAAGATGAATACACTTTCCGGAAATTATGTTATAGTATTTTTTTGAATCTCCGGAAGAAAAAAGAACTAAAAGCCTTCCGGAAAATATAAGTATATAATTTTCCGGAAAATATAGTCATATATAATTATATAACCTTCCGGAAAATTTTCCGGAAAATACGTATTTATTTCTTCATTTTAAAGTAAAACACAAAAGAGAAGTTTTCCGGAAATCTGTATTTATTTTTCCGGAAAATTAATAAAAATACTTTTCGGAAAATAATTATAAATATATAATTCTCCGGAAGGATTTATTTTTTTCGTTCAATTTACCATTAAATAGAGAACAAAAATAAGAAACTTTCCGGAAAAATTATTCAGAGATTACGTATTACTTATACTATACTAAAACAAATTTTCTTATAATTATACATTTTTTACTAAATTTAAAAAATAAAAAAAACATTTTCTCAAGTAAAAATTAAAAAAACTTGCGGCAGAAGGATTGCGCAAAATGCTGTCTTTTTTGGTTAATTTACGCTTAATGGTCCAACGCCTCGCTAAAATAAATGTTTGGTTTTGAGATTTTCATGAACGTCACCGCTACAGTTTACTCTCTAATGGGCGTGGTTTGTGTATATTCCTTTTACTGGCTATGAGGTGGGATGAATAAATTATTTTTTGGGGAAAAAATAAATGGATTTAACGCTCCATTGATTTTTTAAAAATAATTTAATAATATAAAAATAATTGAAGCTTTCCATAGCCTCTTTAATTATATTAAACTTGTAATTAAAAGAGGTAATAGAAAAGTCGAAGCAGAATTCTTTCTGTTTTATATTGAAGCTATAAATATTTAATAACGAATTTACTTTAAGTTTCCGGAAAGAATTATATACACCTATCAATATATTTTCCGGAAAATTAAAAATATTTTTTTCCGGAAATTTTAGTAATCTAATGTATTTTGAAGGTCTTCCGGAAAGAATATACATCAATAGTATATTTTCCGGAAAGTTTAATTTATACTTAATTTATTTCTTTATATTTTCCGGAAAGAATGCACCTATCAGTATATTTTACATCTATCACTATATTTTCCAGAAAGTTTAATGAATAATATATTATTCAAGTTTTCCGGAAACTAGAGATATAGAGATATAAACTAGAGATATTTCCGAAAACTAGAAACTAGAGATACACTATAAACATATTTTTCCGGAAAATTTAATAAGCAATATATATTTCAAGTTTTCCGTAAAGTATTATACACTATAAATATATTTTTCCGGAAAGTTTAATTTATTTCTATAACTATAATTCAATTGAAGCAAGGTTTCAGGAATACAATATGTTTCAGTAATACAATATTAGAGTAATTACAACTTTTCCCATTAAATATTCATTAAATAAATATTCATTTACCTTAGCTACGCTTCTCTCATTTTCTCTCTCGGCTGATCCTCCCCCTCAAATTTTTTTCTTATTTCAATGCCATTATATATATTATACTCGGGACCCATAATTAAGTGTTTTTACATTTATCTTCTTTTTTTTATTCTCATTTTTTGTTAGTTCAGAAGCATTTAGTAATGCGCAATTTACCGTATATTTTAATCGTTTTTTTAGAAAAATGAAGGGGGAAAAGTGGTTTTTCTGCTCATCTTTTATTCTAAATCATTAATATTTTTGTGTTAAATAAATATTATTTTTTAAAATAATTTTTTAATGATCGAAAAAAATTATTTTTAAATAATTTTTAATTCTTATTTGGGACATTTCACGGTATGGACAATTCACTGTGTTGCGTAAAATTATGGGTTTCATGTGAGGGAAATCTGTGGGGGACTTTACAATATAGACGATTCACTGTTTCAGGTGGAAATTCTAGTTTCTTCTGGAAAACCTGGAGGAGATTTCGCGGTATGGATAATTCACTTTATTAAGGTCTTTTGTGGAAAATCCGGGTTACAGGTGGAGGCAGGCGGAAAAATAAATAAATTTCCCAATACGTATCGGCAAACTAGAAAAGAAAAATTTAAGGAAATAGCAATTTAAAGGGATAATTTAAATAAAAATAAATATTTTTGATATTTAATTATAATGTATTGGTTAATTATTTTGGTTGCCATCGAGCTTTATTCTGTTTAATAGAAGACTTGTTGTTAAGCAAGCTTTAAAAAGAGGCATCTTTTTGAATTTTAATTTTTTTGAAATTTTCGAAATTAATTGGCACATAAAAATTAAAATAAAATTGAGAAGAGACGGAAATTTAAAAAAAAAAAGTGGAAAAGAAATTTAAAATTAAAAATAAAATTGTAAAGCAGAATAAAATAAGTTAAAACTTAACAGAACAGTAATTACATTTTTAACACACGACTTAGGTTAAACAAGAAAGAAAATAAGTTTATTTTAAAATACAAGGAATAAGAAGTATGAGAAACATTTCGGATAAATTAGGGGTTAAAATAAAGTTTCGGGAAGAGTTATATACCTATAGTTAATATTTCCGGAAAACTAATATAATATAATAAACTTTCCGGAAAAGTGTATTTTACAACTTAAAGAAATTTCCGGAGAAAAATAAAAATTACGATTCATTTATTTCCGGAAATTGGTGGAAATAGGTTTCCGGAAGAGTTATAGAATTATAGTTAATATTTCCGGAAAACTAATATAATATAATAAACTTTCCGGAAAGAGTATACTTTACAACTTAAATTTCTGGAAAACAAACAAAAACTAATATAATTAATTTATTTCCGGAAATTGGTGATTTAAATAGGTTTCCGGAAGAAGTATATACCTATAGTTAATATTTCCGGAAAACTAATATAATAAATTAAACTTTCCGGAAATGGCAATATTTAAAGAAGGCTGAGTTTGAGTCAAGTAGTGCTAAAGGTATTAGTGTGAAAAATAAAATAAAGAAAATAAAACAAAGCCCTCAAAAATCAAATAAAAGCTATAATTCTCGATTTTTAGGTTGCGTAACTCAGAAAGAATTGTCTTTGTTTTTTCTTTATTTTGCGAGCTTTATTCTGTTTATTTTTTCAATTCCCAGTCATAAACGTTTTATTCTCTTTTTTTCGTGATGCCGCTAAACGTCGTCCTCATTTTCGGCACCTTTAACAGGAAATCACATTAAAATAGAATTTTTAGGTAATTTTATTGTGAGGTCATTTACTGGAATATTTATTATACACTCATAAACAAAAAGATAGGGACAAGAGTGGGTGGATTGAAGAGTACCTATTTTTTCAGTTAAAAATCTACATTTATTTCAGTATGGGCTGGGTAGTAAAAAATATTAATCCGGAAAATCTTATACTTATTAAATAGAGAATTAAAGAGATTATTTAACTAAACTAAAAATCATTCTGTAAAACGGATTTTTAACTGGGAAAAGAAGTAATCTTCATTCTCTATTAGGGTTGTTGGTTCTTGGAAATCTTTGGATATCCGGAGCCGAACCGGAAAATCTTCGGTTCTTCGGTACCCTACTCTCTATGTTCCCTATCACCAGTCTATAACTGTATATTTTTTGTTTTTTATTAAAAATAAATTTAAAATTTTTTCCATATTAATACAAATTTTTCTCATTTTTCACCTCTATTTTTTACAAAAAATTCAAAATTTATTTTTAAATAAATTATTTATTTTTAATAGCCAAATAGCCTCATTTTTCTTCTATTTTTCTTCCATTTTATCTCACAATTTCTCCCATAATTTCTCCCACAATTTATTTTTCAATTGCCAAATCACTGACATATTGCCTAATACTAATTCCGCACATCATTTTACAAAAAAATATTTTTTCGGCATTTTTATTCTTCAAAAAACATATTTTTAATTACCCAAGTAACATATTGGAGAGAAAGTAACAAGTAGTCTAAAAAGGCGGTTTAGTTTTATTGCTACAGAAATGAGTTAATCGCACTCATTTTACAATATTTTTTTAGTGAAAGAAAAGAAAATTTGATAGTCCATAGATTAGAAAAATTAATTTATTTTTTAAATAAAACAAGTAATTTTAGCCCTAGTTCAACCCAGACCTGGTCACGGATACTGATTTTGGTATCCGTATCCGGATATTTACGGCGGATACAGGCGGTTATCCGCAAGCATTTTGGTATTATCTGTATCAATATCTGTATCCATGACCAGGTCTGGTTCAACCCTCACAAACTTCCTTTCCTAGCAAATTTTTTCTCTTCAACAACATCAGAACGTTCTTCTCACAATCAGACTTAAAGATAGAGTAGCACATCCCCCGAAACGTAGCACATCTCGTAGCATCCCCACATCCCCGTAGCACATCCCCCGAAACCCCGACACGACGATTTTTTGGCAAAAACCCCCGAAAGCTCTACTCCTACCCCGAGTCGGGGTAGGAGTGAAAAAAATGCCCCCCGACCCCCAACATGTCCTCCCCGGCAGATAACAATCCCCGTGACTATCGACCCCTAAGGGCCAGGATGCTACCCTACCTACTCAAAGACATTAACAGCGACAACTAGAGAATTTTTTGAATAAATTATTAATAAATTTTCCACTTCCTCAAGTTCAACAAATATTCTACAATTCGACCAAAACAAGCTTTTTCTAACAAAAATAACATTGATAAACAATCTTCCCAACAACCTAAAAACAAAGGAAGCGACAAGATGAGTTTAAGTGTAAATGCTAAAAACAACTGTGTTATCTACATATTTCCATCATCATTTTAATATTTAACATTGAGGGCATTTTAGTTGAGGTTTATTTTTTAGTCGGAAGCTCTATTTGCAACAGATTGGCGCGAAGACAAAAAACCTATCCAAACACATCTACCTATCTATTTTTATTTTTTATAATCGCTTCAAATTTGATGGAAAATATAAAAAACGGCACCGCTACACATCTGGGAATACTTTATATTTTTTTAAGAAAAAGGAGGAAAAATAAAACGGAAAAAATATTATTTTAAAGGTATACAAGCTTTCCGGAAATAATTCCGGAAAACAATTTTAAATATTTTAACCAGTTTTAGAGTATTTTACAATTCCGGAAAAAAGTTGGAGTTGTAAAAATGGTTGGTATACCTATGTGGAGATACTTATGGTGAAAGACAGTAAAACCGGAAGTAATTCCGTAAAACAATTGTACACCTTATAAAAATATATACCGTATTTACTCGATTAATTCCCCTGAGGAATTGATATTTCAACCCATCCGTGACGTGGAGAATTATTCAAGGGAGAGGAATTATTCGAGTTTTGAAATTTGAAGGGAGGGGGATTATTGTTTCGACCTATCTTTGGTAGGGGGAATTATTTAAGGGAGAGGAATTATCGAGTAAATACGGTATTCAAAATCCAAAGCTTATTTCAAAAAAATTTTTTTACTATTTATTTGGTAAAAAAAAGTGGGGTATTAATTACCTTTGTTTAAATTTATTATTAAAAATAAATAAAAAAGAAAAAAAAGTTGAGACAGTGTAAGGATGAAATGGATTAGAATAAGCCTGTTAAATTTATTGTTTAACACTGCTGGAGGTATGTAAAAAAGAGTGGATTGGATTTGAATATCTTCGCATAATAAGTAAAGAACAATCCAACACTAAAAAGTTGAGGAACAATGACTATTATTGTGTGGAGGTGATGAAAAGACATTAGAAAGAAAATATAAATTTCTTGGAAATACAATAAAAAATTCAAACTCTTTTTTACAAATTAAAACATTTTACAGTCAAACATTTTTACAATTTACAAACTTTTTTACAATTCCAAGTTTATTTTGCAATAAAGCATTGTTTTAAAAATACCAACCTGTTTTACAAATACCAACCTTTTTATATTATTCCAACTTTGTTGCAATATTCCAACTTTTTCTACAAATTCCAACTTGTTTTTATAAATTCAACCTTTTTTTACAATCCAACCTTTTCTACAATTTTCCAACTTTTTTTACAAATTCCAACTTGTTTTTACAATTTCTTTTTACAAATTCCACTAAATTTACAAATCCAACTTTTTTTACAAATACCAACCTTTTTTTACAACTTTTTCTATTTTATTAATTTAAAACTTGTTGAACCTAAGTTTAATTTACAAATTCTTTCAAGTTTTACAATTATAATATTTTCAACTTTTTTAATCGTGTTTTTGCTGTTTAGTTTTACAAATTAAAATATTAAAGTTTTTTTATTTATTATTTTCCTGTCTGTATTAAATTATGAGGCAATAATTAAATAGAAAAACAAGTAATCCGGTCAATCAAGTTGTATTAGTATTTTTAAGGAGGTTAATCTCGAAAAGCAATTTTTCTTGCAGTGAATAGAGGGAAAACGGAAATTAAAGTCAATCCATCAATTTGTGCCTCTCTAAAAATAATTTTTCTGTTGCGCAATTCTATAAGTTGATAGAAATTATTTTGAAAAAAAATTCTCGTTATTCATTAAATTTTAAGGAAATAACCGATTAATATAACCAAAAAATCTCTAATTTTTGATAGATAGACTTCTCAAAAAATAACTCTTTATCCGCTGGATAAACCTAAAAGGCCTACACAAGCCCTCAAAATTAATTTAGGAATTTTATTTTTTATTCCTTTAACTCATTTTTATTTTCCTCTAACATTCGTGTGGGCGTCTCAAAAATGTGTTAGAATAAAAGCAAAGATGATCCCATTAGTTTTTTAATTATACTAGGATTTTTGTTCTACCCTGCAGCTGTTAGCTGTTTTCACAAATGTAAAGGAAGAGAGAGAGGAGAGACAAACAGAGAAATGTTTGGAAAAGGATTGTAAAATGTTTTAAAAAAAGTTTTAAAACAAGTTTAAAAAAACAAGTTGGAAAAGTTTTAAACAAAACAAGTCTGTTGTTTTAAACTTTCCGGAAAACAAGTTTATTAATATTTCCTGAAAAGAATAGAAAACAAGTTGTAGGGAGAATAAAACAGGTTGTAAAGTTTATATCAAGTTTGAACTTGAATTATTTTACAATTTGTAAAACAAGTTTTTAATTATTTACAAATTACAAATTTAAAAGTTTTACAAATTTTGAATGTTAAAGTTCAAATCCAAGTTGGAAAAATAGAAAAACAACTATTACGACAACAGAGAAATTAAACTTGTTCGTAATATCCTCAATTTAAGCCAAATTAGAGAAAAACAAAAAATGTTCTTTTAACTAACGCCTGTTCAATCTATATCTAAACAGGCGTTCCACATCCGATCTAAAAATGAGGAGAGAAAAATGAGGGCAGTTCTGAGAGAAGTTTTGAGGAGTCTATTGAAGAGTGAGTACACCAAATATTTTTGATTCGCTTTTCCCCATCTTAAACTTAAATTTTAGTTTACTCTAAACAAAATTTCTTTAATTTTAAAGCCCCATCCATTATTAATTATTTAATCAATTTAATAAAATTTAGTATAGGTACCTATTTGAATCCCCTAAGAATCCCTTAAGTACACCTAGTTTATTTTATAAATCAAGCCTTTTTAATTTTAAAATAAATTTGTAAAATTATTTTAACATCCTAAAGATTTAAACACAAAAAATGTCTTCTCGGCAAACTCCCGGTGGACTTGGTTTCCAAGTTGTTGCCAAACAAGCAAGCAAATACAATGATTATGAAGGTGAAATGTTGCTTAAATGGATAAAGAAGTTGAGCGGTGAAGGATTCCAGCCAACTGGGAACCGTGAAAACTTTTACAATTTGTTGAAAGACGGGACACTTTTATGCAAGTAAGTAGGCTGTTTTATTTCAGGAAAGAATAATACTTCCGGAATTCCGGAAAGAAAATACTCGCTATAAAATTTTATCCGGAAATTCTATTATTTATTTAAACTCCGGAAAGTAAGTTTATTAATATTTCCGGAAAAGACTTGAAAATTATTAATTTAAACTTTCCGGAAAACTTAAAACTTGCAATTGTAAAGTTTGTATTTCCATTGCGATTTTTCCGGAAAAAAGTTGCATATTTAATTCTTTCCGGAAAATACATATCTATTAATACTAGAATTTAGTTAGCATGTTTAATCCTTCCGGAAAACATACCCTTGCTATTTTTCCGGAAAACAAGTTTTAAAGTTGAACTTAAATTTTACTATATGTATTGTTTATAAACTTAAAAACTTAAGTTTCAAGTTTAATAATTTTAAGGACTGCAAATGCACTTAAACCAGGCACCGTTAAAAAAATACAAAATCCAACTGGCGGAAACTTTGCCTGCATGGAGGTAAATTAAATTTTAATAAATTAAAAAATCTTTTCTACAGAATATCAACGCTTTTGTAAAATTCGCAAAAGAAACAGGCGTTCCAACCGAAGAACTTTTCCAGTCTGTTGATTTGTTCGAAGCCCGCGACTTGTTCTCTGTCTGCGTCACGCTTTTGTCGCTTGGACGAATTGTAAAATTTTTTTTTATTTTTTAAAAAAAATTTTTTAGTTGGAGAAGCAAGGCAAATCCAACCCCTATTCTGGATAAACAAGAAAAAAAAGAATTTAAGTGACCGGTAGAGAATAATGGAGATTGGCCGTTATTTTGCTACTAAAATACTTTATTTCCCATCTATTGAAATGTATCCATATTTAAAAGAATTCACTATATATGGAAAAAATTTTTTTAGTACTTAAAAATGATAAAAAAGTGTGGTGGTTTTTAGACTATTTGCTATTTTTTTTGTAAAAATTTTATAAAAATTTAAAAATTTGAAAAAAAATAATTTTTTCAAGTAAAAATCTTGAGAAAAAATTGATAATTTATCAAAAAATAATTTTTTTATTCTTTTTTCTCCCCTTCTGGTAATGGCAAATCAAAAAGCACCGGGTTGTTTAAAGGCGTGTTTTTATCCGAACATATTGCAGCATTAATAAATAAAGTTTCTCCGTTTGTTGTAGCAACAGGTCTGGGTTCGTGAGTGTGACCAAAAACATGGACTCTAAGAAATAATAAAAACAAGTTGTATATATAAATTAAAACTTTCCGGAAAACAAGTTTATTTTTATATTTAAGTTGTATTCCGGAAAATATGTATTTATAGTAATTTTTCCGGAAGATGAATTATATTAATAATTTCCGGAAAATAAATATAAATTAATATTACTTCCGGAAAAAGTTTATTTGTATATTTAATTTGCTTTCCGGAAAATAATTTGTATTCATATAAGATTTCCGGAAAATAAATATAAATTAATATTACTATACTTCCGGAAAAAGTTTATTTTTATATTTAAGTTGCATTCCGGAAAATAATTTATATTCATATATAAGATTTCCGGAAATATTAAAATGTCGGAAAAAATATTAAAACTTTCCGGAAAATAAATTGAATATTACTCTCCGGAAAATAACGGAAAACAAGGTTAATTTTCTATTAAAAATTAAAACACCTCGGCTTCACAGCCTTTTCCACAATATTAAGTAAATCGGCATCCCCCATTCTATCCCCTCTTGGTGGAAGATCAGAATGCCCTAATGGAGGTGAATGAGTCATTAAAACATCAACAACAGGTTTGTAGTTTTCTCCCAAAATTTCGGCTTGTGGAATTTTTAACCATTCATTGAAAATTGCTTTGCCTCTAGAACGGTAGAAGGAAAATCCGGGAAGTGGATGCCAAGAAGAGCCAAAAATGTTGATACCATAAATCTAGAAAAACATTGTGTAATTAATATTTGTTCGAATTGCCTTATAAACATGAAGAAAAACAAGTTTTATTTGTAATAAAAAACAAGTTGAATATATTGTATTTTTCCGGAAAACAAGTTTAATTAATTTTACTTATTTCTTTCCGGAAAACAAATAAAATATACTACAAAATTTCCGGAAAACAAGTTTTAAATGTAATAGAAAACAAGTTTAATATATTGTATTTTCCGGAATTGTATATTTATTTTTATTTTCCGGAAAACAACACCTATACGTAATATTTGTTTCCGGAAAACAAGTTTATGCTTATTTAATTATATGTTAAACTTGTTTTCCGGAATCTATAGAAGTCTAATATCAACACATTCCGGAAAACAAGTTTGAAATTTAATAAACACCGACTTTTAAATAAACCAAACACCCCCACCTTTACAGAAGAATCTTGCAAATAAATACAATCAGTCAAATGTTTGTAGCCTTGAGGTGTTCCACGGCTTCCAGAGCCTAACCTCCACATATTAGCATTTGCCCTTCTCCCACTAATATCCTCCCCATCTTCAAACCCCAATTCATGATTTCCAGCAATAACAATTTTGTAACGATGGGGAAGTTGTTTGAGTTCTTTATTGAATTTTTCAAGCTCATCCAAATCTCCAAAATTAGTAAAATCTCCACAATGAAGCAGAACCTATTTTTTTGACAAATTAAAGTTTCCGGAAAACAAAGTAAAATATAAAACAAGTGTTTTAATTTTTTAGGGAAAAGCAGGTTGAATATATTCTATTCCGGAAAACAAGTTTAATTAATTATATTTTCTTTCCGGAAAAACAAATAGAATATTTAACTGATAGAAACTTTACGGAAACTTTTCATTGGGAAAATAACTGCAAACAAGTTTAATTGTATTTTCCTTCCGGAAAAGTTTAATTTTGTATTTTCTTTTCGGAAAACAAGTTTAATATATTCTATTTTCTTTCCGGAAAGGTTAATTATATTCTTTCCGGAAAACAAGTTTAATTGTATTTTCTTTCCGGAAAAGTTTAATTTTGTATTTTCTTTCCGGAAGTTTATCATATATATTTTCTTTCCGGAAAACAAATATATCACAGATATTAAACATTTCCGGAAACTTTTCTTACAACTATTAATGCATACAAAAAGTACTAGTTACTCTTACATCGCCAGGCGGAATACGATGAAGAATTTCATCAAGATGATTGTGTGTATCACTTATACAGACAAATCGAACAAGGTCTGGATGGATTGGTTCATTTAATCTATAAAATCAAAAATTCATAATTTATTTGAACTAACGGCAAAGTTTTTGCTTCATTGCATACTCTTTCTTTAGAATATTCCATCCATAAATTTGAAGGGTTATTAGCTTGCAATTCAGGTATGGGGTTCAAGCCAAACATTCTAAAAGGCTTTCACTAGTTAAAAGTTAAATAAACACATTAGTTTAATGTTGTTGAAAGAATTTAAGTTTAAATTAAACTTTCCGGAAAACAAATTAAATAAAGTAAATGTTTTTAAAGTTTTATAGAAAACAAGTTTATATATTGAAAACAACATAGGTATATTTTTAAACTTTTCCGGAAAACAAGTTGGAGAATATATCAATTTAACTAGAAGAAAAACAAGGGAAAAATATTCAAACTTTCCGGAAAACAAGTTTTCCGGAAAGACGAAAAATAAAACTTGTTTCTAGAAAAAAATATACTATACTTGTTTTCCGGAAAATAGAATATATTCAACTTGTTTTCCGGAAATAAAATAGAATATATTAAAAATGTTTCCGGAAAATCGTATTTATTATATTAAAAGTTATTAAAACATATATTTTTAAACTTTTCCGGAAAACAAGTTGGAAAAAAATAAATTAAATAAAACAAAAACATCTCCTTAAAAATAAACTTTTCTTTTTCTTCTATTTACAAGAATTATGGCTAGGATTTCTATGTAATACAACAGGCGTAAAATCGCGCAGTCTCTTTCCACACCTCATACATTTTTGATCAATTATAACCAGGCGAGAAAGTTGTCCAAAAAGTATACTGTACATTTTATTAGAGAGGGGGATAGGTAAACTGTTTGTAGCCGTTGAAACCATCTAAAAAAAATTTTTTGGAATTTTTTTTTAAATTTTTTGGAAATTTTTTGGAAAAATTGGTACAATGTAGTTTACCCCCCATAAGCCCCGCCCCTTTTCAGCTTACTTCGTTTTTTAAAAAATGGCATTTCTTTGCTTACCCATCGTTTTTAGCTTGATGAAAATGAAAAAAAAGAAAAAATGGGGCGGGGCTTATGAAGGGGGCGGGGCTTATGGGGGGTAAACTACACAATTGCCCAAATTTTTTTATTTTTCAAATTGAGAAAAATTTTCTTGAGAATAAAAAATTTTTTTCTCGAGAAAAAAAAAACTAAAAAAATTTTTTTAATAAAAATTAGACCATATTTGCAGAAGAAGTAATCTTTTGATAGACTTCAAAACGGCTTTGCTTACTCAAATCTACCTAAAAAATATTAAAAAATTAATTAAAATTAATTTAAAAATTAATTCAAAATTTGCCTGTTTTTTCCCAATAATTCCACTACAATCTTCATAATGCCAATCCTCATGGGGGGCAACCACATGTAAATATTCAATTACCCCATTATTTATTAGCCATAACATTTTTTGCATACAAACCATTTGCCCGTCGGAAGTTCGACTTTTTGGAACAACAAAATATTTAATTTCGATAATACAGCTTAAAACAGAACGTTCAATAAAGTTGTGATAAAGTTTGAACTCAAAAGGAATATCACCCTGGAAAATACAAAAATGATTATAATAAATTAAACTTGTTTTCCGGAAAGAAGGAAAATAAAACAATTTTCCGGAAAAATATGTATCCGGAAAGTATATATATTCTTCCGGAAAAATATAATATATAAAACTTGTTTCCGGAAGGAATAAATAAAACTATGTATTTTCCGGAAAATATAGGTAATATTTAAAACTTGTTTTCCGGATAGAAAATATATTTTATTACTTGTTTTCCGGAAAATATTATTAAACCTATTTCCGGAAAAAATAACGTTTCCGGAAGAATTAAACGTATTTTCCGGAAAATAGAATATAATAAACTTGTTTTCCGGAAAGAAAAAAATAAAACTTATTTTCCGGAGAAAAATAAGAAAACTTGTTTTCCGGAAAAATTCAACTTGTTTTCCGGAAATAAAATAGAATATATTAAACTTATTTTCCGGAAAGTTTTATTTATTATATTAAAAACACAACAATTAACCCCACAAAATTCTTACTCTAATTAAATACAAACCTGTTTAATAGGTTTAGTATTACAAATTCTAAAATACTTTTCCAAAACATCAACAAATGCAAAGTGTGGTGAAGAAGAGGGCTCGGTCCTTATATTCTCAACTCCATTAGCTATTTGGTAAGCCAAAGTTAATTTACGTGAACGTTGCTGTGTTAATGTGGACATATTCGAGATTTTAAATAAATCATAGGCAAAATTTATATAAGTCTGAAAAAATAATTTTTTTAAATAATTAGTTAAAAATCGAAAAAAAATTATTTTTTCTCTAGTAAATATATTTAACGTTAATCCGGAAAAATTATATAAAATAAATATACAAAAGAGGAAAATAAATTAAAAGTTTTCCGGAAAATTAAATTAAATATATTTTTCCGGAATTTTGTCTATAGAAAATCTGTCCGGAAAATTGTAAAGTAAACTAAACCTGTTTTTCCGGATTGGAAAATAAATTAGTAGGGATTTTCCGGAAAGTTACAAATAGGTATTTTGTTTCCGGAAAGGTGGGAAATAAATTAAACTTGTTTTCCGGAAAATTGTAAAATAAATATATGTATTTTTCCGGAAAGTTTATTAAATATATTAAACTTATTCCTTAACACTTAAAAAATAAACTTGTTTTCCGGAAAGTTTTAAAATAAATTAAATTGTTTTCCGGAAAGTTATAAATAATAGAATATATTAAACTTATTCCTTAAACCTTATAAAATAAACTTGTTTTCCGGAAAGTTTAATTTAAACAAAACATACAGCAGTGCTGTCTGTCCACTCAAAAACACTCATCGTATTATCATAATCACTCTTCATTTGCGGGTTTATAGCACAATCCAAGAGGAAAGTATTTAATCTATTGACCGTTAGGGAAGACGGGGTTTGTTGTGGGAGCTTTTTTGCTTCGTTTTCTAATCGTCTTTAAATTTAAAAAATTTTTTTATTTTTAAATTTAAAAGACTCGTATTCCACAGCCATTAACCCTCCCAATTTTTCACATTCTTGCAGTACACTCTCCAAATTTGGAATTTCTTCAGAATTTTGTTGTGTGGCCAACCTCCCTACCAACAAATTATGGGAAGTTAAGACAATATTTTTTAAAGTTTTGAGGTGGTCCAGACCTTCAAAAAAATTTTTTTAGAGAAATTTTGCAGAAAACCCAAGCGGTACTTGTGAGTTATCCAAATAAGTCTTTGCGGACATAATTTACAAACTCATTTATTTATACAAAATGGTCATCTTCTACAGGGAAATATTTAGAATGGAGGGGGAAAGTCTGATAATAATGTGTATGTGTCCGCAAAAAAATATGTCCGCAAAAATTTTGTCCGCAAAAAAATATGTCCGCAAAAAAATATGTCCGCAAAAAATGTGTCCGCAAATATAAGTCCGCAAAAAATTCTCCGCAAAAATTCATCCGCAAAAAAATGTCCGCAGAAATAAGTCCGCAAAAACTGGTTAGGAATAACCCACAAGTACTCAACAAACATATTCTAATCGATTCATAAACATGGCGGGCATCCTGCTCCATTAAAAAAAATTTTTTTTGAGTTTTTAAAAATTCTTCAAATCTGAACTGCTAAAATTGGTTAAAATTTAACAGAAATGAAAATAAAATTGTTTTGCAACAAATTTTAAAACTTTAAAAATGACATAAATAAAAACAAAAAACAATTTATAAAGCAAAAAAAGTCAATGAAAGACAACAAAACTTTAAAACAGGGTACAGCCCAAAAAGGCGCGCGGCCACAACGGCGCAAAGGCATAACTAGTTGGAGAATTTCTGGCCCTTAATAATTTTGGTACCAATCTCTTAAGATTGATGAGAGGAATCGTTTAATACTAAATTTGGTAAGATTCGGAAATCTTGAAGCAAGTTATGCTTTTGCGCCGTTGTGGCTGCGCGCCTTATTGGGCATGTCCATTTAAAAATATTCTTTTTTAAGTGTTCAGGGATATAGTTTAGTATACCGGAGTTTTAGTTCCGATATAAAACACATACCATTCGATTAGTCTCGGCGAGCTGAGTCGAACAGTACCACTCTCCAGGCGCGGAAATGCCTGTGGGCCGAGATATAGGTCCTCGAAAATCGAAAAACCATAGGGGGGAGTAAGCACAATTTTGGAGTGAAAAATTCGATTTTTCGAGTGATAGCTCATTTGAAAGAACTCCTCGAGCTGAGTTGAATGACACCAAAATTTTTTGTTGTCCAATTAATCAGACAAAATTTTAACTTTCTCAATTTTTAATCTATCGAAATGAGTGTGAAAGATTGCTTCTCCTCTAAATTCTTCAATGTTAAATGAAAATTTCATTTTTGGATTAAAAATATTGCCAATTTGGTAATTTATATATTTTGTATCATATACTTGTCTAATCTCGACTTTTTCTGCTCTGTCGCTTAATTTAAAATTTGGGAAGGAAAGACATGTTAAATTAATAACAGCCACCATTTTTGAACAGTCTTTTGATGTTGTTATATACTAAAATGTGAAAATTTATTTTGGTAATACTGAGTCTATTTTTTTCTTAAAATGTACAAAATGGTCAGATTTCCTTTTTTAACCCTAATCGATTTCAAAGTATTTTTTTAGGTTTTGGTATCAAAATTCTCATCCCTGTGAACATAATGTATTTTTCATCTACTACTCCCAAGATGGATCCGAGTGTTGAGTATTACGTATTTTTCAGACCTTTTTTGAAAGCAAAAATACTCAACACTTGACACGGATGTCATTGTAGGATGCACGGACCTAACACTCGATCAAATACTAAAAACTCGACACGGCTGTCATTGTGTGCTTGACACGGCTGCCACAAGGAAACCTAATGGTTGAGGAAGCCTGACCAATATGTACATTTAAAGAAATAATAGAAGGGGGTTGGGAGGGCACACTTACTTTTATGATAAGATCATAGAGCCTTGTTAACTTATAACTAGTAAAACAAATTTTTGGTAATTTATTGCCTTCATTTATTAAAATATTGAATAAAATGTCAATATATTCCTCTAAAATGCCATTATCACAATTGAAGCTAAGAGATTCAGAAATTGATAAATGATTTAAAGAAAATTCTAGAACATTTTCAAATGTTTTGTTGGGGATTACTAAAGTACGAGGGTCCCAATAGTACGTGGGAGCAAGAAGCTGGATTCGAAATACCGTAAATTCTCTAATAGAAGCTCCCTCTAAGCATGCGCTTGTATTTTTCGACCCTCTTGTAAGGTTTGCTTATATTAGAGGGCGTCCTTCTATTAGAGAGTGTGCTTTTATTTTTGATTCTCCCGTATGGTGTGCTTCTATTGGAGGGTGTGCTTCTATTAGAGAATTTACGGTATATACCATTCGATTCCTCTCTCCGACCTGAGTTTGAATATATAAGCCTTTTATCTAGGAGACGAAAACTCGAAGAGATACAGGCGTCTGAATTTTGTTTTAACCCTTTATAAGTACACCATACATATATGTAAGGAGCTGAAACAAACAATCATAACCTTCCCAAAACTTGTCCAATCACGTCGTTTTTGGAGTCATTCGACTCAATTCGACGAGCTCTCCACTGAAAACTCAAGTACTCCACCGACCCGCTTCGAATTATAGGTACATTAGAGTCTCACACCTTAACATACCTAACAAATCGTCCACAATCAACACTCGCTGCCCGGCTGACAGCGCGTCTTGTTGCACCTCAAAAACATCTTTTCCATACTCTTTCTGATAACTTGCAGAAATTACAGGGCCAGGAAGCTTTCCTTGTTTACGTACTGGAACAAAAGGAATGCCCAATTCCAACGCAATTATAGGGCCAAAAAGAAAGCCTTTAAAATTTGTTCTTTTGAGTATCAAAAATATTCGAAAAACCCCTTGCTTCCAATCCAGCTACTAAATCAATTTTGTTCCTATAACGATTAGCAACATAGCAACACAGGGAACGGACAAGTGTAGGTTTGGAGAATAGTGGGAGTACATCTCTATAAAAATATTTTTAAATGAGAAATTAGGTGTGGTTAGACTCAACTGATCGGACTCAATAATATGAGACTCGTTAAGTATAAATTTTGGGGATACGCCCAATTAGGCGCGCGCCCTTAACGGTGCAAAGCCATAACTAGCTGGAAAATTTCTAGACCTTAACAATTTTGGTACCAATCTCTTTAGCTCGATGAGAGGAATCGTTTAATACTAAATTTTGAAAGATTCGGGAATATTGAAGCAAGTTATAACTTTGCGCCTACTTGGCCTTGCGCCTATTTGGGACTACCCTAAATTTTTTGAGTATTTGATCCTTTAGTCATTTGAGTTTTCTGTAACTCGTTTTGGACGCTCTAGTCTCATTAAAAGACTTATTTTAGGATTTCTAAGACTCCTTTCAGATCTCTCAAGTCTGATATATAGATTCGGGTCTGATTTTTACTTTTCGTCACTTGAGTCCCAACATAAAACTCAATTTATCTTTTACCAGACTCAAACATATTAGTAAATTAACTAGCCTGAAAAGAACTCCTTTGGACGGAAAATCTGGATAACTGCGAATTAAAGTATCAATTTGTTGTTTTAAATCATTTTCACCCATTGATGCGGGAGAATATTTTTTAAATGAATTTGTAAAAAATTTTGAAAGACTTTTCAAGTGCGCATTGATAGTTAAGAGTAAATAATCGATAAATTTGAATCAGCAAAAACAAATTTGTCGGGGAAAGTTAGACGATGCGCGTTGAAATGCGGCGAAGAGACAAGTTCTCATTTTGCCAAGAGAGGGCGGTAGGGGATCATTGAGTCCCTGGCCGGTTGAGTCCCGAGCTCTATAACTCCAGAGGGTTCGAGTAGTTTTTGGAGCTCTTAGTATCGTTGGATAGAGGATTAATCAAGCTACAAAATAAGCTATTGATCAAAAAATTTGACCGACAGGTACCAAAGTTATGATCAAAAAACATGCAAAAAAATGACTTTTTTTTAAAAATGGCGGTTTTTTGATAATAACTTCATTATCAATTGATAAGATTATTTTATCTTTGGTATCATTTTGTAGAGAATTTAATTCTCTATCCAATGGTACCAAAAGTTTAATAAATTATTTCCAGATTCCCGAGTTACAAGCTCGGGACTCAACCGGCCAGGGACTCAATGGTCGCGTTCCGAGAGAGGGGAAAGGGGACGTTTCAGTCTAAAGAGACATTTGGTCCCAAATTTTGTCTAATGTTCTTCTGCACTGTTTTTAGTTTTTTTTCCATTTTCATTAAAGATTTTGTAATTTTTATTCAAATTTTAGGAATAAATTTAAATTTTTCTTTATTTTTCTCTCAAAAATATTGTCTCTCAAAATGCTTTGTCTTCCAACAGAAGTTCAACTTGATGTATTAAAATGTCTTGATTTTAACCAATTATTTGATATTAAACAAACAAATTTTTATTTTCGAGACTTAATTAATAAATTTGAGGGAGGATTGGCACGACAGGAATTTATTCAAATAGCATTAGTATATACTATTTATTAAATATTTTTTCTATTTAAATTAATCTTAGGTTGACCATTACATGCTTGTAGGGTTACATCCATCTGAATTTATTGAACCTGAATCTGGAATTTTTGAATTTACTTTGCTTGATCAACTTAAAAATAAGGTGAAATTAATTTTAAATTAGAAATTCTATTTATTTTTTTTCAGTGGCAGGCAGCGATAGACAAATCGATTCCGTTGTTTCTACATTATTTTGAACCTAACAGAGAATGTATTTGTATTGCTATAGGTTGGTGAGGGGCAAAATTTCAAAGCACGAAAAAAATACTTAAATCATTCCAAAAAATATTGGACAAGTTATGGAGCGACAAATCAAAATTTTACTGAACCTTGAAAATATCAGGGGCCTTTATCTCTGTCCACAGCAGGCTGGGCAAAATCTAAAAATACTTTTCGCTCTGAAAAATGCAAAATTAGCCCAGCCTCGGTCCACATGCTTTTTGTACCCTGGGAGTGGTATTATTCGACTCAGATCGCCGAGACGAATCTAATGATGTACCGGTCATCGATTAACATACCTTCCGATTTTTTTAAAATTATAAGTTAGGTTACTAACCATCTGATCTTTATATTTCTATTTAGTGAACGAAAAATGCCATTCTGTTTTAAAATTGCCAATCATTCCGAAAAATATTAAAGAAATGATTATTGTTCGTTGTTGGTTGGAAAAACTTTTTAATTGTGCTTTTGGATATGCTTCTTTCTATAAAAACATATTTAACCCAGAAATGATCAATATATTATTTGATAACGACAAAACAATCCCTCTTCAGTTTAACATTAAAAGAGTTATTCTACAGAGCAATTATACTGTCACTAAAATATTTGAAAGTGCTTTGAAATTTTCTTTAAATCATTTATCAATTTCTGAGTCTCTTAGCATCAATCTGGATGCTGCAACTTCAGAGCAATATACTGATATTTTATTCAATACTTTAATAAATGAGGGCAATAAATTTCCAAAAATTTCTTTAAATTTTCAGACGACAAGTCTTTATAATCTTATTGTAAAAGTAAGTTATCTGAGTAATAATGCAGAATTGGGGAGACACCTTAAAATTTATTTTTTTTTAATCGATTGCCTCTACTGTTATGAGTACACTTGGGTTTATCTCTTCCCACCCCCCCCCTATTTTTTCTCCTTTCGTTTTCTTTTTTCTAAAAAAAAGTATTCATGGATCAACGCAACATACTGTTAATGAATTATGACAATCCATGCCAAATAGGTCTCTTCTATGCTTTTTAGAAACCTTAGTTCGCTTAACTGTCATAAATGGCTATTTAATTCCAAAGGTTGTGCAGTAGTCGGCGTGGTGTAATAGATAAACATCGGTAAAACCTATTTGATGATAAAACCCAGGTATACTTTTTTGGAGAAAGGAAAAAGATAGGATAAAAAATAAATGGGGGGACCCGATGTACCATTTATCTATTTATAACTAAGTTAAAAACAATTTTAAATTTAAGTATGTAACAACATCTAAAGACTGTTCAAAAATTGTGCCTTTTATTCATTTTGATAGGATTTCAGCAATAAATTTTAAATTAAACGAGAGAGCAGAAAACGTTGAAATTGATCAGTCAAATGGTAACAACTCTACAAAATACCAAATCGTTAATATTCATAATCCAAAAGCGAGATTTGAATTTTACAATAGAGAGGGTTATGATGGATCGTTTTATATTCAAATCAGAAAAATTAAAGTTTGAGAGAATAAAAGCGAAAATTTAATTTATTGGTACTTGTGTAATTTCCCTCCCATAAGCCCCGCCCCTTCTCTCCTTTATTATAAAGAGGAAAATAGGAATGGAGAAGGAATCGATTTTCTCTTCTTTTGTGGTCGTGTTGTGGGTACTACACAAGTGCCGATTTATATTGGACAACATTATTTTTTGTTTTTCATTGACTTTTGATTAAATTATTTTTTTATAAAATTTATTTGTTGTTTTTAACAGGTTGAAGCCTGAAAATTTATTTTTAATACATTTAAGAGACTTGGATTTTTTCCTATTTTTTAGACATTTAAAAATGCTTTCTCTCCCAACTGAAGTTCAACTTGATGTATTAAAATGTCTTAAATTCAACCAATTATTTGATATTAAACTAACAAATTTTTACTTTTGCAATTTAATTAATAAATATGAGGGAAGATTGGCACGAATGAAATTTAAAAGAATTTCAATAGTAAATCTTATTAACCAACTTATTTTTATTTAAATATTAATTTTGGGTTGATCTTGACGGTCTTCAATTGTTATTTTCATATAAATTTATTGAACCTGAATCTGGAATTTTTGAATTTACTTTGAATGATCAACTTAAACAGAAGGTTAAATTAATTTTTAATTATAAATTACATTTATTTTTCAGTGGCAAGAAGCGATAGACAAATCATTTCCGTTGTTCTTATATAATATAGAACCAGAAGAAAGAAGATTTGTCTGTATTAGAGGTTCATTTTTAGTGCCTAGGTGAAAATATGTATGGTTTTTCTAAATTTTCTCTTCTTTTACAAGCGGAGGGGTGTCCGAGGGGTAGTGCGAAACTTGCGGACCATAGGTTTAGGTTTTCGTTTTTCTATCGTAACTTTGTCCAAGCTTGTACAATCACGATTATTTAGATGTCATTCGACTCAGTTTGTCGAGCTCTTTCGAATGAGCTATGTTTTGAGAAATTCGTCGAGTCTGCAAGTTTCGGTCCGCAAAAGTTGGTCCGCAAGTTTCGGTCTGCCGTCCGAGGTTTATATTGACGTGCACAAAATAAGAGTTTATCCGAAGACATCAAAGGCATATCCGCCTACAAAACATGCATTTGCATGTTTTGGACAGCTCTATTTATAACTAAATTCAAATACCTAGGGGTATTAAAAGTTCGGTTAACCGGAACTAAAGGATCGTAACTGTACAAGCAAACCGGAATCGGAACCAAAAAATCCTGGAACTTCCGGCCTACCGGAATCGGAACTTATGGTGAAACTCCAACCACTACACAACAATCGGAGGGTAGTTAGCATCCTCTTGGGCCCACCTTGTATAAAAATAAAGTATGTGGCGGTATAATGCGATAGTAACCAATTTTTTCATTTGAATTTAGGGAACAGTAAACCTGATTATATCATAAAATTGCCAACATTTCCAAAAAATATAGAAGAACTGGTTATTGTTCGTTGTTGGTTAGAACAACTATATAATTGTGCTTTTAGTTGTGCTCATTTTTCTAGTACAAGTATATTTAATCTAGAAATGATCAATATATTATTTGATAACAACAATACAATTCCTCGTCATTTTAACATTAAATGGGCAATTTTATGTACTAACAATAAAACATTTGAAGATACTTTTAAACATTATTCAAATCATCTATCAATTTCTGAATCTCTTACTATCGATTTTAATCATAGACTTTACAGAACAACAAACAGATATTTTATTCAGTATTTTGATAAATGAAGGCAATAAATTGTCAAAAGTTTATCTTTTTTGTTTTAGGTTAACAAGGCTTTTCGATCTTATTACTGAAGTGAGTTATACCGAGACTCAAGGCTGAGCTATAACCTTGTTCAAAATTATCGAATACGGGGCTTCTAGGTATGTCGAGATGTCTTGTGGATACACCCCCCAACGTACCGCGAGCTCAACATGCCGCAGAGAGAATCTGGGCCGCTCTAGCATAACTCGCCAAGTTGTATCGAACTATACAAGATCGTCCCAGATTCGATACTTCTGATAGCTTTGCGGTACGTTGGCCAGCTCCCGCTTCTTGCCGAGATGAATCAAACAATACCAGTGTGTTTCGGATTCGATAATTTTGAACCAAGACGGTACTTCGGGGCGTACCTTTACGCAAAAAATTAAAAATATATTTAAATTTTAGTATATAGCAACGTCAAAGGATTGTTCAAAAATTGTACCTTTCATTGATTTTGATGGCATTTCATTCCCAAATTTTAAATTATACAAGAAAGCAGAAAAAGTTAAAATTAAACAAGTTAATGATAAGAAGACTACAAATTATCAAATTGCCAATATTTACAATTCAAAAGTGAGATTTGAATTTCACAATGAAATATTGAAGGATGGGTTAACTTTTTCCAATGAAATCAAAATAAAGAGAATAATCGGGAATTAAATGGACGAAATATGAATTTTAACAATTCATCAGATTTTAATTATTCTATGGAAAGATTTCGTTAAAAACATTTTTATAAAATTTTGATTAAATAAATTTTTTATCAAATTTATTTGTATTATTTTTTATCTGGTTAAAATGCCTGTTTATTTATTTTTACAATACCAAAGTTTGGATTTTTCCCTACTTTTTAGACAATTAAAAATGTTTTCTCTTCCAACCGAAGTTCAACTTGATGTATTAAAATGTCTTAATTTCAACCAATTATTATCTGTTAAATTAATCAATATTTACTTTCTCAATTTAATTAATAAATATGAGGGGGGATTGGCTAGACTGCACTTTAAAAGCATCTCAATAGTAAATACAGATTAACATTAAATTTTAATTAAATATAAATTTTGGGTTGATCAAAAGTTCCTGCGAGAATTACCTTCCTATAAATTCATTAAACCTCAATCTGGAGTTTTTAAATTTATTTTAAATGCTCAACTTAAAGATAAGGTTAAAATTAATTTTTAATTAATAGAGCGTTTCATAAAAAATTAATTTCGAAGAAAAAAATCTGTTCCGGATTTTGTCTCTCTTATACAAATGTGCAGCAGCATACTACACTCGTTTTGTGTCTAACAAGAAATCCGGAAAATAAGAGGAAAACTCAACTTCGTTTTTTCCGGATTTTAATTAGACAATGCGAGAGAGTGTATGCTGCCGCACATTTGTATAAGAGAGACAAAATCCGGAACAGACGTTTTTTTGTTAATAGTTTGGCTGACCATCACCTTTATTTCCGTTCACCTGACCATTTCGAGCTTTCTTTGTTTGATATATAAAGTAAAGCAGCTGGGTTATAGACATTTCTCTCCTTTAGCTAGTGCAAAAGGTTAATCGGCGGCTGGGAGCGAACCAGCATCTTCAGTAGACCGGACTGATGTGTTAGCCATTACACCACGCCGCCTACTGCTCAGCCTTAGGAAATTAATAGCTACATATATGCTTTACAATAATTTATTATAAATCATTCGAAGAGCTCTTCGAGCTTAATCGAATGATACCAAGATCGGCTAGATTTGAAGATTCCTACTAAAATTATAAATTTATTCAGATTAATTTTTATATCCTCGTTGGAAAAGCTTTTTGTGCCGCTGTAAGGGAATAAAACAAATGGTCATAACTTAGCTGATTTAACTTAGATTCCGTTGAATTTGGTACCAACCGATTCAGCTCGAAGAGCTCTTTCAAATGATATATAATTTGCTTTAAAATGTGAAAAAAATAGAAAGGAAAAAAGGGGGATGGTCAGCCAAACTATTACCGTTTTTTCTTAGCTCTAATAAGAAGGAAAGTCATTTAAAAATAGTTATAGGATTTTTTATAATTGTCCGAAAACTTTAAAATTTTGGGTATAAATTCTTTGGCGTGTTTTCTTCCCGATCAAACAACAAATTTTTAAAAGATTAGGACACGCTGAATACTTAACCAAAAATTCTCAAATTTTGGGATCTACTAGAAGACACTCGGAAAAAATATATGTATTTAACTTAAGTTTCAAAGCTTTTGAACATCTACAAGAAAATTAAATAAATATTTTTGTTACTTTATTTTTCAGTGGCAAACAGCTATAGACAAATCAATTCCGTTGTTTTTACATAAATCTGAATCTCACAGAAACTTTTTTGTTTTAATTCAAAAAAGCTCTTCCTATTTTGTGGGCGAAACACCTTATCTTCTAAAATTGCCAATATTCCCAAAAAATATTGAAGAAATGATTAGTAATCGTTGCTGGTTAGAACATCTTTTTAGATGTGCTTTTGAATTTGCCTATTTTGGAACAAGTGTATTTAATCCAGAAATGATTAATTTATTATTTGATAACGACAAAACAATACCTCTTCAGTTCCACGTTCAAAAAGCAACTCTATTTATCAAACATTTGATGCACTATAGTACGTGGGAGCACGAACTTAAAAATATGTATCATTCGATTCCTCTCGCTGAGCGGAGTTTAAGGTCGAGGCCTCGTCGAGGTCCTCGCCCATTTTGAACCTCGATTTTGCTGACCGTCTCCTAGAGGTCTCGGAATCTCGGGCTCGGTCCCATATGAGGTAGTAGGCTCATTTTTGGTATAAAAAATTCGAATAAGGAAACAATAGCTAATTCGAAAGAGCTCGTCGAATTGAGTCGAATGACTCCAAAAACGACGTGATTGGACAAGTTTTGGGAAGGTTATGATTGTTTGTTTCAGCTCCTTACATATATGTATGGTGTACTTATAAAGGGTTAAAACAAAATTCAGACGCCTGTATCTCTTCGAGTTTTCGTCTCCTAGATAAAAGGCTTATATATTCAAACTCAGGTCGGAGAGAGGAATCGAATGGTATATACCGTAAATTCTCTAATAGAAGCACACCCTCCAATAGAAGCACACCATACGGGAGAATCAAAAATAAAAGCACACTCTCTAATAGAAGGACGCCCTCTAATATAAGCAAACCTTACAAGAGGGTCGAAAAATACAAGCGCATGCTTAGAGGGAGCTTCTATTAGAGAATTTACGGTATTTCGAATCCAGCTTCTTGCTCCCACGTACTATTGGGACCCTCGTACTTTAGTAATCCCCAACAAAACATTTGAAAATGTTCTAGAATTTTCTTTAAATCATTTATCAATTTCTGAATCTCTTAGCTTCAATTGTGATAATGGCATTTTAGAGGAATATATTGACATTTTATTCAATATTTTAATAAATGAAGGCAATAAATTACCAAAAATTTGTTTTACTAGTTATAAGTTAACAAGGCTCTATGATCTTATCATAAAAGTAAGTGTGCCCTCCCAACCCCCTTCTATTATTTCTTTAAATGTACATATTGGTCAGGCTTCCTCAACCATTAGGTTTCCTTGTGGCAGCCGTGTCAAGCACACAATGACAGCCGTGTCGAGTTTTTAGTATTTGATCGAGTGTTAGGTCCGTGCATCCTACAATGACATCCGTGTCAAGTGTTGAGTATTTTTGCTTTCAAAAAAGGTCTGAAAAATACGTAATACTCAACACTCGGATCCATCTTGGGAGTAGTAGATGAAAAATACATTATGTTCACAGGGATGAGAATTTTGATACCAAAACCTAAAAAAATACTTTGAAATCGATTAGGGTTAAAAAAGGAAATCTGACCATTTTGTACATTTTAAGAAAAAAATAGACTCAGTATTACCAAAATAAATTTTCACATTTTAGTATATAACAACATCAAAAGACTGTTCAAAAATGGTGGCTGTTATTAATTTAACATGTCTTTCCTTCCCAAATTTTAAATTAAGCGACAGAGCAGAAAAAGTCGAGATTAGACAAGTATATGATACAAAATATATAAATTACCAAATTGGCAATATTTTTAATCCAAAAATGAAATTTTCATTTAACATTGAAGAATTTAGAGGAGAAGCAATCTTTCACACTCATTTCGATAGATTAAAAATTGAGAAAGTTAAAATTTTGTCTGATTAATTGGACAACAAAAAATTTTGGTGTCATTCAACTCAGCTCGAGGAGTTCTTTCAAATGAGCTATCACTCGAAAAATCGAATTTTTCACTCCAAAATTGTGCTTACTCCCCCCTATGGTTTTTCGATTTTCGAGGACCTATATCTCGGCCCACAGGCATTTCCGCGCCTGGAGAGTGGTACTGTTCGACTCAGCTCGCCGAGACTAATCGAATGGTATGTGTTTTATATCGGAACTAAAACTCCGGTATACTAAACTATATCCCTGAACACTTAAAAAAGAATATTTTTAAATGGACATGCCCAATAAGGCGCGCAGCCACAACGGCGCAAAAGCATAACTTGCTTCAAGATTTCCGAATCTTACCAAATTTAGTATTAAACGATTCCTCTCATCAATCTTAAGAGATTGGTACCAAAATTATTAAGGGCCAGAAATTCTCCAACTAGTTATGCCTTTGCGCCGTTGTGGCCGCGCGCCTTTTTGGGCTGTACCCTGTTTTAAAGTTTTGTTGTCTTTCATTGACTTTTTTTGCTTTATAAATTGTTTTTTGTTTTTATTTATGTCATTTTTAAAGTTTTAAAATTTGTTGCAAAACAATTTTATTTTCATTTCTGTTAAATTTTAACCAATTTTAGCAGTTCAGATTTGAAGAATTTTTAAAAACTCAAAAAAAATTTTTTTTAATGGAGCAGGATGCCCGCCATGTTTATGAATCGATTAGAATATGTTTGTTGAGTACTTGTGGGTTATTCCTAACCAGTTTTTGCGGACTTATTTCTGCGGACATTTTTTTGCGGATGAATTTTTGCGGAGAATTTTTTGCGGACTTATATTTGCGGACACATTTTTTGCGGACATATTTTTTTGCGGACATATTTTTTTGCGGACAAAATTTTTGCGGACATATTTTTGCGGACAAAATTTTTGCGGACACATTATTTTGCGGACACATACACATTATTATCAGACTTTCCCCCTCCATTCTATTTCCTTGAATAAAATGACCATTCTTGTATAAATAAGTAAGTCCGCAAAGTATGTCCGCAAAAACATATTTTGCGTAACCCACAAGTACAGCATCGTTTTCTTTCAAAAAATTTCTCTAAAAAAATTTTTTTGAAGGTCTAGACCACCTCAAAACTTTAAAAAATATTGTCTTAACTTCCCACAATTTGTTGGTAGGGAGGTTGGCCACTCAACAAAATTCTGAAGAAATTCCAAATTTGGAAAGTGTACTGCAAGAATGTGAAAAATTGGGAGGGTTAATGGCTGTGGAATACGAGTCTATTAAATTTAAAAAATTAAAAAAAAATTAAAATTTAAAGACGATTAGAAAACGAAGCAAAAAAGCTCCCACAACAAACCCCGTCTTCCCTAACGGTCAATAGATTAAATACTTTCCTCTTGGATTGTGCTATAAACCCGCAAATGAAGAGTGATTATGATAATACGATGAGTGTTTTTGAGTGGACAGACAGCACTGCTGTATGTTTTGTTTTTATTAAACTTTCCGGAAAACAAGTTTATTTTATATGTTTAAGGAATAAGTTTAATATATTCTATTATTTATAACTTTCCGGAAAACAAGTTTATTTTTTAAGTGTTAAGGAATAAGTTTAATATATTTAATAAACTTTCCGGAAAAATACATATATTTAATTTAAACTTTCCGGAAAACAAGTTTATTTTTTAAGTGTTAAGGAATAAGTTTAATATATTTTCTATACAACCTTCCGGAAAATTAAATATTTTATTCTACAACTTTCCTGAAAACATGTTTAACTTATTTTGCAACTTTCTGGAAAACAAGTTTATTTTATAAATTTTAAGGAATAAGTTTAATATATTTAATAAACTTTCCGGAAAAATATATATTTCATTTAAACTTTCCGGAAAACAAGTTTATTTATTTTAAAACTTTCCGGAAGCAAAATTCCTATTTGTAACTTTCCGGAAAATCACTACTAATTTATTTTCCTGTCCGGAAAAACAAGTTCAAGCTTACTCTTTAATTTTCCGGACAGATTTTCTATACACAAAATTCAGGAAATATATATTTAATTTGTATTTTTCCGGAAAACCTTTTATTTATTTTTCTGACCGGAATATTTATTTTATATAATTTTTGGGACAAATTTATTTAACATTATTTTTTATTTTTCGATTTTTAACTAATTATTAAAAAAAATTATTTTTTTTTCAGACTTATATCAATTTTGCCTATGATTTATTTAAAATCTCCAATATGTCCACATTAACACAGCAACGTTCGCGTAAATTAACTTTGGCTTACCAAATAGCTAATGGAGTTGAGAATATAAGGACCGAGCCCTCTTCTTCACCACACTTTGCATTTGTTGATGTTTTGGAAAAGTATTTTAGAATTTGTAATACTAAACCTATTAAACAGGTTTGTATTTAATTAGAGTAAGAATTTTGTGGGGTTAACTGTTGTGTTTTTAATATAATAAATAAAACTTTCCGGAAAACAAGTTTAATATATTCTATTTACGGAAAACAAGTTGAATTTTTTTCTTTCCGGAAAACAAGTTTATTATATTCTATTTTCCGGAAACGTTATTTTTTCCGGAAATAGGTTTAATAATATTTTCCGGAAAATAATAATAAAAGAGGTATGATTTTCTATCTAGAGTTTCCGGAAAACAAGTTTTATATATTATATTTTTCCAGGAGAATATATATTTTCTTTCATATAGTATATATTTTTCCGGAAAGTTTTATTTTTCTTCTTTCCGGAAAACAAGTTTATTATATTCTATTTTCCGGAAAATACGTTTATTTCTTCTGGAAACTTTATTTTCTTTTGGAAATAAGTATAATATTTTCCGGAAAACAAGTTTAATTTATTAATTATTTTTAATTTTCCAGGGTGATATTCCTTTCGAGTTCAAACTTTATCACAACTTTATTGAACGTTCTGTTTTAAGTTGTATTATTGAAATTAAATATTTTGTCGTTCCAAAAAGTCGAACTTCAGACGGGCAAATGGTTTGTATGCAAAAAATGTTATGGCTAATAAATAATGGAGTAATTGAATATTTACATGTGGTTGCCCCCCACGAGGATTGGCATTATGAAGATTGTGCAGGGATTGTTGGGAAAAAACAGGCAAATTTTGGAGAGATTTTTAAATTAATTTTAATTAATTTTTAATAATTTTTAGGTTGATCTGAGCAAGCAAAGTCGTTTTGAAGTCTATCAAAAAATTACTTCTTCTGCAAATATGGTCTAATTTTTATTATAAAAAATTTTTTTAGTTTTTTTCTCGAGAAAAATTTTTTCAATCTGAAAAATAAAAAATTTTAAGCAGTTGTGTAGTTTACCCCCCCCCCCCCCCCCCCCCCATAAGCCCCGCCCCCTTCATAAGCCCCGCCCATTTTTCTTCTTTTTTCCATTTTCATCAAGTTAAAAATGATGGGTAAGCAAAGAAATGCCATTTTTACCAAGAAAGGCACCTGAAAAGGGGCGGGGCTTATGGGGGGTAAACTACATTGTACCAATTTTTCTAAAAAAAATTCTAAAAAATTTCTAAAAAATTCCTAAAAATTTTTTTAGATGGTTTCAACAGCTACAAACAGTTTACCTATCCCCCTCTCTAATAAAATGTACAGTATACTTTTTGGACAACTTTCTCGCCTGGTTATAATTGATCAAAAATGTATGAGGTGTGGAAAGAGACTGCGCGATTTTACGCCTGTTGTATTACATAGAAACCCTAGCCATAATTCTTGTAAATGAGAGAAAAAGAAAAGTTTATTTTTAAGAAGATGTTTTTGTTTTAATTTATTTTTTTTTCCAACTTGTTTTCCGGAAAAGTTTAAAAATATATGTTTTTGACAACTTTTAATATAATAAATACGACTTTCCGGAAACATTTTTAATATATTCTATTTTATTTCCGGAAAACAAGTTGAATATATTTTTTTCTATAAACAAGTTTCTTTTTCGTCTTTCCGGAAAACTTGTTTTCCGGAAAGTTTGAATATTTTTCCCTTGTTTTTCTAATTATTAAATTCTCCAACTTGTTTTCCGGAAAAGTTTAAAAATGTTGTTTTCATTATTTAACTTGTATTCTATAAAACTTTAAAAACATTTACTATATTTAATTTGTTTTCCGGAAAGTTTAATTTAAACTTAAATTCTTTCAACAACATTAAATTAATGTGTTTATTAAACTTTTAACTAATGAATGAGCTTTAAAATGTTTGGCTTGAATCCAGTATCTGAATTGCAAGCTAATAACCCTTCAAATTTATGGATGCAATATTCTAAAGAAAGAGTATGCAAAGAAGCAAAGACTTTGCCGTTAGTTCGAATAAAATTTTGAATTTTAATTTTATAGATTAAATGAACCAATCCATCCAGACCGTGTTCGATTTGTCTGTATAAGTGATACACATAATCATCTTGATGAAATTCTTCATCGTATTCCGCCTGGCGATGTAAGAATAACTAGTACTTTTTGTATGCATTAATAGTGTAAAGCATATAGCTATTAATTTCCTAAGGCTGAGCAGTAGGCGGCGTGGTGTAATGGCTAACACATCAGTCCGGTCTACTGAAGATGCTGGTTCGCTCCCAGCCGCCGAATAACCTTTTGCACTAGCTAAAGGAGAGAAATAGCTATAGCCCAGCTGCTTTACTATAGTTGTAAGAGAAAAGTTTCCGGAAATGTTTAATATCTGTAATATATTTGTTTTCCGGAAAGTATTATATAATTAAACTTTTCCGGAAAGAAGATACATGATTAAACTTTTCCGGAAAGAAAATAGAATATATTAAACTTGTTTTCCGGAAAGAAAATACAATTAAACTTGTTTTCCGATATTTTCCCATGAAAAGTTTCCGTTAAGTTTCTATCAGTTGAATATTCTATTTGTTTTCCGGAAAGAAAATATAATTAATTAAACTTGTTTTCCGGAAAGGAGATACATAATTAAACTTTTCCGGAAGGAAAATAGAATATATTAAACTTGTTTTCCGGAAAGAAAATACAATTAAACTTGTTTTCCGATATTTTCCCATGAAAAGTTTCCGTTAAGTTTCTATCAGTTGAATATTCTATTTGTTTTCCGGAAAGAAAATATAATTAATTAAACTTGTTTTCTGGAATAGAATTAATTAAACTTGTTTTCCGGAATAGAATATATTCAACTTACTTTTCTCTACAAAATTGAAACACTTGTTTTATATTTTACTTTGTTTTCCGGAAAGTTTAATTTTTTAAAAAATAGGTTCTGCTTCATTGTGGCGATTTTACCAATTTTGGAGATTTGGATGAGCTTGAAAAATTCAACAAAGAACTCAAACAACTTCCCCATCGTTACAAGATTGTTATTGCTGGGAATCATGAATTGGGGTTTGAAGAAGGGGAGGATATTAGTGGAAGAATGGCAAATGCTAATATGTGGAGGTTAGGCTCTGGAAGTCGAGGAACCCCTCAAGGCTACAAACATTTGACTGATTGTATTTATTTGCAAGATTCTTCTGTAAAGGTGGGAGTGTTTGGTTTATTTAAAAGTCGGTGTTTATTGAATTTCCTACTTGTTTTCCGGAATGTTTGACAATAGACCTAATATATTCCAGAAAACAAGTTTAGCATATAATTAAATAAAAATAAACTTGTTTTCCGGAAGCGAATATTAATTATATTTGTTGTTTTCCGGAAAATACAAATAAATATACAATTCCGGAAAAATACAATATATTCAACTTGTTTTCTATTACATTTAAACTTGTTTTCCGGAAAATCTTGTGGTATATTTTACTTGTTTTCCGGAAAGAAATAAGTAAAATTAATTAAACTTGTTTTCCGGAATAATACAATATATTCAACTTGTTTTTTATTACATTTTAAACTTGTTTTCCTACACGTTTAAAAGGCAATTCGAACACATTAATTACACAATGTTTTTATTCTTCTAGATTTATGGTATCAACATTTTTGGCTCTTCTTGGCATCCACTTCCTGGATTTTCCTTCTACCGTTCTAGAGGCAAAGCAATTTTTAAGGAATGGTTAAAAATTCCACAAGCCGAATTTTTGGGAGAAAATTACAGACCTGTTGTTGATGTTTTAATGACACATTCACCTCCACTAGGGCACTCTGATCTTCCCCAAAGAGGTGATAGAATGGGGGATGCCGATTTACTTAATATTGTGGAAAAGGCAGTGAAGCCGAGGTGTTTTAATTTTTAATAGAAAATTAAACTTGTTTTCTGTTATTTCCGAAAAGTAATATTATTTAAATTTATTTTCCGGAAACCTTAAATATTGTATTTTTCCCGACATTTTAATATTTTCCGGAAATCTAGTATGTATTAGTGATGTTCGGGTATCCCGACTCCCGACACCCGACTCGGGAAATTTCCCGAGTTTTTGGCCTCCCGATCCCGACCCCGACTCCCGATGTCAATTCCCGACTAAGTCGGGAAATTTTTACACCCCTAAGAATGGCTTTTTCTGATAAAATTTTATTTTTAAACTGAAAAAAATAAAAAAAGGGAAAGGGAAAATAAAAAAAGAAAAAGGAAAAGGTGAAAAATATTTAAATTTTTATTCCAAACGTCTTTCGTTGAGCGATGGTTGAGTGGTTAGGTTGATGACTTCACGCTCAATGTGATATTTTATGGGGATGGGTTCGAATCCGTGTTTGGGAAATGTGAGTTAAATAATTTTTCTTTTCCAAAAATAAATATTTTTAACATTGATTTTAATTTTTAAATTGTGAATTTATTTTTTTAATACTAGTAAACTTGAGAAAACTGGAAAAATTAATATAGTCATGAATTTTCGAAAATTTTCGCCTGCGGCGCAGACAAATGATGTGAGATTGAGAGGTCTTTAAAATTTAATTAGCCAATCTCAGCAATACCCTCCTCTTAAAAAACCCTTCCCTTCCATTATATTCAATGCTCCTTAATCACTTCTAATCGCTCTATATCCTTCCATGGATGCAATATTTTAATACCAGAGACGAGGTAATTTTGGGAATTTAGAATGCTTTTTTTTTGCCAAGCGGCCAAAATGGATGAAATGTGGCTTCTTGACCTCCATGATTATCAAGATTTCTGCCTGCGGCGTTGAAAATTAATTAAGAAATGTTGAAAATTAATTAAGGGAACAGAGAGAGAGAGAGCGGCGCAAAAAAATGGAACAATTCTGGCTTTCTAACCTTCAAAAATTCTTAAAATTCACGCCCGCAACGATAAAATCAGAATTTTTGGCGCCGAAGGCGCCAAAAATTTTTTAAATTTTTTTAATGTAAAATTCCCGACTCCCGATCCCGACTCCCGAGGTCATTTCCCGACCCGACTCCCGTTTCCCGATTCCCGAGTTTTTTCTTCTCCCGAACATCACTAGTATGTATATAAATACAAATTAGTTTCCGGAAAGCAAATTAAATATACAAATAAACTTTTTTCCGGAAAATTATTTATTTTCCGGATATCTTCCTCTATTTTCCGGAAAGTAATATAATAAGCATTTTCCGGAAGTAATATTAATTTATATTTATTTTCCGGAAATCTCCCTCTATTTTCCGGAAAGCAATACAAATAAACTTTTTCCGGAAGTTATATTAATTTATTTTCCGGAAATTATTAATATAATTCATTTTCCGGAAAAATTACTATAAATACATATTTTCCGGAATACAACATAAATATAAAATAAACTTGTTTTCCGGAAAGTTTTAATTTATATACTACTTGTTTTTATTGTTTTTAGAGTTCATGTTTTTGGTCATACGCACGAATCTAAGCCTGTTGCTACAACAAACGGAGAAACTTTATTTATTAATGCTGCAATATGTTCGGATAAAAACACGCCTTTAAACAACCCGGTGCTTTTTGATTTGCCATTACCAGAAGGGGAGAAAAAAGAATAAAAAAATTATTTTTTTGATAAATTATCAATTTTTTCTCAAGATTTTTACTTGAAAAAAATTTTTTTCAGATTTTTATAAATTTTTTACAAAAAAATATTCTAAAAACCACCACACTTTTTATCATTTTTTACTAAAAAATTTTCCATATATAGTAAATTCTTTTTAAATATGGATACATTTCAAATAGATGGGAAATAAAGTATTTAGTAGTAAAATAACGGGGGCAATCTCCATTATTCTCTACCAGTCACTTAAATTCTTTTTTTCTTGTTTATCCAGAATAGGGGTTGGATTTGCCTTGCTTCTCCAACTAAAAAATTTATTTATTAAAAAAATTTAAATTTTTTTTACAATTCGTCCAAGCGACAAAAGCGTGACGCAGACAGAGAACAAGTCGCGGGCTTCGAATAAATCAACAGACTGGAAAAGTTCTTCGGTTGGAACGCCTGTTTCTTTTGCGAATTTTACAAAAGCGTTGATATTCTGTAGAAAGCTTGTACAATCACGATTATTTAGATGTCATTCGACTCAGTTTGTCGAGCTCTTTCGAATGAGCTATGTTTTGAGAAATTCGTCGAGTCTGCAAGTTTCGGTCCGCAAAAGTTGGTCCGCAAGTTTCGGTCTGCCGTCCGAGGTTTATATTGACGTGCACAAAATAAGAGTTTATCCGAAGACATCAAAGGCATATCCGCCTACAAAACATGCATTTGCATGTTTTGGACAGCTCTATTTATAACTAAATTCAAATACCTAGGGGTATTAAAAGTTCGGTTAACCGGAACTAAAGGATCGTAACTGTACAAGCAAACCGGAATCGGAACCAAAAAATCCTGGAACTTCCGGCCTACCGGAATCGGAACTTATGGTGAAACTCCAACCACTACACAACAATCGGAGGGTAGTTAGCATCCTCTTGGGCCCACCTTGTATAAAAATAAAGTATGTGGCGGTATAATGCGATAGTAACCAATTTTTTCATTTGAATTTAGGGAACAGTAAACCTGATTATATCATAAAATTGCCAACATTTCCAAAAAATATAGAAGAACTGGTTATTGTTCGTTGTTGGTTAGAACAACTATATAATTGTGCTTTTAGTTGTGCTCATTTTTCTAGTACAAGTATATTTAATCTAGAAATGATCAATATATTATTTGATAACAACAATACAATTCCTCGTCATTTTAACATTAAATGGGCAATTTTATGTACTAACAATAAAACATTTGAAGATACTTTTAAACATTATTCAAATCATCTATCAATTTCTGAATCTCTTACTATCGATTTTAATCATAGACTTTACAGAACAACAAACAGATATTTTATTCAGTATTTTGATAAATGAAGGCAATAAATTGTCAAAAGTTTATCTTTTTTGTTTTAGGTTAACAAGGCTTTTCGATCTTATTACTGAAGTGAGTTATACCGAGACTCAAGGCTGAGCTATAACCTTGTTCAAAATTATCGAATACGGGGCTTCTAGGTATGTCGAGATGTCTTGTGGATACACCCCCCAACGTACCGCGAGCTCAACATGCCGCAGAGAGAATCTGGGCCGCTCTAGCATAACTCGCCAAGTTGTATCGAACTATACAAGATCGTCCCAGATTCGATACTTCTGATAGCTTTGCGGTACGTTGGCCAGCTCCCGCTTCTTGCCGAGATGAATCAAACAATACCAGTGTGTTTCGGATTCGATAATTTTGAACCAAGACGGTACTTCGGGGCGTACCTTTACGCAAAAAATTAAAAATATATTTAAATTTTAGTATATAGCAACGTCAAAGGATTGTTCAAAAATTGTACCTTTCATTGATTTTGATGGCATTTCATTCCCAAATTTTAAATTATACAAGAAAGCAGAAAAAGTTAAAATTAAACAAGTTAATGATAAGAAGACTACAAATTATCAAATTGCCAATATTTACAATTCAAAAGTGAGATTTGAATTTCACAATGAAATATTGAAGGATGGGTTAACTTTTTCCAATGAAATCAAAATAAAGAGAATAATCGGGAATTAAATGGACGAAATATGAATTTTAACAATTCATCAGATTTTAATTATTCTATGGAAAGATTTCGTTAAAAACATTTTTATAAAATTTTGATTAAATAAATTTTTTATCAAATTTATTTGTATTATTTTTTATCTGGTTAAAATGCCTGTTTATTTATTTTTACAATACCAAAGTTTGGATTTTTCCCTACTTTTTAGACAATTAAAAATGTTTTCTCTTCCAACCGAAGTTCAACTTGATGTATTAAAATGTCTTAATTTCAACCAATTATTATCTGTTAAATTAATCAATATTTACTTTCTCAATTTAATTAATAAATATGAGGGGGGATTGGCTAGACTGCACTTTAAAAGCATCTCAATAGTAAATACAGATTAACATTAAATTTTAATTAAATATAAATTTTGGGTTGATCAAAAGTTCCTGCGAGAATTACCTTCCTATAAATTCATTAAACCTCAATCTGGAGTTTTTAAATTTATTTTAAATGCTCAACTTAAAGATAAGGTTAAAATTAATTTTTAATTAATAGAGCGTTTCATAAAAAATTAATTTCGAAGAAAAAAATCTGTTCCGGATTTTGTCTCTCTTATACAAATGTGCAGCAGCATACTACACTCGTTTTGTGTCTAACAAGAAATCCGGAAAATAAGAGGAAAACTCAACTTCGTTTTTTCCGGATTTTAATTAGACAATGCGAGAGAGTGTATGCTGCCGCACATTTGTATAAGAGAGACAAAATCCGGAACAGACGTTTTTTTGTTAATAGTTTGGCTGACCATCACCTTTATTTCCGTTCACCTGACCATTTCGAGCTTTCTTTGTTTGATATATAAAGTAAAGCAGCTGGGTTATAGACATTTCTCTCCTTTAGCTAGTGCAAAAGGTTAATCGGCGGCTGGGAGCGAACCAGCATCTTCAGTAGACCGGACTGATGTGTTAGCCATTACACCACGCCGCCTACTGCTCAGCCTTAGGAAATTAATAGCTATATGCTTTACACTATTAATGCATACAAAAAGTACTAGTTATTCTTACATCGCCAGGCGGAATACGATGAAGAATTTCATCAAGATGATTATGTGTATCACTTATACAGACAAATCGAACACGGTCTGGATGGATTGGTTCATTTAATCTATAAAATTAAAATTCAAAATTTTATTCGAACTAACGGCAAAGTCTTTGCTTCTTTGCATACTCTTTCTTTAGAATATTGCATCCATAAATTTGAAGGGTTATTAGCTTGCAATTCAGATACTGGATTCAAGCCAAACATTTTAAAGCTCATTCATTAGTTAAAAGTTTAATAAACACATTAATTTAATGTTGTTGAAAGAATTTAAGTTTAAATTAAACTTTCCGGAAAACAAATTAAATATAGTAAATGTTTTTAAAGTTTTATAGAATACAAGTTAAATAATGAAAACAACATTTTTAAACTTTTCCGGAAAACAAGTTGGAGAATTTAATAATTAGAAAAACAAGGGAAAAATATTCAAACTTTCCGGAAAACAAGTTTTCCGGAAAGACGAAAAAGAAACTTGTTTATAGAAAAAAATATATTCAACTTGTTTTCCGGAAATAAAATAGAATATATTAAAAATGTTTCCGGAAAGTCGTATTTATTATATTAAAAGTTGTCAAAAACATATATTTTTAAACTTTTCCGGAAAACAAGTTGGAAAAAAAATAAATTAAAACAAAAACATCTTCTTAAAAATAAACTTTTCTTTTTCTCTCATTTACAAGAATTATGGCTAGGGTTTCTATGTAATACAACAGGCGTAAAATCGCGCAGTCTCTTTCCACACCTCATACATTTTTGATCAATTATAACCAGGCGAGAAAGTTGTCCAAAAAGTATACTGTACATTTTATTAGAGAGGGGGATAGGTAAACTGTTTGTAGCTGTTGAAACCATCTAAAAAAATTTTTAGGAATTTTTTAGAAATTTTTTAGAATTTTTTTTAGAAAAATTGGTACAATGTAGTTTACCCCCCATAAGCCCCGCCCCTTTTCAGGTGCCTTTCTTGGTAAAAATGGCATTTCTTTGCTTACCCATCATTTTTAACTTGATGAAAATGGAAAAAAGAAGAAAAATGGGCGGGGCTTATGAAGGGGGCGGGGCTTATGGGGGGGGGGGGGGGGGGGGTAAACTACACAACTGCTTAAAATTTTTTATTTTTCAGATTGAAAAAATTTTTCTCGAGAAAAAAACTAAAAAAATTTTTTATAATAAAAATTAGACCATATTTGCAGAAGAAGTAATTTTTTGATAGACTTCAAAACGACTTTGCTTGCTCAGATCAACCTAAAAATTATTAAAAATTAATTAAAATTAATTTAAAAATCTCTCCAAAATTTGCCTGTTTTTTCCCAACAATCCCTGCACAATCTTCATAATGCCAATCCTCGTGGGGGGCAACCACATGTAAATATTCAATTACTCCATTATTTATTAGCCATAACATTTTTTGCATACAAACCATTTGCCCGTCTGAAGTTCGACTTTTTGGAACGACAAAATATTTAATTTCAATAATACAACTTAAAACAGAACGTTCAATAAAGTTGTGATAAAGTTTGAACTCGAAAGGAATATCACCCTGGAAAATTAAAAATAATTAATAAATTAAACTTGTTTTCCGGAAAATATTATACTTATTTCCAAAAGAAAATAAAGTTTCCAGAAGAAATAAACGTATTTTCCGGAAAATAGAATATAATAAACTTGTTTTCCGGAAAGAAGAAAAATAAAACTTTCCGGAAAAATATATACTATATGAAAGAAAATATATATTCTCCTGGAAAAATATAATATATAAAACTTGTTTTCCGGAAACTCTAGATAGAAAATCATACCTCTTTTATTATTATTTTCCGGAAAATATTATTAAACCTATTTCCGGAAAAAATAACGTTTCCGGAAAATAGAATATAATAAACTTGTTTTCCGGAAAGAAAAAAATTCAACTTGTTTTCCGTAAATAGAATATATTAAACTTGTTTTCCGGAAAGTTTTATTTATTATATTAAAAACACAACAGTTAACCCCACAAAATTCTTACTCTAATTAAATACAAACCTGTTTAATAGGTTTAGTATTACAAATTCTAAAATACTTTTCCAAAACATCAACAAATGCAAAGTGTGGTGAAGAAGAGGGCTCGGTCCTTATATTCTCAACTCCATTAGCTATTTGGTAAGCCAAAGTTAATTTACGCGAACGTTGCTGTGTTAATGTGGACATATTGGAGATTTTAAATAAATCATAGGCAAAATTGATATAAGTCTGAAAAAAAAAATAATTTTTTTTAATAATTAGTTAAAAATCGAAAAATAAAAAATAATGTTAAATAAATTTGTCCCAAAAATTATATAAAATAAATATTCCGGTCAGAAAAATAAATAAAAGGTTTTCCGGAAAAATACAAATTAAATATATATTTCCTGAATTTTGTGTATAGAAAATCTGTCCGGAAAATTAAAGAGTAAGCTTGAACTTGTTTTTCCGGACAGGAAAATAAATTAGTAGTGATTTTCCGGAAAGTTACAAATAGGAATTTTGCTTCCGGAAAGTTTTAAAATAAATAAACTTGTTTTCCGGAAAGTTTAAATGAAATATATATTTTTCCGGAAAGTTTATTAAATATATTAAACTTATTCCTTAAAATTTATAAAATAAACTTGTTTTCCAGAAAGTTGCAAAATAAGTTAAACATGTTTTCAGGAAAGTTGTAGAATAAAATATTTAATTTTCCGGAAGGTTGTATAGAAAATATATTAAACTTATTCCTTAACACTTAAAAAATAAACTTGTTTTCCGGAAAGTTTAAATTAAATATATGTATTTTTCCGGAAAGTTTATTAAATATATTAAACTTATTCCTTAACACTTAAAAAATAAACTTGTTTTCCGGAAAGTTATAAATAATAGAATATATTAAACTTATTCCTTAAACATATAAAATAAACTTGTTTTCCGGAAAGTTTAATAAAAACAAAACATACAGCAGTGCTGTCTGTCCACTCAAAAACACTCATCGTATTATCATAATCACTCTTCATTTGCGGGTTTATAGCACAATCCAAGAGGAAAGTATTTAATCTATTGACCGTTAGGGAAGACGGGGTTTGTTGTGGGAGCTTTTTTGCTTCGTTTTCTAATCGTCTTTAAATTTTAATTTTTTTTTAATTTTTTAAATTTAATAGACTCGTATTCCACAGCCATTAACCCTCCCAATTTTTCACATTCTTGCAGTACACTTTCCAAATTTGGAATTTCTTCAGAATTTTGTTGAGTGGCCAACCTCCCTACCAACAAATTGTGGGAAGTTAAGACAATATTTTTTAAAGTTTTGAGGTGGTCTAGACCTTCAAAAAAATTTTTTTAGAGAAATTTTTTGAAAGAAAACGATGCTGTACTTGTGGGTTACGCAAAATATGTTTTTGCGGACATACTTTGCGGACTTACTTATTTATACAATAATGGTCATTTTATTCAAGGAAATAGAATGGAGGGGGAAAGTCTGATAATAATGTGTATGTGTCCGCAAAATAATGTGTCCGCAAAAATTTTGTCCGCAAAAATATGTCCGCAAAAATTTTGTCCGCAAAAAAATATGTCCGCAAAAAAATATGTCCGCAAAAAATGTGTCCGCAAATATAAGTCCGCAAAAAATTCTCCGCAAAAATTCATCCGCAAAAAAATGTCCGCAGAAATAAGTCCGCAAAAACTGGTTAGGAATAACCCACAAGTACTCAACAAACATATTCTAATCGATTCATAAACATGGCGGGCATCCTGCTCCATTAAAAAAAATTTTTTTTGAGTTTTTAAAAATTCTTCAAATCTGAACTGCTAAAATTGGTTAAAATTTAACAGAAATGAAAATAAAATTGTTTTGCAACAAATTTTAAAACTTTAAAAATGACATAAATAAAAACAAAAAACAATTTATAAAGCAAAAAAAGTCAATGAAAGACAACAAAACTTTAAAACAGGGTACAGCCCAAAAAGGCGCGCGGCCACAACGGCGCAAAGGCATAACTAGTTGGAGAATTTCTGGCCCTTAATAATTTTGGTACCAATCTCTTAAGATTGATGAGAGGAATCGTTTAATACTAAATTTGGTAAGATTCGGAAATCTTGAAGCAAGTTATGCTTTTGCGCCGTTGTGGCTGCGCGCCTTATTGGGCATGTCCATTTAAAAATATTCTTTTTTAAGTGTTCAGGGATATAGTTTAGTATACCGGAGTTTTAGTTCCGATATAAAACACATACCATTCGATTAGTCTCGGCGAGCTGAGTCGAACAGTACCACTCTCCAGGCGCGGAAATGCCTGTGGGCCGAGATATAGGTCCTCGAAAATCGAAAAACCATAGGGGGGAGTAAGCACAATTTTGGAGTGAAAAATTCGATTTTTCGAGTGATAGCTCATTTGAAAGAACTCCTCGAGCTGAGTTGAATGACACCAAAATTTTTTGTTGTCCAATTAATCAGACAAAATTTTAACTTTCTCAATTTTTAATCTATCGAAATGAGTGTGAAAGATTGCTTCTCCTCTAAATTCTTCAATGTTAAATGAAAATTTCATTTTTGGATTAAAAATATTGCCAATTTGGTAATTTATATATTTTGTATCATATACTTGTCTAATCTCGACTTTTTCTGCTCTGTCGCTTAATTTAAAATTTGGGAAGGAAAGACATGTTAAATTAATAACAGCCACCATTTTTGAACAGTCTTTTGATGTTGTTATATACTAAAATGTGAAAATTTATTTTGGTAATACTGAGTCTATTTTTTTCTTAAAATGTACAAAATGGTCAGATTTCCTTTTTTAACCCTAATCGATTTCAAAGTATTTTTTTAGGTTTTGGTATCAAAATTCTCATCCCTGTGAACATAATGTATTTTTCATCTACTACTCCCAAGATGGATCCGAGTGTTGAGTATTACGTATTTTTCAGACCTTTTTTGAAAGCAAAAATACTCAACACTTGACACGGATGTCATTGTAGGATGCACGGACCTAACACTCGATCAAATACTAAAAACTCGACACGGCTGTCATTGTGTGCTTGACACGGCTGCCACAAGGAAACCTAATGGTTGAGGAAGCCTGACCAATATGTACATTTAAAGAAATAATAGAAGGGGGTTGGGAGGGCACACTTACTTTTATGATAAGATCATAGAGCCTTGTTAACTTATAACTAGTAAAACAAATTTTTGGTAATTTATTGCCTTCATTTATTAAAATATTGAATAAAATGTCAATATATTCCTCTAAAATGCCATTATCACAATTGAAGCTAAGAGATTCAGAAATTGATAAATGATTTAAAGAAAATTCTAGAACATTTTCAAATGTTTTGTTGGGGATTACTAAAGTACGAGGGTCCCAATAGTACGTGGGAGCAAGAAGCTGGATTCGAAATACCGTAAATTCTCTAATAGAAGCTCCCTCTAAGCATGCGCTTGTATTTTTCGACCCTCTTGTAAGGTTTGCTTATATTAGAGGGCGTCCTTCTATTAGAGAGTGTGCTTTTATTTTTGATTCTCCCGTATGGTGTGCTTCTATTGGAGGGTGTGCTTCTATTAGAGAATTTACGGTATATACCATTCGATTCCTCTCTCCGACCTGAGTTTGAATATATAAGCCTTTTATCTAGGAGACGAAAACTCGAAGAGATACAGGCGTCTGAATTTTGTTTTAACCCTTTATAAGTACACCATACATATATGTAAGGAGCTGAAACAAACAATCATAACCTTCCCAAAACTTGTCCAATCACGTCGTTTTTGGAGTCATTCGACTCAATTCGACGAGCTCTTTCGAATTAGCTATTGTTTCCTTATTCGAATTTTTTATACCAAAAATGAGCCTACTACCTCATATGGGACCGAGCCCGAGATTCCGAGACCTCTAGGAGACGGTCAGCAAAATCGAGGTTCAAAATGGGCGAGGACCTCGACGAGGCCTCGACCTTAAACTCCGCTCAGCGAGAGGAATCGAATGATACATATTTTTAAGTTCGTGCTCCCACGTACTATAGTGCATCAAATGTTTGATAAATAGAGTTGCTTTTTGAACGTGGAACTGAAGAGGTATTGTTTTGTCGTTATCAAATAATAAATTAATCATTTCTGGATTAAATACACTTGTTCCAAAATAGGCAAATTCAAAAGCACATCTAAAAAGATGTTCTAACCAGCAACGATTACTAATCATTTCTTCAATATTTTTTGGGAATATTGGCAATTTTAGAAGATAAGGTGTTTCGCCCACAAAATAGGAAGAGCTTTTTTGAATTAAAACAAAAAAGTTTCTGTGAGATTCAGATTTATGTAAAAACAACGGAATTGATTTGTCTATAGCTGTTTGCCACTGAAAAATAAAGTAACAAAAATATTTATTTAATTTTCTTGTAGATGTTCAAAAGCTTTGAAACTTAAGTTAAATACATATATTTTTTCCGAGTGTCTTCTAGTAGATCCCAAAATTTGAGAATTTTTGGTTAAGTATTCAGCGTGTCCTAATCTTTTAAAAATTTGTTGTTTGATCGGGAAGAAAACACGCCAAAGAATTTATACCCAAAATTTTAAAGTTTTCGGACAATTATAAAAAATCCTATAACTATTTTTAAATGACTTTCCTTCTTATTAGAGCTAAGAAAAAACGGTAATAGTTTGGCTGACCATCCCCCTTTTTTCCTTTCTATTTTTTTCACATTTTAAAGCAAATTATATATCATTTGAAAGAGCTCTTCGAGCTGAATCGGTTGGTACCAAATTCAACGGAATCTAAGTTAAATCAGCTAAGTTATGACCATTTGTTTTATTCCCTTACAGCGGCACAAAAAGCTTTTCCAACGAGGATATAAAAATTAATCTGAATAAATTTATAATTTTAGTAGGAATCTTCAAATCTAGCCGATCTTGGTATCATTCGATTAAGCTCGAAGAGCTCTTCGAATGATTTATAATAAATTATTGTAAAGCATATATGTAGCTATTAATTTCCTAAGGCTGAGCAGTAGGCGGCGTGGTGTAATGGCTAACACATCAGTCCGGTCTACTGAAGATGCTGGTTCGCTCCCAGCCGCCGATTAACCTTTTGCACTAGCTAAAGGAGAGAAATGTCTATAACCCAGCTGCTTTACTTTATATATCAAACAAAGAAAGCTCGAAATGGTCAGGTGAACGGAAATAAAGGTGATGGTCAGCCAAACTATTAACAAAAAAACGTCTGTTCCGGATTTTGTCTCTCTTATACAAATGTGCGGCAGCATACACTCTCTCGCATTGTCTAATTAAAATCCGGAAAAAACGAAGTTGAGTTTTCCTCTTATTTTCCGGATTTCTTGTTAGACACAAAACGAGTGTAGTATGCTGCTGCACATTTGTATAAGAGAGACAAAATCCGGAACAGATTTTTTTCTTCGAAATTAATTTTTTATGAAACGCTCTATTAATTAAAAATTAATTTTAACCTTATCTTTAAGTTGAGCATTTAAAATAAATTTAAAAACTCCAGATTGAGGTTTAATGAATTTATAGGAAGGTAATTCTCGCAGGAACTTTTGATCAACCCAAAATTTATATTTAATTAAAATTTAATGTTAATCTGTATTTACTATTGAGATGCTTTTAAAGTGCAGTCTAGCCAATCCCCCCTCATATTTATTAATTAAATTGAGAAAGTAAATATTGATTAATTTAACAGATAATAATTGGTTGAAATTAAGACATTTTAATACATCAAGTTGAACTTCGGTTGGAAGAGAAAACATTTTTAATTGTCTAAAAAGTAGGGAAAAATCCAAACTTTGGTATTGTAAAAATAAATAAACAGGCATTTTAACCAGATAAAAAATAATACAAATAAATTTGATAAAAAATTTATTTAATCAAAATTTTATAAAAATGTTTTTAACGAAATCTTTCCATAGAATAATTAAAATCTGATGAATTGTTAAAATTCATATTTCGTCCATTTAATTCCCGATTATTCTCTTTATTTTGATTTCATTGGAAAAAGTTAACCCATCCTTCAATATTTCATTGTGAAATTCAAATCTCACTTTTGAATTGTAAATATTGGCAATTTGATAATTTGTAGTCTTCTTATCATTAACTTGTTTAATTTTAACTTTTTCTGCTTTCTTGTATAATTTAAAATTTGGGAATGAAATGCCATCAAAATCAATGAAAGGTACAATTTTTGAACAATCCTTTGACGTTGCTATATACTAAAATTTAAATATATTTTTAATTTTTTGCGTAAAGGTACGCCCCGAAGTACCGTCTTGGTTCAAAATTATCGAATCCGAAACACACTGGTATTGTTTGATTCATCTCGGCAAGAAGCGGGAGCTGGCCAACGTACCGCAAAGCTATCAGAAGTATCGAATCTGGGACGATCTTGTATAGTTCGATACAACTTGGCGAGTTATGCTAGAGCGGCCCAGATTCTCTCTGCGGCATGTTGAGCTCGCGGTACGTTGGGGGGTGTATCCACAAGACATCTCGACATACCTAGAAGCCCCGTATTCGATAATTTTGAACAAGGTTATAGCTCAGCCTTGAGTCTCGGTATAACTCACTTCAGTAATAAGATCGAAAAGCCTTGTTAACCTAAAACAAAAAAGATAAACTTTTGACAATTTATTGCCTTCATTTATCAAAATACTGAATAAAATATCTGTTTGTTGTTCTGTAAAGTCTATGATTAAAATCGATAGTAAGAGATTCAGAAATTGATAGATGATTTGAATAATGTTTAAAAGTATCTTCAAATGTTTTATTGTTAGTACATAAAATTGCCCATTTAATGTTAAAATGACGAGGAATTGTATTGTTGTTATCAAATAATATATTGATCATTTCTAGATTAAATATACTTGTACTAGAAAAATGAGCACAACTAAAAGCACAATTATATAGTTGTTCTAACCAACAACGAACAATAACCAGTTCTTCTATATTTTTTGGAAATGTTGGCAATTTTATGATATAATCAGGTTTACTGTTCCCTAAATTCAAATGAAAAAATTGGTTACTATCGCATTATACCGCCACATACTTTATTTTTATACAAGGTGGGCCCAAGAGGATGCTAACTACCCTCCGATTGTTGTGTAGTGGTTGGAGTTTCACCATAAGTTCCGATTCCGGTAGGCCGGAAGTTCCAGGATTTTTTGGTTCCGATTCCGGTTTGCTTGTACAGTTACGATCCTTTAGTTCCGGTTAACCGAACTTTTAATACCCCTAGGTATTTGAATTTAGTTATAAATAGAGCTGTCCAAAACATGCAAATGCATGTTTTGTAGGCGGATATGCCTTTGATGTCTTCGGATAAACTCTTATTTTGTGCACGTCAATATAAACCTCGGACGGCAGACCGAAACTTGCGGACCAACTTTTGCGGACCGAAACTTGCAGACTCGACGAATTTCTCAAAACATAGCTCATTCGAAAGAGCTCGACAAACTGAGTCGAATGACATCTAAATAATCGTGATTGTACAAGCTTGGACAAAGTTACGATAGAAAAACGAAAACCTAAACCTATGGTCCGCAAGTTTCGCACTACCCCTCGGACACCCCTCCGCTTGTAAAAGAAGAGAAAATTTAGAAAAACCATACATATTTTCACCTAGGCACTAAAAATGAACCTCTAATACAGACAAATCTTCTTTCTTCTGGTTCTATATTATATAAGAACAACGGAAATGATTTGTCTATCGCTTCTTGCCACTGAAAAATAAATGTAATTTATAATTAAAAATTAATTTAACCTTCTGTTTAAGTTGATCATTCAAAGTAAATTCAAAAATTCCAGATTCAGGTTCAATAAATTTATATGAAAATAACAATTGAAGACCGTCAAGATCAACCCAAAATTAATATTTAAATAAAAATAAGTTGGTTAATAAGATTTACTATTGAAATTCTTTTAAATTTCATTCGTGCCAATCTTCCCTCATATTTATTAATTAAATTGCAAAAGTAAAAATTTGTTAGTTTAATATCAAATAATTGGTTGAATTTAAGACATTTTAATACATCAAGTTGAACTTCAGTTGGGAGAGAAAGCATTTTTAAATGTCTAAAAAATAGGAAAAAATCCAAGTCTCTTAAATGTATTAAAAATAAATTTTCAGGCTTCAACCTGTTAAAAACAACAAATAAATTTTATAAAAAAATAATTTAATCAAAAGTCAATGAAAAACAAAAAATAATGTTGTCCAATATAAATCGGCACTTGTGTAGTACCCACAACACGACCACAAAAGAAGAGAAAATCGATTCCTTCTCCATTCCTATTTTCCTCTTTATAATAAAGGAGAGAAGGGGCGGGGCTTATGGGAGGGAAATTACACAAGTACCAATAAATTAAATTTTCGCTTTTATTCTCTCAAACTTTAATTTTTCTGATTTGAATATAAAACGATCCATCATAACCCTCTCTATTGTAAAATTCAAATCTCGCTTTTGGATTATGAATATTAACGATTTGGTATTTTGTAGAGTTGTTACCATTTGACTGATCAATTTCAACGTTTTCTGCTCTCTCGTTTAATTTAAAATTTATTGCTGAAATCCTATCAAAATGAATAAAAGGCACAATTTTTGAACAGTCTTTAGATGTTGTTACATACTTAAATTTAAAATTGTTTTTAACTTAGTTATAAATAGATAAATGGTACATCGGGTCCCCCCATTTATTTTTTATCCTATCTTTTTCCTTTCTCCAAAAAAGTATACCTGGGTTTTATCATCAAATAGGTTTTACCGATGTTTATCTATTACACCACGCCGACTACTGCACAACCTTTGGAATTAAATAGCCATTTATGACAGTTAAGCGAACTAAGGTTTCTAAAAAGCATAGAAGAGACCTATTTGGCATGGATTGTCATAATTCATTAACAGTATGTTGCGTTGATCCATGAATACTTTTTTTTAGAAAAAAGAAAACGAAAGGAGAAAAAATAGGGGGGGGGGGTGGGAAGAGATAAACCCAAGTGTACTCATAACAGTAGAGGCAATCGATTAAAAAAAAATAAATTTTAAGGTGTCTCCCCAATTCTGCATTATTACTCAGATAACTTACTTTTACAATAAGATTATAAAGACTTGTCGTCTGAAAATTTAAAGAAATTTTTGGAAATTTATTGCCCTCATTTATTAAAGTATTGAATAAAATATCAGTATATTGCTCTGAAGTTGCAGCATCCAGATTGATGCTAAGAGACTCAGAAATTGATAAATGATTTAAAGAAAATTTCAAAGCACTTTCAAATATTTTAGTGACAGTATAATTGCTCTGTAGAATAACTCTTTTAATGTTAAACTGAAGAGGGATTGTTTTGTCGTTATCAAATAATATATTGATCATTTCTGGGTTAAATATGTTTTTATAGAAAGAAGCATATCCAAAAGCACAATTAAAAAGTTTTTCCAACCAACAACGAACAATAATCATTTCTTTAATATTTTTCGGAATGATTGGCAATTTTAAAACAGAATGGCATTTTTCGTTCACTAAATAGAAATATAAAGATCAGATGGTTAGTAACCTAACTTATAATTTAAAAAAAATCGGAGGGTATGTTAATCGATGACCGGTACATCATTAGATTCGTCTCGGCGAGCTGGGTCGAATAATACCACTCCCAGGGTGCGAAAAGCATGTGGACCGAGGCTGGGCTAATTTTGCATTTTTCAGAGCGAAAAGTATTTTTAGATTTTGCCCAGCCTGCTGTGGACTGAGATAAAGGCCCCTGATATTTTCAAGGTTCAGTAAAATTTTGATTTGTCGCTCCATAACTTGTCCAATATTTTTTGGAATGATTTATGTATTTTTTTCGTGCTTTGAAATTTTGCCCCTCACCAACCTATAGCAATACAAATACATTCTCTGTTAGGTTCAAAATAATGTAGAAACAACGGAATCGATTTGTCTATCGCTGCCTGCCACTGAAAAGGAATCGATTTGTCTATCGCTGCCTGCCACTGAAAAAAAAATAGAATTTCTAATTTAAAATTAATTTCACCTTATTTTTAAGTTGATCAAGCAAAGTAAATTCAAAAATTCCAGATTCAGGTTCAATAAATTCAGATGGATGTAACCCTACAAGCATGTAATGGTCAACCTAAGATTAATTTAAATAGAAAAAATATTTAATAAATAGTATATACTAATGCTATTTGAATAAATTCCTGTCGTGCCAATTCCCCCTCATATTTATTAATTAAATTGCAAAAGTAAAAATTTGTTTGTTTAATATCAAATAATTGGTTGAAATCGAGACATTTTAATACATCAAGTTGAACTTCTGTTGGAAGAGAAAGCATTTTGAATTGACTAAAAATGGGGAAAAATTTAAATTTTATTCCTAAAACTTGAATAAAAACATAAAATCTCTGAAAAAACGAGAAAACTAAAAATCTAACGTAGAAGAACACTAGAAAAAATTTGGGACCAAATGTCTCTCAAGACTGAAACGTCCCCTTTCCCCTCTCTTGGCAAAATGAGAACTTGTCTCTTCGCCGCATTTCAACGCGCATCGTCTAACTTTCCCCGACAAATTTTTTTTTGCTGATTCAAATTTATCGATTATTTACTCTTAACTATCAAATGAGCACTTGAAAAAGCGTTCAAATTTTTTAACAAATTCATTTAAAAATATTCTCTCCCGTTTCTTCACGGTTGGGGTCAGTTGAGCGTGGCCGATTGAGCGTCAGCCGACATTTGAACGGCTATAACTTTTTTAGCCTTAATCCAATACGAATGAATCATATATCATTCGAAAGCCCTCGATGAGTCCAATCTTTATCCCAACTGGATGGATCAAGTCTGATCCCGGTTAAAAGGTTATAAGTCGATAAGTGCAGAAAATCGTTGTTTTTCACACTTATCGACTTGTAACTTTTTAAATAGCGATCAATCATGATCCATCCAATTGAAACAAATATAGCGCTTAACGAGGGCTTTCGAATGATATATGATTCATTAGTATTGAATCAAGCGGAAAAAAGTTATAGAAGATCAAAGTTGGCTGACGCTCAACCGGCCACGCTCAACTGGCCCGTTCCGGTTTCTTCAATGGGTGAAAATGATTTAAAACAACAAATTGATACTTTAATTCGCAGTTATCCCGATTTTCCGTCTAAAGGAGTTCTTTTTAGGTCAGATAATTTACTAATATGTTTGAGTCTGGTAAAAGATAAATTGAGTTTCAGGCTGGGACTCAAGTGACCAAAAAGTAAAAATCGGACCCCAATTTATAAATAAGACGTGAGAGATCTGAAAGGAGTCTTAGAAATCCTGGAATAAGACTTAAATTGAGACTAGAGCGTCCAAAACGAGTTACAGAAAACTCAAATGTCATAGGCATCAGATACTCAAAAAATTTAGGGTAGGCCCAAATAGGCGCAAGGCCAAGTAGGCGCAAAGTCATAACTTGCTTCAATATTCCCGAATCTTTCCAAATTTAGTATTAAACGATTCCTCTCATCGAGCTAAAGAGATTGATGCCAAAATTGTTAAGGTCCAGAAATTTTCCAGCAGGTTATGGCTTTGCGCCTACTTGGCCTCGCGCCTATTTGGGCGTATCCCAAAAATTTAACTTAACTAGAGTCTCAATTTATTCTACTTAACGATATTCTTAAGTCTGATCACAGCCAATTTCTCATTTAAAAAATATTTTTATAGAGATGTACTCCCACTATTCTCCAAACCTACACTTGTCCGTTCCCTTTGTTGCTATGTTGCTAATCGTTATAGGGACAAAATTGATTTAGTAGCTGGATTGGAAGCAAGGGGTTTTTCGAATATTGATACTCAAAAAATATTATTTTAAAGGCTTTCTTTTTGGCCCTATCATTGCGTTGGAATTGGGCATTCCTTTTGTTCCAGTACGTAAACAAGGAAAGCTTCCCGGCCCCGTAATTTCTGCAAGTTATCAGAAAGAGTATGGAAAGGATGTTTTTGAAGTGCAACAAGATGCGCTGTTAGCTGGGCAGCGAGTGTTGATTGTGGACGATTTGCTAGGTATGTTAGGGGGTGAGACTCTATTGTACCTAAAATTCGAAGCAGGACGGTAGAGTACCACCAATTGAGTCCCGGGCTTAGACTCTAGTGTACAGTCAATAGCAGGGCTGTGCGCCAAAATTTTCGCGTGGCGCGCCAAACGCCAATTTTTGAAATTTTTAAAATACGCCAAACGCAAAAACGCCAAATTCAGCTAAAAATTGACGCCAAAACGTCATGGCGCACAGCCCTAGTCAATAGAATCTAAAGTTGATTCCTTAGCTTGGTCTCTAATATCCCCTTCTTTAAGGGGTGAGACTCTAATGTACCTAAAATTCAGAGCGGGTTGTTTGAGTACCACCAGTCGAGTCTCTAGCTTAGACTCTGGTGTCCTCGTTGTTTGTTCCTTGGACTCTAATATCCCCTTTAAAGTCATGTCTCTAACACCCTTTCAATTTAGCCACTGGAGGGTCTCTACGTGCAGCAGAACAATTGGTTAAACAAACAGGGGCAACAGTCTATGCAAACTTTGTTGTAATTGAATTGGGGGATTTAAAGGGACGGAAAGTGTTGGGCAGTGAAGTCGATGCTTTTTTGACCTATTAAAAATTGATTTTTAAAATTTCATTTAAAAATAGGCTTTCAACTCTTACTACTTTACTAACAATTTTATCTTAACATTCGATTGTCTTTTTGATAAATATCATTAAAACTATTTGTGTAGGCACCAATCATTAAGAAGGAAAAGATGAACGTTTTTTACGTACCCGCATAAAGTGCCAATATAAAATGGCAAAAAGACACTCCCTTGGGGGTTGAAAAACCATTGCCGTGGTATAGTGGGGTCTGGATTTGATCGGATCTGTATTTGAAAAACCCGGGATAATCCCGCCCGATCCCGACCGGAATCCCGATTCCGGCCAACTCTACTTAGGTTCGATGCCTGGCGACAGTTGTTGTTGGTGGCTTTACTGTAGTTCTGCTTTAATTTACTAGAAAATTTTTTGTTTTTATTTGATAGCTACTTAAATCTTTAAAAAATAGCCTGAATTAATTTTGTTGAATATATACGAATTTAGATAAAATAATTGCATTTTTAGAGGTAAAAATTAATTTTTTTAGTGATTTTTCAATCAAAAAATGTTTTTATGATTTTCCAAAAAATTTTTATTTTTATATCATTTTATAGAAAATTTAATTCTCTTTCAGAAGGTATATCGAACTTCCATATTAGTCTTAATTTTATGGGGTTATAAGTGTCTAAAGCTATCCAAGTTGCAACTCTGCAAGCTGCACAAACAAAGGAAAATTGAAGAAAAAAATTAAAATAAAAAATTTTTTTTCTTAATTTTCCTTAATTTTCTTTAATTTTTAATAATTTTCCAACACTAAAAAAATTTATCTTTTGAAAAAATTTATAGAAAAAAAATTTTTTTTTGTCAATTCAATTTAACATCAATTAACTTTTCCTCAATTTCATTAAAAATTAATTTAAAAAAAAATTAATTTTTATAAAAAAATTAAGAAAAAAAAGTCAATTTAACATTTTACAATATTGAATCAACACAAAATATTCATTAAATGAACGTCAATCCCCCCCCCCTTTTTATTTTTTCTTTTTTTTGCCTCCCCAAGGCCGACTACTAAAGCCTTAAAACACGCATAAAATACTTGAGAGAGTAAATGTTTTTATAAATTAATTTTAAAAAATTAATTTTTTTTTGGTTAATTTTTGTTTAAAATGTTGGTAAATGTTGGAATTTTATTTTTGGGACATTACTCATTTTTTGCAAAAAAAATTAATATTTTCTTTCATAAAATTGTTTGTTCCACATTTTTGCTTAAATTCATAACTGTTTTGTGTTTTATCTTCTATCAACTTTGTATTTTAAAATAAAAAATAAACTTGAAATTAAACTTTTTCCGGAATGTGTTTTCATCCTTTTTTCCTTAAAGTTATAGATAACTTTCCGGAAAATACATATACCTATTCTATTTTTTTCCGGAAAGAATTTACATTGTATTTTACTGTAGTTATAGTTATATTATATTTTCCGGAAGTGTATTTGAAATTAAACTTTTTCCGGAATGTGTTTTCATTTATTTCCTTAAAGTTATAGATAACTTTCCTGAAAATACATATAATCTTTTGTTTTCCGGAAAGTTTATTTTATTTTTTTCCGGAAAGAATATACATGGTATTTTACTGTAATTATATTTATTATATTTTCCGGAAGTGTATATAAAATTAAACTTTTTCCGGAATGTATTTTCTAGTGTATTTTATATGTATATTTTCAAGTTTTCCGGAAACTGTTTCTAATAGCTTTCCGGAAAAAATAATTCAAGTTTTACAAAAGACGTGTTGTTATTTATTTAAGCCTGTTTTCCAGAAATGCTTCTTTCTATCGTATGTTTTTTTAATTAATTATATGTATATTTCTCCCTAAAATTTTCTTTGTTTTTTAGTTAAAAATAAATTTTTGCCTAGACCACCCCAAAGTATCCATTTCTAATTTTAAGTAAATAATCTTTTTTTTTTGTCATTTCTTTAAATTTTTTCCCTTTCCGATTGCCTAATTCTTAAAAGATTAGCACATTTATATTATTTCTTTAATGTTTGCTTTTCAGATTTTCTGGTTAATATTTTTTGTTTAAATTTATTAGTTAAGTAACTAATGTATTTTTTTATAAAAAACAGATGGTAATTTTGAAATAAATTTAAAATTTATTTGTGGGATAGTAAAATCAGCATATTTTCCGGAAAGCATATATAAATTGTATTTTCTTATAGTTATATTTATTATATTTTCCGGAAAGTGTATTGAAAAATAAACTTTTTCCGGAAATTGATTTAATCTCTTTTTCCTGAGAGTTATAATTAACTTTCCGGCAAATAGGGTATATTTTATTTGTTTTCTGACAAGTTTATTTTATTTTTCCGGAAGTAATTATTTTACTTGTTTTCCAGAAGGAATTAAAGTGTATTTGTATTTTTGTTTTTAATGTGTTTTAGTTTTTGTGCTCAATTAAAAATAAACTTTTTCCGGAAAGAGTTTCGTCTTTTTCACGAAAGTTAAAATCAACATTCCGGAAGGTATATTTTATTCGTTTTCCGGAAAGTTGTGTTTTTTGTGTTTTAGTCTTAGTTTTTCTAGTTGTTATAGGTATAGCCATCTTTCCGGAAAGGTATAACTTCTGTGTGTTTAATTTATTTACTAGTTTCCGTAACAAGTTACTTGTTTCCTGTTTTTGTTTCTACTTTTAATGTGTTATAGTCTTTGTGTCTTTTCAACTTGTTGTTAATTAATGTACTTTTATTCAATTCTGAAAAATCAAAAGCAAGTTTAATTTGAAACAAACTTTTTTTGCAAATAAGTCCTAACAATAGAAAATTACTTAAAAAAAGAAGATTGCTAAATTTTGCTAACGGAAAGAGCAAAAAGCTTTTTTTGCTTTTAATTTTTATTTTTCTTTTGTTAAATTTTAAACTTGATTTCTTCCTTTTAAAGGGGTTTTATTTATTATTTTTTTTCTATTAATTTTTTCTGCTTATCTTCCCCCCTCCCCCAACTATCTAAATAATAAATATTATAAAAATTCTTGGATTTTAATTTCCCAAATTTTTTTTATTTATTTTATTATTTTGGTGCCACAGCTGGTCAATTACTCAATATCCTCCACAATGTCTACTCCTTTTTTAATATGTATTTTTTGCTTCTTACGGGTTTATTAGGAAATTTTGGTTGTTTTCTGTTGACTAAAGAAAAACAAGAAAGGAAATGTGGATAACCAAAGAAAATAAAATAATTAGTAGAGCACATATGGAGGATAAATCTACATTTGTTTTTAAATAAAAATAAATATATTATTGCTTTTAGTCCATATTTTTGGGGAGCTTCAAGTTGTAGTTGTTTTTAAGTTTTATTGAAGCAAAATAAGCTTAAAATCAAGGAAATTATTAAACTTGAAGCAAATACAAAAGTTTCCGGAAAGTTTAATTTGCAACTTGAATAAACTTTAAATAAACTTGAAGCAAAATAGAAAGGTTTCCGGAAATACTATTAATATTATATTGAAGGTCAGGTTTTCCGGAAAGTTTAATTTACAACCTGAATAAATAATTTGCTTCAAGTTTATTTTAAATAAATAAACTTTAAATAAACTTGAAGCAAAATAGAAAGGTTTCCGGAAAGTTTCCGGAAATACTATTAATGTTATGTATATTGAAGGAAGAGTTTCCGGAAAGTTTAATTAAAACTTAAAATAAACCTGATCTAATAAATATTTAATGTTTCCGGAAATTTTAAAATATCCGGAAACATATTATTTTGCTTCAGGTTTATTATTCGTGTTTCAAGTTTTTCCGGAAATAGTATATAAATGTTTTTTCCGGAATTTAAAAATATTAATAAAATAATGTGTTTTCTTCTAATTTTCTCCAAAATTTTTCCTTAAAATTTCTGCTAATTATTTTTTTAAAATTATTATAGCTATAAAATTTATCATTATTTTTTAAATTTATTTTTAGATCACACCCCCTATTTTTACAAAAAAATATAATTTAATTGCTTTAATTAATTTGGGTAATAAATTCTCACAAGGTATTTTTTATATTTTATTTTTCAAGGGAAATAATTAAAATATTTTGAAAAAAATTCTAAAAATATAAAAGTGCTATTAACTGATTACAATCTATATACATTTTGATGATGATGAATAGCAATCAAAAAATATCCCCCCAAACAATTTCTTCCCCCACAATTTTGCGAGCGGCTTTTTAACAGCAAAGTGAAAAAGAGTAGACAAATCATTTCCCAATCATTATTATTAATGATGAGAATAATTTGAAATGAATTTAGAAACCTTTATAAAAGCAATTTTTGATAGGTGAAGGTCTAATTTAAAAATAGGTGTGAGTAGTTAAAATAAAGAAATAATAGGGTAAATTGGTTGTGTTTTAGTACTTTTCTGTATTTTTCCGGAAACGTTTCTCTGTAAATTCTTTTTTAAAAATTTTCCGGAAAATGTATTTCCAATGTTTTTTGAAAGGGGTTTCCGGAAATACTTTTCTGCTATTATATAAGTTTTTCAAAAAATGTTTTTCCAATGTTGCTGGGAAAAGTATACACTTGAAATAAAGTCTCCGGAAAATTCCGTCTATCTCTCTTGAACTGGACAAGCAATCGACCCACACTAATTAGTAATCTGTCAATTCGTTTAATTGACATTCAAAAATATAATCCGCGTTTAGATTTCAAGAATTGCATTGAAATTCTGGACAACCTAAGTTTAATTAAATTTGAATTGGAATATAATATATTAAGCAAAAATTTGGAAAACATTTTTTGGAAAAACATTTTTCCGGAAATATTTTTATAAGTTTTCCGGAAAATGCTTCCCCATTGTTTTAGAAATGTTTTTCGGAAACATTTTTGTGTCACTTTATAAGTTTTACAAAAAATGTTTTCAAATGTCTCTGCGAAAATTACTTAAAATAATCTTTCCGGAATATCACGTTTATATCTCTTGAACCGGACAAGTAATCCGTAGCGGGTAAATTTGTCAATTTGTTTAATTGACATTCAAAAATATATTTTTGCTCT